CACATTCGTTATGCCTGCTGATCAGCCTTCGAAGATCGTCTGTGTAGTATCTATTAACGCTCTTTGTTGATGAAAAAATCACATAGCCAGAAGTAACAGAAATATCCTTGGGCACCTCAATCTGAAACACATCCTTGCCTATATCTCTGAATCTGATGTCTTTGCTCCTCAGCAATACCCTCTGCCTCTCTAAATACACACTCAGCTCATCCTCAATTGCACGCTTTTCATTCACAAGCATGCTCAGCTCCTCGTCGTCTTCTTTCCCAACATCTATATCCGTTTCACTCACCTCGTACTTCTGCCTATGCATCTCAAGCACTTCGTTAATATGCTTCACATGCTCTGCACACACGCTCTTTACTCGCTGCATCACCGTGCACTCTAAATCATTTCCATCCACTGCCACAGACTCAACACTCCTCAGCAGTGCCATTAAAAACTCCCTGCTGCTATCAACACATGTAAGAAATCTGTTCAAATCGTTAGCCCTTGGACTTCCATTGTAAAGCCTCGCCATCAGCCTTTCTCCATCTCCAATCATCTTCATGCCTTTCCTCAAAAACTCAATGTCCATTCTCTTCATCGCCCTACCCATGGCCTGCCTTTCTACTATCTCTGCCTCTTCCATCAAAGGCTGCATAATCCACCTTCTCAGCAGTCTCTGCCCAAATGCAGTAACACAGAAGTTCACTGCATTAAACAAGGTCTTCTCCACTCCTCCATCGTAGCTATTGCTGAACACCTCCATACTTCTTAGCACATTCCCATCAATCACCATCCTTCTACGACCTTCGCCAAGCCGCTGAATCCGGACATCATCCAAGGCATTCGGCCTTTTCAGCCTTACCATGTAGTTCTGCATGTACATAAAGCACATACGCTCACGTTCATTCTCAAACACGTGCTTCCGTCCACACGCCGCCATTGTGCAAGCAGGCACGATCCTGGGAATCCCATCTATTCCATATCTCGATATCATCTCGCGCACATCATACTGTGCCAGTATTGTCTTGAGCACATGCCGCTCCTCATCATCGCAAAACGACGACAAATACACATCTCCAATGCTTGCATCATATAGCATCATAGAAACATGTATCTTTCCTCCGCAGCTTCTAGCATAGCAGGTATCATCTTCTGCAACACTCATCAAATACACTGGCATTACAGACTTCATGTGATCCACACTATATATTGTTCCCTGTGTGATAACCTCCTTCAACTCTCTATGAATGATCTTTTCATTCGCTGCATTCCCTCGCTTCTCCTCCTTCTCGCTTCGCTCCCTGATCTGCTTTCCAATCATGTTTTCACTCTGCTCAACCCTTGCTATTTTGTATCCATTTTCTAAAAACCTCTTTGCCCAGTAGTCAAGGCTTCCCTCAGGAAATCCAGACATCCTCATGTTGACCCTGCCCGTCACCTTCATATCAAACAGCCTTGCTCCAATAAGAGCGTCGTCCTCATATAGCTCATAGAACTTGCCTTTCTTGAAAAACACCACAGTGTCGAAGTGGTCCTTCTTGATACTCCAGAACTGCTTCTCAAATGGACTGAGCTTTGCATACTCATCCTCAGGTATCAGCAGTGTTGATTCATCGTATCCCTCATCTCCCTTTTTCCTTCCATCCTTATCCCTAACTTCAGCAAGAAATCCATATCTTCCTATGCTCTCAGCACTCATTTTATTCGTGTTGCTTGCATCAAGTGGATTGCCAAGCATATCGTCAAGCATGTTGTCTTTGAGAATGCACACACTACCCATGCTCATGCCCGTGTGATTGTGCCTGTGCTTGAGTTTCGTGTCTTCAGCTATGGTGCTGTTTATTTCAAAGTTATCAGTGTCTTTACAAATTCTCTTTACATTCTGCTCAAGGTTTTCAAAGTTGGTGCTTGTGTAGTCATATTCATCATGCAGATCTGCATCTGGTGTGCCAGTATTCACACTAACGGATCTCTCACTGGACATATCGAAGTATTCCAGTAGCGTCTTTTTCCCCCTCATCGCATTCTTGCACTGCACAATTTTTATTCTTACTGCATCATCGGTGATAATAGCCTTGCACTGTGGCCCTATGCCAACCAGCGAGGCAATTCTTTTGAAGATTCTTGAGCATAGAAGCAGCAACCTGAACGAGGTATTCGGTCTGATGTGCTCGTTGCTTGGGCTACAATACTTCTTTGAGGATGTGGAGCCGCGCGTATACACACTCGCAAGCCCTTCATTCATTATAGATGTGTCTGGATCTGCAGTGAAGCTGACGTTTGTTGACGAAAGGTTTTCCGAGTGCTTCCGATATGTCGAGTTCTATTTGGGCGGCTTTCTTGCGAGCAGGAAGCTTGTAAACTTCTACTGCTATCTCAAAATGTTTGCAATGATGGAAACAGGCGGCGATGAACTGCTGGACGGTAGATGCACAGACACATGCAGATGCGTTTATGATGGAAGATATTGTGCAAATGTATCGTTCAGCAAGATTATACAATTAGGCGGAACGGCAGTGTATAACATATATCGGCATAGGTTTGAGAGGCATCTGTATGCTGGAGGAACAATAATTGCAATTCCTGAGTGTGCCTATGCCGATGATGTTGCATCGGTGACTGTTAAGTGTGACGATGGAAATGATGTATCTGTGATAATGCACCTGAATCTTGCAATGCATGTCAGCTTAGAAGCATTGTGCAGAAAGGTGTTCGAATGCATTTCAAGCACAGAAGTGTATTGGAAAGGAGCATACAAAGGAAATGATGTTGTTGTGAGGAGCGATCTTTCGGTGCATGTTAATGGATGCATTCGTAGGGAGGTTGGCTTTCTGATGAAACTGGGAAAGTCGCTTGAGTTTTCGTTGTGTTTTTTTGATGGATTCAGCCGCTGCTTTTGAGGATTGGATTGCTGGCTGTGCTCATAGCTGTGGATGCATTGACAGAATGCTGTGATAAAGATTTTGGTTTTGTGTAAGGCTGTAGATGATACTGGTGGATGGGCATGAGCTAAGGAGGAACTCGATTATAGAGCTGTGTGTACTACCAGACATGATGGTGCACAGAATTATGGCAGGCATAGGAAGGCAGGTGGCGAATGCAGTGTTTGTAGACACTGTCGGAAACCTGAGGTTTGTGACAGATGCTATCTATGTGTTGAGCTACAGAAAGCTTGTGAAGACTCTGCTGTCGTTGAGATCCAGACAAGGATTTGTGCTGTTTATTGACTCAATGACATTTATTGCAGACAAGCAAGTGTCTGATGCACAAAAGATATACAATGTTCTGTGGGAGCTTGTGTATGGGAGTGATGCCACGGTGATTGTTTCGAACCATTACAAGGTGCAGCAAGGCAAGCTTGTGCCACGGCTTGGGGTACGATGGGAGATGATGGCCAGCTACAGGGTGATGTTCAGGCATACAAAAGGCAATACTGTATCATCAGTACACACAAACGAGTTGTTTGAGCAGTAGCTGATGCGTTATAGTGCAGCTGCATCGAAGGCGATATGCAGCATGCTGGATGAGTATAAGTGCCATTATTGGTAATAAATAATATGCGAAAATGTATTTAATGGCGCTTGGTGAACCCCTGGCCTGCTGTTGCAACAGATAATGAGCTACAGTGGGCAGCCAGTGATGAGATGCAGATGTTGAGGCTTGTCAGCAGGGATACAACCCACCCTCTACAATGTCCAGATGAAAAAATGTGCATGACCTGAGGCTTTTATTTATCAAAGTATTGTTGTATACTGCCTTTGTGATTCAACCCTTGCGGATCTGCCGTTGTTGTATTAAACGTGAAGCCTATCAGTTTAGTATAGTGTTGATAGCTTTAATAGTCATCTCCTCTTGTGAGCACCTCCTTTCCCGCTTCACTCAGATATACAGTGTGCTCGAATTGAGCAACCCTGCTACCTTGGATGTCATTCAGTGGGGGATATGGAATCAGCAACCCCATCATTGTCAGCAGATTCAGATTCTTCAATACATCACCATCGATTAGATTGTAATGCTCTAGATGCCTTGGACTGAATGGCAGTGTTCCAAACGATTCCTTGACGAACTCATAGATCTTTATCAAATCCTTGTTGTATAGCTTCCTTGACTTATTGGCATTCAAGATGTAGTGCGAGCATGGCGGCTTGTCATCTATGGTGCCTCTTCCCGTTGTTGCAAATGTTTCTATCGCATAGAACATGTCTCCAACAATCTTTGTTGTGTCCTTGTTGTTAATTGCAGGAATTGATATTCCTCCATGGATCTTGAACTGGCATATTGAATGTCCGTTCAAGTCAGAAATTGGCCTTATTGGCACCATCTTTCCATCAACCATCATCTCGTAACTTGACATCACCTCGCAGATGTTCCTGCCTATGTCGCACACTCTGACATCGATTCCCAACGACCTGATGCCAGTCTCCATACCCTCCTTTGCTGCAGCAAGCAGTGGCTCATACTCATGATTGAATGCAACTGTAAATGCAGAGTCCATGATTCTTCCATTCGAGTGTGTTCCAAAGTCAATTTTCAACACGTCATCTTCACCCAGGAACATATCTCCCTCACCAGGATTCACCGTGTAGTGTGCTGCACACGAATTCATAGACATCCCCACAGGAAATCCTATTCCCTCGTTCTTCTCGCCCTTCAGAAGAATCCTCGTTGACTCCTCAACACACTCTGCAATCTCAAGAAACGTCATTCCTGGCCTGAGTCTCTGCTGAAGCCTGTATCGAATCCTTCGATGTGCTTCTGCCGCCCTGCGTGCATCCTGCAGCACTTCACTCTCAGTGCCATTGCATATCTCTTCATTCTTGCAGTTATATAGCTTTCCTTTTGTGTATATCCCACTCCTCGGAAGAAACTCAATCAGCTGCTCTTCCACTTGATTCAGTAAAACAAATCCCATATGGGTTAGCAAGCACAACAACTCAACTCAGAACAAGCCCAGCGATTCAAAAAGCGTGATCATCATATGCAGAATCAGCTAAATAACCATTTATTATTCATATGAATATTTCCCCCTTGATCGACCATGAATCAGGATTCCTCAATTTTCTCAGGACATCCATGATCTCCTCATCAGTTATATCATCAATCCCGTGCCTTAGGTAATCCTTCGATGGATAATTGAATGATCCAAAGACCAGTTCTCTCATTAGGTACAAAGCTTGATCGTAGTTTGGATTATCCGACCGCAACAATCTTGAACTGCACCACTCCACAAAGTACTTCTTGCGATCAGCTGGTTCCATCGCACATATGTAATCAATGTGCTCCGCTACTTTTTCAAATATTTCCTTGTATTGGGCTCTTGCAAATCCCCAATCAATCTCGTTGTCATCTCTCCAAAAATGGGTTTCATGATAGGACACAAATATCTTTGCATTCTCAGGATCATTCGGATTGACAGGGAACACATGAAGATTCAATTTCCCGATTTCCCCAAGATTAGAATTAAAAAATTCATTGGATTTCACAAACGATTCAAAAAATCCAAGCACGACGGGCAAAACTCTCTCCACTTTCCCTTCTCCAGACCCTTTGTGCATAACATAATGCTGATCTGAATAGAAACCATTGTTAAGATGGATAAACGGCACATCTGACTTCAATTCATTGTCATAGATTCCATAAGGAGATGTACACACATTCGGCCTCAGCAACTCAGCATCTTCCTCCTCTTTGATACACTTGCCAGATCTTATTGCCAGTGCCATTCCGTTCAAAATGTCCGTCTCGTCCTTTGTAATGTCGCCAATTGCAACTATGGTTATGTCAGACATCGACACCAGCTTCTTCCACACAAAACTAATCTCTTCGGCTGTAGACGTATGCTCATTTCTTCTACTCTCCCGTGTATATTCTTCATTCCATCTTTTCAAAACACTGCTCAGGCTTTGCATTTCTGGATTCTCCATGTCCAGCTCTTCAATGCTATCGGCAAAGCTAGACAGCAAGACACTCATCGTTTCAAACAATCTGTCCTTATTATGCACATGGTCGTCAAACCTCAGCACACCATATCCACTGCTAAGCGAGCATGAGTCATTCTCAAATAATACATAAGGAACCTTTCTGAGCCTGTCCTTCTTACCATTGTAAATATGACGGATTAGTGCCATAGCATGGCTCCTCATGCTTGTATAAGGTAGCGAATATCCCAAGTTAAGGTCTCCGATGTCCATCATTATGCATAAATATAAGCTATTTTCATAGTAGCTGTGCAGTTTTTGCCTACTATCATGCACTGTTATCACCTTCACCTCATTATCCATCACCTTTGCCTCATACGACTTGACATCTCCATCATACGACTTGATCTCTTCAAGATATCTTCCAACATTTTCAGCTCCTACATTCCTCACATACTCAATATATTTCATCAGCTTCTGTGAAGACTTCCTAATACTACCAATTATATCTTCGATCTCAGAACACTCTGCTGACTGGCGCTTTTCCCACCCAAGAAATCTCTTGTGTGCACCGGTGCTACTCATGACAGCATTTGCAATCATCAGCATTGCTCCGCATCTCCACAGAAAGCTCATACCCCCATTTCACTGTTCATTTATATATTTTTATTCATCCTGTTGCGCTTATTTATTTACAGCATCAATTAACTCTTGCATTAAAACACACAATACCGTTTTAATCACACATCTTTATTAATCATATAATTTATTCCCCAAATGAACTCTCAATCACACTCTCCGCCTCCAGTATCTCTCCCTTGCGCCCCTCATATTCCCTGCGGCTGTCCTCAAGTATCTCCTCTGCAATCTTCGTCAGTGAATGGCCTTTGCCGTTGTACTTGCAGCAATTCATACTCATAAGCTCAAGATCTCTAAGAAACTCCTCAAACTTCTTATACTTGTTGTGCCTGGCCTTCGTCTTGATCGTCGTCAGGTCAATCGGCTCAGACACAATCAGAAGATAGTCAGGAAACTTCTTCGTGGACACTGGCTTGTGAAACGCAACCGAGTACGGCAGCTGGAAAAACCTTGTCAGCAGCCCAAGCATCACCTCCTGCAGATACACCCTCGCCTTCCTCTTTTCCGCTTCAGCCTTCTTCTTCGTCATCTTCGCCGCCGATGTAAAGTTCGGACATGCCTTGTTTGTCTTCATATGCCCTGCCTGCCCACAGTTCCCACACGTCAGAACACCCTTCCTCTCATCAAGGTTCTTCCTCTTTCTTGCCTTCAAGTACGCTTTGATCACTCGGCTGTCATATACCTTCTCTTCTTCGACCTGCCCATCCTCATATATCCTCCTTATAGTCAAGCACACATCCTCAGACTGCATAGTTGTCTCACTCAATGTGTCGTTCCTGCGCTCCTGCTGATACTTCCTTGCAAGATGCATCTCGTCAAACTGTATGTCCTCCGTAGATCCAAGGGACGCTTGCTGCCTGCTCCATATCTTCTCAATCTCCTCCTTGTACCGCAGCTGGTGCTCGTTAATTATCTTTCTATTCTCAACCTCGTTGCCTCTCTTCAATCGGATTTTGCGGAAGCTTATACCCTCTCCAATCCCAGTAGGATCTCCAGGCCCATTCAGCTCAAGAAGCCCTCGCCCATTGCATGCATTTACAAAGTTCCTGCTCAGGCACCACGAAGGCGGAACAGCCTCTTCTTCATTCTCAGAATCATCACTCTCAACAATAACCTTATGCCCAGAGTCTTGAAGCCTTCGCTCTCCTGCAAGCATACTTTCATATTGGCATATATTCTCAGGTGTAACGAGCTTTCGCAAATCCTCCTCCCCAAGTAGCGCAGAACTTGGTCTCAGCACCCATACATTATCCCTTCCCTTCTTTGCACAGTCTGCATACTCCTTCAGCCACTTCCTTTTGCTTCCCTCACTAAAATATGGAAACATCTCATCAAGCTGCGATATCTTCAACTCCCTGCTTCCTCCGTCCCTTCCATTAAACAGCCGGAACGCTGCAACCTTCAGCCTGTTCTTGCAGAAAATATTCAATCGCCTTGAATGCGGCGCATACACATCCTCCAATGGGAACTGCTGCCCAACACAGTACAGATTCTCAATCTCCCTGAACATGCACACACTTCCCCCTTCTCCTTCTTCAATAATGCATAAATAATCAGGCAAGCTGTGCTTGAAAACCGGCGCAATAAACAGATTGTTAGTCAATGCAAGCATCGATGTCCCGGGCGCAACATCGCCAAACCCAAAAAACGGCGAGGGATCTTCCATATCAAGCACCGTGTATTGCGATTGGTCTGGCGCATACTCGTCACGAGCACTGCTCTTCCTGTAGTAAATATTCAGCAGGCTCGCCATCCCCGGATTCACCACAAAAAACGGATCCTCCTCACTGTACTCAAACAGAGAAAATGGGCTCGAGTCCTTCAGTGTAATCTCCCCCGCCTTCTTGATAATGCTCTGTGCCTTGGCCTTGGCACTTCCAATCGCCTTGAACTCTATATTGCTCCCATGCAGTGTAAACCTTGGCCTGTGGAAGCTCCTGAGCTCATCCTTCGTGTGATTTGTCTTGTAGAACATCGGCTCAAGCCTGAGTGCCGGAAGCGAGTGCTGAACACCAAACGTGCCGAGGCTATTCTTCGTCCTTGACTCCTGTCCATAGTACTTGTCATGCGATATGTTGTATTTGCTTTTCAATGGCTTGTCAACCGAAAACACCTCCTTCTGCTTCTTCTTCTGCTTCACTTGCTTCTTGTCATCAACCTTCTCAAATATCAGGTTCGGATCCTCCAGGTACAGCGTAAGAAACCCCCTGTGTCTCTTCAGATCCTCATCATCCACAACAACATACTTTTCCCATTCGTCTTCAAGAATGCTGTCAACAAGCTCAGTAACAATGGTGCTTCTGCTTGCATGCAGGCCTCCTTTCATCTCCTCATACATCACGTCCTTCTCCCACTCCACAAGATCAAACGGATGCTTAACCTCCTCAACTTGGCTTGTCACATCCTTCAATGCTTTGCTCCTCATCAAATCGCTTTCAAGCTGCCTCCGCTTCAAATACTGCCTTAGTCCACTGCTCCGCACAGATCCAGAAAGCGCCTGCAACGTCGTGCTGTCCTCTCGTGCATATGCAGTGCTGTTCTTAAACTTTGCTTGATCATCCACCTCATACCCCATCGACTCATTCGGAACCTTCCTTCCCTTGTATTTCCTCAGCTTGTACTCATATGGCTTTTCCTCAACCAGCAGCTCAAGAAATCTCAACTCGCTTATATCGTCCACACCATCATGTGCCTGTGTGCTCTGATGCACACCCACACTGCCATGGCATGCATCATCTGTTTCTTCACGCCCATGCATCAACACATTCCTGCCTGCTCCGTAGTCTCCATCACATTCACTTTCTGCATTCCTGCCCGTGCCAATTGCTTCAAAATCCATTTTTGCATTTGCTGCACGTTCATCAAACTCATCATCCATGTGTAAGATGTTTGGGGCATGCTGCTTGCCCATTTCCAGATTTGCTATTATCACGATGATTTTTCAAGATGCACAGCGCCCCCAATGGACATTCCCAGAAGCCAAAGCGAAATACCGCAGGAGTACCTCAATAATGAAAACCCATTTGCATACATGCAGAGCTATGGAGAGGCCCCCGTGATCGATGCCAAGATTAAGGCAGACATGGATGTGATGCTGCAGATGCAACCAAAGTACATCTCCATAGGAATCGGCAGCCATATATTAAGAGCAGAGCAGGTCGCAAAAACAAACGCGTTGATTGAGCTGCATGTCCTGCGGCTGTTGAACGAAGGATTGCAGATACTTCGCCATAACGCACAGATCGGCATGCATGTAAATGGAAGCATCAGTGATATAGCTGATATCGGAATCGGAGCAGAAATGAATTCCAGAGCAGGCGCGGAGTCCTTGCTAAGAAGCAACATTGATAATCAAAATGTGCTTGACATCATGATCCGCATAAATCGGTTGAAACTACTAAGGAGCCAAGAAAGACTGAGGGAAAAGGTCTATCATGCACTTAGGAACACAATTGCACTTGAGATCGTGCAGTCATCGGGGTTTCCACAGCCAATATGCGAGGACACACTTGCAGATGTAATTGAATATGCGAAGCTCAGCAGACTTCCTGCCGCATGCACACACCAGCAAAATAGCCAAGACGAAGAGTACGAGTCAAGCTATACAACAACTGAAAACGAAGATTAAATGTATTTGAATGCATATCTACGCATTTAATCACATCACGCCTGCTATTTCAAAGCATCAATGCTTAATATCCACTATGCTATGCTCTTTCTGCAAACACACACATCGAAGATGTGACAAATCCTTCCAAGTGGTAGATTCCCTTTGTGCCCTTTTTCATTCTCTCTTCATACATCAATGCATTTCTACAGAGTAGTAGAAGCATCCTGGAATCCACGCCAGTAGAAAGCTGCCGAAACAACTCAAGAAGAATCGTTCTTGATGAAATACAGCTGTTCAACAGCGTATATAGCAGCTTTCGTATCTCAATAAACCCTTCTGATGTTTGCCTTGACTTTACAATCAATGTAATTGACGATATTATTGACTCCCATTCAAGCTTCATGCCTCTGTCTTGTATCTTTGCTCTCTTGCCGTCTCCATCAGCCATGTTGAAGCAAAAAAGCTCGAGCATGCACAATGCTCTGCGCATGTTTCCTGCACACTCACTAGATATCTCTGCCAGTGTCTGTGCAGACACACTGTAGTTCTCCTTCTCGAGCACTTTGTTCATCACACCCATCACCTCAGCATCCGAAAATCCTGGAACTCTTACAAAAAAGCATCTGCTCCTTATTGGCTCAATCAGCCTTGAAAGCTCCTCACACACAAGCACAACCCTGAGGCATCCACTGTACACTTCTATAGTTCTTCTCAATGCAGCCTGCGCCTCTATAGACAGCTGCTCTGCTGATATTATTGCAACAAGCTTTATTGCTGCTTTTTTTGTCATTCCTCCAAGCATTGACAGTATTGGCTTCGTCTGTGCCATCTCTTTTATCACGCTTTGAACAATTGCCTTGTCGTGATGACCGTATTTCGCTGGGCATATCTCCATGTATCCATCTGAATCTGTGTATGCAACCTCCAGTTTCTTTGAGCCGCTTGTAACCTCGATCGTTCTGTGCCTCATCTCTGGAGCTCCTCCATACAAATGGTTGACCAGGCTCATCAGAACAGTTCTTTTACCAAATCCAGACTGTCCGTGTACTATTATGTGCGGGATGCTTTCAAGTGTGTAGCTCTTCAATGCATCAATTATCTGTTTTCGCCCATCCATGTCTTCGAATGTAATTGGCCGGTGTCTTTCGATCCATATCATCAGGGTCTGTAATACAATAAGGTAGTATTGCACAAGCTGTTTTTTCTGGACTGCAAAAATCCACTGTTGCATGGGCTCAGGGCCACAATACCCAACTGCAAGCACACGATCTCAAGATGATCACAACAGCAGCCATGATTGTAACAAAGAGCACAACATCGGCGATGAATGTACAAAGCAGCAGACGAATGGCCAGATTGATCATCAAGCATTTATGGAGCTTGTTAATGAATACTTTGGAGAAATGGACGCAGAAGTGTTTGCTGCAGTTATTTCAAGAACGATGATCGATGATAAGTCGTGCATCTATGATGCTCAGAGCAAATGCAACGGTTTATGTAGCCATGTGTGTGAAGATACATCATCTTCTGCATTTTCAGATGATATTTGCCATATCGAGATGCTTTACAGGCAACAAGTAGCCATCAACAACAAGAGGAAGGCACTTCTTGAGAAGAAGCTCAAAGACAGGCTCAAATACTTTGGCTACTGGGAAATACTCAGATCAATTGATGAGGAGATAGAAGGCCTGGCTACCAAGAAGAAGCGGAATAGGAGCATAGAAGAGCAGATTGTGGAAGCTCTTGGAAGACGGCAGCAATTTTTGTCATTGTTTGCCAGCATTGGTGCTCTTGAAAACGACTTTGAGGGCTACGAGGCACTGTTTGATTCGACTGAGGATGTGGACTGCAGGAAGTATGGGATTGAGCGGATCGAATATTTTGGGGGTGGACAAGCAGCCTAGGAATAACACGCCAGAGATAAGCTGGATGGCGCAGCAGAGTGTATCTGTGCAGGTGGTTTGATAGAGGAGTCAAATGGACAAATGCAGGCGGGTGCGATGCAGACAAATGCGTGATGAGAAGTGTATTTTTGAACACCCTGCATGAGTCTGAGTGAGAGGCTGAACAGGAAACTGGATGGAGGAAAGTTCAGATTGCTGAACGAGAAGATGTATCGTGGAAAAGGCCTTGGAAAGGGAAACTTGCAGCTGTATCATGAGCTGTATGGATCGCAAGTGATGAAGTGGCCGGTGAATCCATTAAATGTGGTTATAGAAAGGATCAAGCAGCTGAATGCAGAACTGGCAATTGCAGATATAGGCTGTGGAGAGGCAAGAATAGCAAAGGAGTTCAAGAATGTGGTATCGCTGGATATACATCCGACTACGAAGGATGTGGTGCATTGCGACATGTCGAAGAAGATTCCGCTCGATGACGAATGCATGGATGTTGCAGTGTGCTGCTTGAGCATGATGATGGACAATATTACGAGTGCAACGAGGGAGGTAAACAGGATTTTGAAGAAGGGGGGATATTGGTATGCAGCAGAAGTAAGGAGCAGGATAGAAAGCGTGAATCTGTTGGGAAAGAGGTTTGAGTCGTTTGGATTTGATGTTGACTATGTTGATGTAAGCAACAAGCAGTTTGTACTATATGTACTACGAAAGAGAAAGCTGGTGAATGACAGAAGAAAAAAGCCGATACTGCTTATGCCATGCATGTACAAGAAGAGATGATGCTTGGAAACGTAAATGAATGCATGTACAAGGTGATGTTTATTTTGCTACTTTTCAGGTATGTACGAGAAGAATATAAATGCAACTGAATATGCGGAGTAATATATCAGGAACACTATTGAGTATGAGATGCCCAGTGCAGACATTTCTGTGCAAGAACTGCAGTTTTTATTGCCTGTTTTCATTACAAAGACATTGTCGATGACTATGAAGAATGCAACCAGAGTGAGTATTTTTGCAATGACATGCGCAACTTAAGTTAATGAATGGCACTTACCATTGATTGCTCTGAGATAGAGTTTGTCCTTCTTTATGACTGGCTTTGCAAGAGATACAAGCAGGGTGTAGATTGCGATACCTGTGATTACCTGGCTTGCAAAGAAGTATTTTGAGAGCACAGTGGTCATGAGGATGAGTGTAGCTGTGTTTGAAAGCTTGAAGTTAGACAGAAGCACTTACGATTTCGAGTTTATCTGTTGTTGTGGCCTGCATTATTTGATGGGTCTGCAATAGCAAAGATGTTGTGCAGGACTGTAGAAAGAGAATGTGTTATATGAGGAAGTGGAATGATGCTTGGTCAAGGAGAATGATGTGGTGATTGATGGAATAAACTGGATATGATGAGTTTTTGGGTTTTTTGGTTTAGGTTGGGCTATGTGTTATGTGCTCAGTTGAGGGAGTTGAATGGTGGAGTATATGCAGATACAAAAATATTTGAAGGAAATGCCCATGATGAGGAGATTTACAATGACGCCAAGCTCTAGAAATCCTGTTAAGACGCCTGTTTCAGGGATGAAGGCTGCACCTTTTCCAAGGCATTCGCTTGGGGCAGAAGAGGCACGAAGGAGGGATGTGAGGGTTGTGAGGGAGAAGGGATATGTGCAGCAGTGTGTTGATGGAGTGCATGAATTTCTTGTTGAGAACGGATATGAAGGGGTTATTTCGCAGAAGGTGCTTCACAATCCGTCGTCAAGGGATTTCCAGAGCATTTTCAAGTTTGTGTATGGGTTTATTGATGATATTGTGTTTTCAACGAGGTTTGAGGACGATGTTGTGAATGCGATGAAGAGCCTGAGGTATCCGTATTGTGGAGAGATAACGAAGAGCCAGCTTGCAGCGATTACTCCGCACACATGGCCGGTGATTCTGAGCATGTGCTATTGGCTGGTTGAGCTGGTGAGGATGGGGAGTGTGGAGAATGAGGAAGGGCAAAGCGGAGTTGATGGGTGTTTTTTTGAATATGTGTGTGAAGGATATCTGAGGTTTATGGAAGGAGAGGAGAGTGAAGGGGACGAGGAGGAGTTTGAAAGGAAAGTTATGGAGATATACACGGAGATGTTTAGTGGGATAGACAAGCGAAAGGAGGAGCTGAGGATGATAGAGGGGAAGATAGCGGGGATGGGGAATGCTCTTGAGTCGCGTGAGCAGCTGGAAGGGAAGAAGAAGGAGCTGGCGGATGATCTGAACATGCTGATAGCGTCTGAAAAGCAGCTGGAAGGGAAGAAGAGGAAGTATGCAGCAATGCTAGAGAGGACATGCGAGGAGATATGCAAGGTTGAGGAGGAGATTGAGTGTCTGCGTAAGGATGAGGAGGATCTTAGGGGGCAGATTACTAGGCAAAGGATCAATCCTGAGGATGTTAAGGAGATGAATGTGGAGAAGATTGAGCTGTTCAAGGAGTTGGAGAGGATGAAGCCAGAGAAGGAGGGATTGATGAGGTATGTTGCGATGCAGGAGCGAGAGCTGCATGAGATGGTTGAGGATGTTGAGAAGCTGTGTTTTGATTTGAAGGGGCTTAGGGATGATATTTCGCTGAGGTATGCGAAGGAAGGAAAGGCAGAGCAAGGGAAGATTAACAAGATTGTGAATGAGGCGAGTGGAGAGGTATTTGAGGAAGGCATATCGAGGGTGATTATACAGCTGGAGGATGAGATGGCGCTGAAGGGAGAGACCATGATGAGCATTGAGATGAGCAAGAGTGTTCTTGAAGAGACAAAGAGTGAGAAGGAAGGGATGATGAACGAGCTGAGCAATAGGTTTAAGTATTGCAATGACAAGCTTGTGACGGCAGGAAAGCTGTATCTTGAGAAGAAGGAAATATCTGAGAGTGGGCAGAGACGAAGCAAAACAGAGATGGAGATGCTGGAGAACGAGCTGCTGAAGCTGAATCTTGAGTCGAGCACGTCGCTGCTGATGAGTGAGCAGAAGCTGCAGAAGGCAAGAATTCAGCTGGATAGGGTGTTCAACAATATGAACTATGAGCGTGAGGAGATCAGTAAGATGATATTTAATTTCTACAACACGATGAGTGATGTGTATGTGCTGATACAATCGCAGGTTGAAGAGCTTAGAGGATTAGTGGAAGGATAGATGTGTATAGAGTGAGATGCGGCATTGAGTATGAGGAATGGATGATGAATGGTGTGATTGAAGAATGGAGCTGTTGTGAATAAAGCAGCATGAAGCTATTTTAGTTGATAATTTTTGCCCTTTTGAAGGACTGATGAAGAGCGTTAATACAAGATTTGGTGGGAAGAGGAATGATAGGATGGATGCGAAGGGAAGAATGAACAAGAGGGAAGTGCGAGGGAAGGAGAGGATGCAGAACAAGAAGAAAGGCAGTGCACTGAAGGGAGGCGATAAGAGAGTGTTGGTTGAGGCGCATCCGAGGTTTGCAGGGATATATGTTTCGCGAGGCAAGGAGGATTTGCTGCTTACGAAGAACATGGTACCTGGTGTGAGTGTGTATGGAGAGAAGAGGGTTGTAGTTGAATGTGATGGAGAGAAGGTTGAGTATAGGATGTGGAATGCATATAGAAGCAAGCTTGCAGCAGGGATAGTATGTGGGGTGAAGGACATACATATTGGGCCGGGGAGCAAAGTGCTGTATCTGGGAGCGTCATCTGGGACGACTGTTTCGCATGTATCTGACATTGTTGGCAAGGAGGGGGTGGTGTATGCAGTTGAGTTTAGCGAGAGGTCTGGACGGGACTTGGTGAACATGTGTATGAAAAGGACGAATGTGGTGCCGATCATAGAAGATGCAAGGCATCCGTCGAGGTATAGAATGCTTGTGCCGATGGTTGACTGTATTTTTTCCGATGTGTCGCAGCCAGACCAGACCAGGATTGTTGGATTGAATGCACAGTATTTTTTGAAGGAAAGCGGAGGAGTTGATGTGTCTATCAAGGCCAACTGTGTGAATTCGGCAGTACCGGCAGAGACTGTGTTCGCGGACGAAGTGAATGTGCTGAGGAAATGTGGCATAAGGCCGAAGGAGCAGGTGACGCTTGATCCGTTTGAGAAGGGCCATGCGGTTATTGTTGGAGTGTTCAAGAGTAGCAAGCCATCAGAAAAGTGATGGAGAGCTAGATAGAGTCTGGCATGGGTATAATAAAGTACTAGAACGAAGTTGTCTGTTGTGTGTTTGTAGAGCATCAATCAGGTCTGTACAGATGCATATTAAATTCTTATGGCTGATTGATTTACGATGGATGCCCTTTACCTATGAACAATTCATTCAATATTCTATAAATGAGCTTTACCAATATCTGCTGTAATATTGAAGTATATTCAATTCAATCAGTTTATTTATCGAAGGCTTATTGGATTCACATGCACAAGTCTGTCTTGCCATGCATAAGCACTACCACGTCATGGCAACTTTCTTCTTTGTCTTCTTGTCTCCCTCATCATCAGACACATGAGCACTCTCCTCAAACTCAGCAACATATCTCTTCTTCCTTTTTATTTTCTTCTCTCTTGCAACGATCTGCTTGTTGGCTATGTGGAATCTATCCTTCAGCTCCACTCCATATATCCCACTCTCCAGCCTCATCATTAGCTCATCTCCGATGTTCTTCTCAAAATTGACCTTGTTCAGCGATCTGAGTGCACGTAGCTTCTCCCTCCTGTTCATCTTCTTCTTCCGCACCATGTATTCAGTCTTTCCATGCTCCTTGAAGTACTCAAGCCTCTGCAAATACTGTGTAAACTTCGAGAGCTTCTGCTTGCACTTATGAATCATCTTCTCATCCCAGAACTCAAGATTCTGCTCTATCTGCCTGAGTGCCTCCTCATAGCTCGTTGACAGCTTTATCTGCTCATACATGTCTTTAGGCACATGTAAACGCTCAGGCTCCTTTACAAAAAGATATAGCGACTCCCCAACCGCCCTTACCGTTGCATACTTCGAATTCGCCAACGGACACGAAAACCTCTCGCATACTCCCGTCACATTGTTTGGATTCCTGCACAGCAGATTATCTTCCGTGCTCATCTTGAACGAACAGTAATTCTTTCCGCATATGCTGCGCCACATGCTTTCGTCAGACATCCCGTGGGTATCACCCAAATACAAAAATAAGTCCCCATCAGACATCCAATGCGAATCACACCCGTGATTCTCTGGTGTATATCAACGTCGACCGCCGATTATAGCAGACACACACTCAGAAAATCACACTCTGTGTTTTATTCCACACGCTGACACTTCAATCCATGATCCTAAGCATTCATTCATTTATTCAACAGCCATCCAATATTCACTTGCATAATCTACACATTCAAATGCTCAAATGAAAATCCATTTGGAAAAATCTCTGCCATGCTTGACACACCAACCTTCTTCAGCAGCTCTGCAAGCTTCCTTCTAACAAGAAGATGCCCTCTATGCAGCCTTCCATGGATATGGCTAGCATTCTTCGACTTCGTATCGCTCAAAGCCAGGCTAGAGCCGCACACCATACACCTATCCATTCCAGAGCCTCCGTTTCTTGCAAAGTGTGCTTCTTTCAGCTTCTCCAAGCTCATCTTTACTTTCTCACACTTAAGAAACGCCTCATATGCCTCCCTCACGCCTTCTTGCTTCACAAGCTGCTGGATGGTGCTGTATTGCTCGTTGAATCTCTCCTCCGTTTCCATAATCTTGTCCAAAAGCTCAATGTCTTTGACCTCGTCATTCCGCTTCTCAAGGCTCCTTTCTGTGTACACCACAATCTCCACAAGCAGCCGGATAAACTCCCACTCATACTGCTCAATCCCAACACTTCCCTGCCGGCAATACTCAACCTTGTAGTACTCCTCATGGCTTGTGTATCTACACCTCCCAATGCTTCGCCTTGTGCTCTCAAACAGCTTAAAAGGACAGAAACACACCAGCATATACTTGCATATGCTTTCATCAATCGAACGTCTTTCTGTGCTTCGGTAGATATCCCTGTCTAATCCAAGCAGCGTGTTCAAAACCTCTCTTGCTCTGTCCACCATTTAAAACCAAAGGGACTCTAAACCGCAATATTACTTCCATCATTCATGCTCTCCTCCATCAAATGCTCTATACATCAAATTTTAATCAATCTCCAGATTCCTTCCTTCTCACAACCACTTGCTCTCCATTCTTCAATCTTACGACACAGTGCCTCAGTATGCCTCCCAAAAAGCACATGTAATCGTGAGGCAGGTCAGACTTCATCAAATTCAAATACCTCAGGCAATTCCTGAAGTGCGTGCTTATTTCATAAAACACTGTTCCTTCAAATCTACATCCTATAAACTCAATCCTAACAAGCTTAGAGTACTTCGTGCACATCGTTCTTGCAAGCCTGCCATCTATCTCTGCGTTGCGCACACTGAGAAAGCTCACCCTTGGAACACTCATCTCACTCAAATGCTTTATGTCACTGCCTTCCACACACATAGCCTCGGCTTCGCACAGTTCAATGCCTGATAGATACTTCATGCCATTGAGACATCTGATCCTACTTGCAAATGCACAAAATGCAACTTCCACATGCACATCCTTGCTCCGTACCTTAAACCATGTCACATCACTCATAACACATCCACTGACAACCCTTTCTATATCCACTTCCATATTAACCAATTCAATTCGCTTCAGTCGAGGCATTTGCTCAACCATCCTCATAAGCATATCGCTATACATCCCAACTCCATGACTACAAAATCCATTTCTGTTTGCTGCCTCCTCAGATACAACAACTCCATCAAGCGATACACTCACCAGTGTTCCTATACTTAAGATACACTCCAGACTTGCATATGATATTGTACATCCCTTCATCTTTATCTCTTCCAGCAAATCCATACACGGCATTCGTGTTACATCCACTTTCGAGATATTCTCCATCTCCAGCACTCTTATCATACTCCCATTAATCGAATACACATCAAAGTAGCATGTGTTTCTTATGCACAGGCTGCTCAGATTCACAAAAGGACACAGATCTACATCAAACACCGTCTTGCAATCATATACCACTTTTCTTTCGTACGACATCTTCCATGGTGCATGCACAGGCACCGCCTCATTCACTCCAGTACTTCTGCAAAAGCCTTGCAAGCGCCGTTCATACCTCGACATCATGTACAATACATCAGCAGGAACACGTAATACTCCTCCTGTCTGTTTATCCTCGCATATCATCTGCCGTTTGCAGTGCATCCCAATATCCGTTATTCTTCTCATGCACAGGGCCCTCTGGCTAGCATATTTGCAGACACACAAAACCCTCTGCCTTTCAAATGAATCCTAAGGAATCCGGAATTGCAATTGTATCAATAGGAATGTCTGTGTTTGCAATAGGAATGCTTTTGCTGATGGACAGGGCATTGATGATATCTGGCAATCTCCTGATAGTCGTAGGGCTTGCATTGTTGCTGCGATCAAAGTCACTTGCATTATTGAGCATCGATAGAATCCATGGCGTAGTTTTGTTTGTGATGGGAATTATGTTTCTGGTCTATGGATTCTCTGTATTTGGCTTTGTGCTGGAAGTGGCTGGACTATTCGCGATGCTGAAAGACAGCATTCCCACATTCAGGTCTGTGTTGAGGAACTTGCTGTTTTCAAGGCTCCCTATGCTGATGAGTAAAAAATAAGCTGGCATGATGGCTCATCACACATTAATTACAGTATGGCATTAAACAAGATATATTCGCTCGAGTTTATTATTCTGTCCTCTTCGCTCGATTCAGCGGACATTCGATGTGTGTGGCCGTGTCTTCACAGTCGTCATTCTCCCTTAGAAGGCTCAGCCCATAGGTGTTCAATATCCTAACTGCTTCGATTTCCTCTCTGTTGCATCTGTCTGCGCCCCAGCGATGCTTTCTTCTGAACACATCAAGAACCTGCCCAACACATTCATATGCCTCCCTAACATCAAAAAGACTGATCATAAGCCTGTTAGAGAGAACATCGCATATACTGGCTGCTAGTTCATTGTCTATACAGTACTCAACCTCCGAAGCAAGATACGAATACTTTCTGGACATCACGTGCCTCTTTTCTCCATCGGCCATGTAGCGCGCAAGCTTCAATGCCCTTGTTCCATAAAACCTGGCAAACCGTCTAGCCATATCCTCGGGCACCTTCAGCTTCCTCTTGATCTCCTTCCATGTATCCTCAGTATATCCATGTGCGCCAAGGATCTTTACATGCCTGGTCACGCACTGCCTTTGCGGATGCAGAGAAAATACATTTACCGCGATGTCGATTGCCTCCTCAGCCATTTTCCTGTATATTGTCCATTTACCACCGGTGATGGTGATCAATCCATTGTCATCAATGCCAATGTAGTGCTTCCTCACAATCGAGTTTGTGTCGGATACATTGCAATCTTTCACAAGCGGCCTTATTCCTGTCCATACTGCCGAAACATCTCGTCGTGTTGGCCTTGGAGACACAGAAGAGTACGACCCAACTTCATTCAGCAGAAAGTCAAGGTCTTCTTCGGTTGGAGTCGTGTCTCCATCAACGGTCCTTGCATCCGTCGACCCAACAAGTGTCTTTCCCATCCATGGCATGAAAAATATCACTCTGCCATCGCTTGACTGGGGATCGAGAAAGCCCGTGTCTCTTGGAGTGTACTTGCCAGAAAGAACAATATGTGTTCCTGAGCTTTGAACAACAATTCTATCCTTGCACTTCTCGTCCATCATCCTGAGCGTGTCCACAAGATTCCCTGTGCTGTTGATGATCCCCTTTGCACGCACTTCAACTGTTTTGCCCGCGACTTCATCCCTGCACCTGATCCCAACAATCTTCTCGCACTCAAAAATCAACTCTGTTGCAGACATGTGGTTTACAACCACTGCGCCATGGTATGCTGCAGTTACAGCAAGCATCACGTTGTTTCTTGCATCATCTTGCTGGCCATCAAAATACACCATCGCGCCATGCAGGCTTTGCCTGTTTACCTGAGGAAACATGTGCACGGTCTGCTCCTTTCCAATAAAGTAGCTCTTGCCCAACGACCTTATGCCCGACATCCAGTCGTATAGCTTCAGGCCAATATAGTAATAAGGCACCCATGCCTTGCTGTATATTGGAACAATGATCTTGATTGTGTTTGTTAAGTACGGCGAAATACTGAACATTACTGTTCGTTCGCTCAGTGCCTGGAATACAAGCTTGTATTGCGACCAGCCAAAGCTTGCAACTGCTTTTGCAAGATACCTTACCCCGCCATGCACAAGCTTTGTGGACTTTGAGCTTGTGCCTGATCCAAAATCCATTCTTTCTATCAATGCCACCTTGAGTCCCCTGGTGGCAGCATCCAATGCACATCCTACACCAGTGCATCCGCCACCAACAACAAGAAGATCAAAGGATTCCGATTCTAACCTGCGCAGCATTTCATCTCTGCTGCAAGGAGCCCACTCTAGTGGTGGAGCCTTGTCAAAACTCATTGCAAGCTTGTTCCTTCTTTTGCAGTACAGATACCTGATGATCACAACTGCAAGAGCCGTAGCAATAAATGCGCCGATTGCCATGCACATGGTGTTCTTTTTGTTTATATTCCACAGAGCACATGCTCTACTTAAACTGACGAATTGTGTTTACACATGAACCAATTGGATCGTGCATGCCGCCGGCTAACCTGAATTGCTGTAGTCATGCGCTTGAGCATTGCCTGATTGGTTGGTCAAGCCGGGCCTTAAAGAATAAAAGTTCTAGCAATGCCCTGTGCATGCAGGGAGTCAAGTTTATAGATGTACTGAAGTCGTTTGAAGAGAAAGCCGATGGAGAGGATTACAGGAAGAAAAAGAAGGGATACGAAGAAAGGAAGCTGATTGAGAACGATGTGAAGCGCACACAGCTTCTGGGGGTTAGGAGGGTATCTGAGGAATCTAGTGTTCTTAAAATGATTCTTTTTGACTGTCTGTGCACGATTCCTGTTGAGTATGTGCAGGGAATGAGTGAAATAGCATCTGTGTTTGTTCTGCACTATTTCAGAGACATTGTTAGGAAGGAGATTGGAGTGGGAGTGGATATGAAAGAAACGAATGAATATGCGGATATGGGAGAAGATGATGAGGTTGATGTTTCTGAACGGTTTATAGATGCTGGAGAAGACGAGAAGGCGAGGCTTAAGGAGATGATGAGGAAGCACGCAGAAGTCAAGGATGTGCTCAGGACGGTGCTGACGAATGTGTTTAGAAGGAAGTTTGAGCCTATAGTAGCTGATGGATTCAAGGAGTACAGAAAGAATATGAAGGTGTTTGTGGAAATGATAAGACGGCGAACTGGGACAAGGATATCTGAGATGGAATGCTTCCGGTTTATGGAGAGCATTCTGACGTTTTTCCTAAGGAATTTGTCCAATATTGAGGATGTGCACAAGATGTTTGAGATAATTCTTGCATGTCCGAATAACTGTCCATTTGTTCTGCTTGTGCTGTTCTATGAACAGATATCTAGGAAAAAGGCGATACAGAAGGTTGATGATGACCTATTTGTGAGGGTGATTGAGACTGAAGAGGAGTTTATCAGGACACAGAAGAGGATTGAGGAGGGAAGTAGAGTATCCAGAAGGAATATGCTGGTTGCAGGAGGGATTGTCAGTGTGGTTGTAGCAATAGTGATATATGGAGCAATGAAGAGGGAAGGGTCTAAGGGATGAGGCGGATGCATTAAGGAGTTGGCATAAGATTTGACAAGAAAGGTGTGAGATCCAGTGGAGCGAGAAGGATTAAATCGATTTTTTGTGATTTATGTATGTTTTGTGCGAGCATTTACCAGATGCATGCTTATGTTGATAGCTCATATTCAGGCGCTGGTAAGTACGAAGGCTTGAAACTGGATGTGTTTTGGATATGGCATGCTGAAGTGGATTATGACTAGCAGGCTGCCGTAAAAAGGCATGCTTTGAGTCCCCCGAATGTTATTCAGCGAGAAGATAAGGGTGATGCCTCTTGGAGCAGGGAATGAGGTTGGAAGGTCCTGTGTGATTGTTGAGTGTGCAGGTAGAACATTGATGCTTGACTGCGGAGTGCATCCAGCATACACGGGAACGGCGTCGCTTCCGTTTTTAGATCTGATTGATCTGTCGAAGGTTGATGCGGTGTTTATTACGCACTTCCATCTTGATCATGCAGCAGCACTGCCGTTCCTGACTGAGAAGACGAACTTCAAGGGGAAGGTGTACATGACACATCCAACAAAGGCGATTCTTAAGTGGCTGCTAAACGACTACATAAGGATCATCAATGCATCCTCGGATGTTGACTTCTACACGGAGGGAGACCTGACCAGATGCTATGACCGGATTATTCCAATTGATTATCACCAGGAGGTCAATGTGAAGGGAATAAAGGTGAAGGCACTGAATGCAGGGCATGTGCTTGGTGCAGCGATGTTTCTGATAGAGATTGAGAAGAGCAAGCTGCTGTACACTGGGGACTTTAGCAGAGAAGAGGACAGGCATCTTAAAGCCGCAGAGTCGCCAGAATGCAGGCTGGATGCGCTGATTACCGAGTCTACATATGGAGTGCAATGCCACCTGCCCAGGGCTGAGAGGGAGAGCAGGTTTACGGGTGTTGTCCAGAATGTTGTTTTGAGGGGAGGAAGATGTCTTCTTCCTGTTTTTGCACTTGGACGGGCTCAGGAGCTGCTTCTTATTCTTGAGGAGCACTGGGGGTCGAATGTGCAGCTTCAGAAGATTCCGATATACTATGCATCTGCACTGGCGAAGAGGTGCATGGGGGTTTACCAGACATACATAGGGATGATGAATGAGAGGATCCAGCGGCTAAGCCTAGTAAGAAATCCGTTTGCATTCAGGTATGTGCAGAGCCTGAAGGGGATTGACTCGTTTGATGATGAGGGGCCGTGTGTGATAATGGCAAGTCCAGGGATGCTGCAGAGTGGGCTTTCTCGGGATCTTTTTGAAAGGTGGTGTTCTGATGCAAAGAATGCGGTGATAATACCTGGGTACTGTGTTGATGGAACGCTTGCGAAGGAGATTCTGAGCGAACCGAAGGAGATAGATGCACTGAATGGGAAGAGGCTGAGGCTGAGCATGACAGTGGAGTATATTTCGTTTAGTGCGCATGTTGACTTTACTCAGAACAGCCAATTTATTGATGAGTGCCAGCCAAAGCATCTGTTTTTTGTGCACGGAGAGGTAAATGAGATGCAGAGGCTTCGGAATGTGATACAGCAGCGGAATGAGAAGAATGGGGTGGAGATGGCGCTTTACACGCTGAGGAATGGCGAGGAGGCGAGCTTTGATGTTATTAAGGACAATGAAGCGAAGATATTTAGTGGGTTTGAGGGGGAGTTTGAGGGGGTTGTCATCGGAACTGAGGATGACATCAGGATATACCGAAGGAACGAGCTGGCCGATTCGAAGTACAAAGAGGTGAGTGTATATGAGCGGCAACGGATTCCGTACAACTCGACAGGCGTGTTTCTGAAGCAGGTGCTTGTCGACAGTTTTGAGGAGCTTGTTGAGGTTAGCAAAGGGTTTCTGGTTGGCAATGTGCTGGTGATGCTTGAGGGGCATGAGGTGGTGCTTGAATGGAAGAGCAACTATGTTGATGATGTTTTAGCGATTGCGGTTAGCAAGGTGATTTCTGATGTTGGAAAGAAGGCAAGAGGAGCGAAGCTGAGTATGATGGGGCGTGAGGAGTTACTGATGAAGGTGTTGAAGAACTACTTTGTGATTGAACGGCAAGCAGATAGGATCAGGGTGGTGAGTGGAGAGAAAGAGGCATATGTTGCTGATTTCGATGTGTATGGAGATGCCGAGATGTGCAGTAAGGTAAAGGAATACATGAAGAAGATAGATGCAATCTACTTTGATTGCAGATAGATACGATGGAAAGATGTGTTGGCTGAGAGGCAAGTATAAAGTGTATGAATGGTAATTAAATGTTTGTTTTGAGAAGAGATTATTTTTTGAGAGCCCTGAAAGCATGAAGATCACTGAGAGAGTTATTGTTTCTGAGGAAGGGGCGTTCCGTCATGTGAATTACCAGGAGGATGTCCGATGCACGCCTGATGGATCGAGGACGATTCTGGAGGTATTTTTGAACCGATGTAGCCTGATGGGAGAACGGCCAATGATGGGAACGATAGTTGGGCCTGAGGTTGTATATCAGACGGCAAACGAGGTGAAGAGCAAGGCGGAAAGCCTTTCGAGCTTTCTGAATGGAATAGTAAAGCCGGGAGACATGATTGGGATATACTCGCCGAACAGGTATGAGTGGGTTACAGCGGAGATGGCAGGATACATGTCTGGATGTGTGAATGTGCCATTGTATTCGACGTTTTCGCCTTCTGTAGTCCGATTGGTTTTTGAGGAGACAGGCATGAAGGTGGTTTTTGTATCTGCAGATAAGGCAAAGCTGTTGCTTGAGAATGTGTTTCTGGTGTCTGGAGGGGAGCAGTTCCATGTGATTATGATGGACAAAGATGAGGATGTATGTGAGAAGCTGAGAAGAACTGGTGTGAGCACGAGTTATTTTGATGATCTTGCAAATGGAGAAGGAAGAAGCAATGCGGAGCTGTATCCGAATGGAGAGGATCTTGCAACGGTGTGCTACACGAGTGGAACGTCTGGAAAGCCCAAGGGGGTAATGCTAACCCACAGGAACTTTATTTCGTCGATAGCAGCGTTTTATAGAGGGTCTACGAAGGAAGAGCAGCCATCTTTTGTGAATCATGATGGCGTGTATCTGTCGTATCTGCCGCTAGCACATGTGATGGAAAGGCTGTGCATGAATATTTCGATATCGGAGGGGCTGAAGGTAGGGTTTTACCGAGGGGATGCAAAGATGCTGCAGATGGACTTTCTGACGATTAAGCCTGCGTTTATTGCATCAGTGCCTAGGATTTTGAATGTTTTTAAAGACAGGATTGAGATGGAGATCCGAAAGAAGAACTTTCTTGTTAGAGGGATGTTTAAACTGGCACTAAAGTACAAGATATGGAGGCAGAAAAAGGGTGTGATGCGAAGTAGGATTCTTGACTGGATGATATTTGATAAGGTGTCTGAGAAATTTGGAGGAGAAATCAGATGGATACTGTGTGGAGCAGCGCCGTTGAAGCCAGAGGTGTTGTATTTTATCCAGGCGGTGTTTTCGTGTCGTGTTTTCCAGGGATATGGGCAGACGGAGAACATTGGAGCAGGGCTGCTGCAGCCTCTTGACTGTGAGGATTACGACAATGTTGGGATTCCGTATCCGGCGAATGAGATTAAGCTTGAGAAGATATCGCCTGAGTTTCAGCAGGAGTGTGACAGAAGGCACCCGAATATGGTTGTTGGAGAGATAATGATGCGAGGAGAAAACATCACGAGTGGGTACTACAAGCGGCCGAGCGACACAAAGGCGCTGTTTGGCAATGGCGGGTGGCTCCGCACAGGAGATATTGGGATGTATGATCCGGCTAAGGGGCTGTTCCATATTGTTGGGAGGATTAAGGATGGGTTTAAGACGTCCCAGGGTGAGTATATTGATCCTGAGAAGCTTGAGAACATGTATGCAGATGGGAATGTTGTTATGGACGTGTGCATACCAAGAAGGACGGATAGTGACAAGATAGTGGCGATAGTGGTGTGTCCGGATGAGCGCAGAAGCGAGGCCAGTGTTCTGGCGCATGTAAAAAGGATTGGAGAGAAGCTGTTTTTGGAGAAGGCTGTGACGAAGCTTGAGATTCCGCACAATGTTGTTGTTATACGCAAAGGGTTTGACTGTTTTGAAGGACAGGAGTTTCTTACGCCTACGTCGAAGAAGAAGAGATACGAGATTGAAGTGTATTTTTCTCGGGAGATTGATGAGGCATTGCATTTATGATTAAATGATGTGGTATTTGATGTGTGTGAAGGAAGCGGCGTGACGCTACTAGAAAGGATTTTTTAGCGCATGGCAGGACCCTGAAATGGAGAATCTGCAGAACGCAAAGAGGACAAAGGTTGAGGAGTCTGGGATGGAAAGGATTAGAAGGCAAGTAGAAGTGCTTGTTGGCGGATTGGAGCTGAAGCATGTGGATGTTGAGGAGCTTATGCAGAAGATACGCTCTGGATGGTGCGACGACATGAGCTGGAGGGAGATGGTGTATTGCAGCGGAGAGACGGCAGCAGCAATGATAACGAAGCATCCTGAGTATGGGACTGTCTCTTCAAGGATAGTTATGATGCATCTCAGGGAGGCGACGATGGAATCTTTTGTGGAGAAGATCAAGTATATACAGAAGCACCGAGGTATAATTTCTGAGGAGATGTACGAGCTGATTGTAAGGCGTGGGGCTGAGATAGAAAGAATGATAGACTATGAGAATGATTTTAGGTTTAGCTATTTTGGGATTCTTACGCTGGCGAAGTCGTACTTGGTAAGGGTAGGGGATGAGATTGTTGAAAGGCCGCAGGATATGCTGATGAGGGTGGCATTGCAGATACATGGAGAGGACTTTGACGAGGTGAAGGAGACGTATGAGATGCTTTCTGGGCATTACTTTACGCATGCAACGCCTACGCTGTATAATTCATGCATGAAGAATCCGCAGCTAGCAAGCTGCTTTCTGATAACACCGAAGGAAGACTCGATTGAGGGGGTGTATGACATGGTCAACCAGACAGCAATAATATCGAAGTATGCGGGAGGAATAGGGCTGAATCTCCATGGGATAAGGTCGAAGGGATCTGCGCTGCGAAGTACTGGCGGACGAAGCAACGGAATTATTCCGCTGATACAGGTGCTGAATTCTACAAAGAGGTATGTGAACCAAGGGTCTGAGCGAAGGCCCGGGTCGATAGCGATTTTTCTTGAGCCATGGCATATGGAGATATTTGACTTTCTTGAGCTGCGCAAGAACACGGGTGCTGAGGAGCTGCGTGCCAGGGATGTGTTTACTGCACTGTGGGTGTGTGATTTGTTTATGGAGCGGGTGAAAAACAACGAGGAATGGTCATTATTCTGCCCGAACGAGGCAGTGGGTCTTGCCGAAGTATGGGGAAAGGAGTTTGATGAGTTGTACTGCAGGTATGAGAGGACAATAAGCAGGACGGTTGTTCCTGCACAGAAGCTATGGAAGGCGATAGTTGAGTCACAGATTGAGACCGGGACTCCGTATATGTGCTACAAGGACACGTGCAACCGGCTGAGTAATCAGCAGCACCTGGGCACCATCCGGTCGTCGAATCTCTGTGCAGAGATTATAGAGTATTCGGCAGCGGATGAGACAGCGGTCTGCAACCTTGCTTCTGTATGCTTATCGAAGTTTGTGAAGGGCGGAGGGTTTGACTTTGAGCTGTTTGGAAAGGCAGTAAGGATGCTAACGCGGAACCTGAACAAGGTGATTGACAAGAACCACTATCCTGTTGAGGAGACGCGAAGGTCGAATCTAAGGCATCGCCCGATTGGGATAGGTGTGCAAGGGCTTGCGGATCTTTTTGCGATGCTGAGGCTTCCATTTGACAGTGAAGAAGCCAGGAAGTTGAACAGGGAGATTTTTGAGGCGATGTACTACTTTTCGCTGGATGCCTCGTGTGAGATAGCGGAGAGAGAAGGGCGGTTTGACTCGTATGAAGGATCGCCCATAAGCAAGGGGAAGTTCCATTTTGAGCTTGCGGGGCGGAGTGGGTCTATATGCTGGGACTGGGAAGGGCTGAGGGCAAGGATTGCAGAGCATGGGATACGGAACAGCCTTTTGATTGCATTGATGCCCACCGCAGGGACGTCGCAGATATTTGGGAACAACGAGGCGTTTGAGCCGTACACGTCGAATATATATACCCGAAGAACACATGCAGGGGAGTTCCAGGTTGTTAACAAGTATCTTGTTGATGACCTTGTGAGGATTGGGCTGTGGTCGTATGAGATGAAGAATCTGATTATTGAGAACGAGGGGTCTATACAGAACATAGCGTCGATACCTAAGGATATCAGGGAGATATACAAGACGGCATGGGAGATAAAGATGAAAGCAGTGATAGACCTTGCGGCGGATAGGCAGGCATATGTTGATCAATCGCAGTCGCTGAATATTTTTATTGCGAAGCCAACGTATTCTCAGATAACATCGATGCATTTCTACGGATTCCATTCTGGACTGAAGACGGGGATGTATTATCTGAGGACACGGCCAATAACGTCTGCAATCAAGTTTACGGTTGATAAGAAGCTTGCGGAAAAGACTCTGTCGTCGATGAATGATGGGGACGAGGCATGCTTTATGTGTTCTTCGTGAGTGTGCGAGGAACGACTTGGTTATTAAACAGTTATCTTGTTGATTGATGGTGATGTTATGACAACAAATGGATATATTTCCAAATGTTGTGACCCCGAGTAGTGTAATGGTGACGATCGGTGGGAAGAGCAGGCTGTCGATTGAGATGGATTCCATGGCAAAGAACCCACCGCCTGGATGCAGTGCAGGGCCTGTGAACCCCAAGGAGCTTGACAAATGGATTGCGGTGATAATGGGGCCGCCAGGATCTATTTATGAGGACGGGATGTTTGAGCTGCATATAGTGTTCCCACCATTCTACCCGTTCAGTCCACCAAAGGTGAAGTTCAAAACGCGAATATTCCACTGTAACATATTTGAGGAGAATGTGTGTCTTGACATTCTGAAGGATCAGTGGACGCCTGCGCTGACGATAGACAAAGTTCTGCTATCGATTCTTGTTCTTCTGCAGGAGCCGAATCCGGATGACCCGCTGAATGGCGAGGCAGCAGCGCTGTACCGCAAAAACATAGATAAATACGAGAAGAAGGCAAAGAAATGGGTTAAGATGTATGCATCGAAGTATAAGTCTGATTCGGAGGAGGAGGCGGAGGAATAAGGTGTACTGTGATGCTGTGCGATTAAAGAGTTCTGTTGATTAGATTGTGCATATCTTATGACTTGTGGCTATTCTGAATAGTGCCTAGTTAGAGCGTGAGATGGAAAAATCACGAACACTGCAATCCCATGCAGTTCGGAGAGGCCGGGCTTCGTCTTCTTGAAGATGCCAGGTCAAACATGCTCAAACCGTACAGGCATCGCGAGATAAGGATGCTGTGCGATGAAAACACACGGCTATGCGAGATGATGGACGAATTGAAAAGAAAGGCTGGCAATGAGGTTTCGGAGGAGCTGTCAGTCAACTACATTATGCTGAAGTATACGAAGGAACGCAACGAGAGAATTCTGAGGGCATACTGGTTCCACAGATCAATGCATTTATTCCATTGTTTTTTTTCTGGAGAATGCAATGCAGGATTGCTGTCCTCTGATGAATTGGAATACACAAGCAAGTACAACAGCATTCTTAGAGAGTATCTGCTTGATTTTTCGGTGCTTGACTTTACAGAATCTATGCCTCCAATAGACTTTTTTGTTAGCGTCATTACCTTGGAGGATTGCGGAGTTGTGATGGATGCTGATGATGTTCTCGAGCTCAGGAAGGACAGAATATACTTTATCCGCAAAGGCACAGTGGCTCATTTGATCAAGAACGGATTTGTACGCATAGTTTAGATACAACCATACATCATACATCGTAGATGCTGCTCATGCAAGCCTAAGTCGATAAACATAGAAGAATTTTATTTACTGTTCAAACTCTTGATTTTGCTTTCTATGATTTCCAATGCATCATCAACACTCATTTCTCCGTTTTCAGAGCCAACCACATGGATTTCCACATCAAACAGACACTCTGCATCCTCCTTCGCAACACCAAATATCTCACACTCGACATTCTCCTTGATTTTCGATTCATCATAGCCTCTATCCTTCAATCTCCTGTACAGGATCTCAATAGGCAAGGTCAGAACAAAAATCACATCAAAGTCCAGCCCACTTGCCACCTCGCAGCAGTGTGTATCAATAATATACGAGTCTGTTGTACAAAGATCGGATGCAAGCGCATTCCTGACCATTTCCTCATCAAACACAAGCGATTTGTACTCCTCGCTGTATTCATCATACAACTTGTTTTCCTCTATATACTTGCTGACATCCACGTGTTTCATTCCAAACACCTCGGAAACTCTTGCACAAAGCGTTGTCTTTCCTACTCCAGGCGTTCCAGTCATCAAAATTTTCATGGCAATACAGGGCTTACAAACCATACTACATACATGATGCATCCTGGAGATCCACATGCTGTGCACAGTGCCTTATCATTGCATTTGCATCGAAACCTCCCTTGCTATCTTACCTGTCAATCTGCTATTCACAAAATCTCTAAGCCATGAATTCTCATCAAAGCATTTGCAATGCCGTCTTATTATTTCTGCTGCTCCGTGCACATCATACATGTTCATCAGATAAAACGCCCTTTGCGCCTCCACCCTGCTATCCCCAGACCTCAAGCAAAACCTGTTTTCACCAAACTCCATAAACTCTTCAACAAACCTCTTGTGAGCAGGACTGCCTCGTATTCGATCGTTCAGAATCACACACAGAAGCTCGACATATAACCTACATTCGGTAGACATTACTGGATAACACTTTGAAAGCACTTCATAAGACATTTCAAAGTCTCCATTCTTGAACAAGCATATTCCGTACTCTTCCAGCACCTCCTGCTCAATCTTCCCATCAGCAATACCGTCCTTGATCTGCAGGTACCACTTCCTGGCTTCTTCCGGTGTTCCGTTTCTGACAATATAAACAAGCTTGAACAGCGGATTGGCCGTATCGACACTTCGATGCATCTTAAACACCTCAAACTGTAGCGCCCTCTTCTCAACTGCATCCCTGTCAACAAGTAGGAGCCGCCCAAGCAGTCTTCCATACATATCAAACATTAACACATCAAGCTTCTCATATATCACTCCGAGATAGAAATCAACATTCTCCAATAGCATTGCTCTTGCTGCGTTTGCATTCAAGTCAACCACAAAACAGTCAAGTATCTCATTCATTATCCCAAGCGTCTTTGTGCCATTGCCAGCCTTTACATAGATTGAAAGAAGCGCCATCAATGCCTTTGTTCTCATCGTCTCGTCTCTTGTGCTTCCCTTAAACTCCTCCAGCTCTCTCTGCCTCTCATCTCCGTCTCTTATCACGAGTATACTATTCAAATCCTTGCATATCTTCTCCTCAATCTTTTTATTCACTTCCTCTTCTACTGGCTCCTCGCTGCATTCATACTTAGACATAAGCTCATCAATCGCCTTCTTGTGAGCCGACTTTTCCACTCTAGCCGATGCAAAAAACGTCTTGAGAAAGCCTGGTGCTCTCCCTCCAAAGCAGTTTTCTGCCTTCTTCACATCAACAAGCATTTTCTTCAGCTGCTTATCAAACACCTTCTGGCTGCTCTCTTCCTCAAGCTCTTTTACCTTGCATTGCAGATCATACAACTTCTTCTCCTTCTTGCCCACTCTCTCATCGGTGTCATAGACCTTTTCTTTTATCTCGCTTCGCCCCCCCTTCTCCTTCTCCTCGTCAATCGACTCAAAAAACCTCGACATTTAAGGGCTAAGCCTTCCAAGTTCTACACATCACTGCATTTGCATAACTACATCATACGATTTATTGGACCACACTCTCCCACTCCTCATTCACCACGCCGCAATCCATCCAGAACTTATGCGACCTTTCATTTCTTGTCAGAAGATCATTCAGCTCAACAAATGACACAACAACTTCCTTTCCATTCACAACAACCTCGGCATGGCAGAGCGGATGGAACAGTTCTGCATGCATACTGTCGCTTATGCATATATTTTCGTCAATCCCTCCAAACAACCTAAGTGCATCTTCACATCTTTCATCCATCTCACACCAGTATGACGGCGTTACAATTCGTCCTTCCTTCGGAACACACCTCATCCCTTCAAAAATCACAAGATCCCCACTTATCACATCGAAGGCCTGTGCTTCTTTGCCAAGATATCCTCTGAATACATCCAGGACCTTTGCCCTCACTTCCTGTCGAGAAACAATTGCCTTGACAAAATATTCTTTGTATTTCCTTGCAAAATCAGGCAGCATCTTAAAAACAAACGCAAGCATGCTGCATGTATTCAGCCCAGGATACCACGAGAACAGATCATCCTTCTGCTCTGGCATCCGTTCCATGTGATCCATCACACTCACAAACAGATCCTCACGTGAGACAAGCTCGGCCTCTATCTTCTGCAGCCTTTGCGCAGTCTTTCTGTCCACACTCCCCAGTATATCAGAAGCCAAGCACAAAATCGATTGTGTGCTCATGCTCCTGATTACAGATCGGCTTACATATTTCTGCTCCTTCTCCACACATACAGCCTTGCTTGATTCAACAAGATTTGCAATGTAACTGATCTTCTTTTCCTTCAGGCTAGTCATGATCATCTGTTCCATCGCCTCCTTGCTGATTCTTTTTGCATTCCTTACAAGCTCTCTGTCTCGTTCTATCCCCTCCATCACAACAATCCCCACGGTATTCTCATCCGTTTTCTTCAGCAATTCATCATGAAACAATGCATAAGCATGCAAATCTATAAGCTACAAACAAACACATCATATGAACCAACTTTAATAGGTAATTATCCACTTTCCTCCGGTTCTTGTTATCTCCTCCTTTGCCGGCTCAGAAAAATGCCTTGCCTTCACTATCACCGGCCTTTCGAGCGGTAGTTTCCCTCCAATAACAACATGGTAGCCAAACTCCCTCACATCAATCACAGGCACCCTGTCGTTATCAAGGTACTCGTTCCGCTGCGTCTTCGGAATCAGCCCCCACAGCCTTGCTGAGCTGATTGGCTTCGCATACTCATGCTCTTTGCTCCTGTGATACACCCTCATTCCTCTCTTGCCATGATAGTCCGGATGAAACCTGTCAAAGTAGCTCCTCATGTGGCCAAACCCTCCGGCAAGCCCCCTTCCTCCAGAATGCTTTCTATGCTTGCCAACACGCCCATACCCATGTGACACGTGTCCACGCATCTTTCTGGTCTTCTTGATTTTGTTCTCCCTCACCATTGCAGGGATAATTTTTTCAATGCAAAATAGCCTGCACTTGCATTGCTGGATTCCGTCGGCTCGTGCATATAGCAACAGCACCATCGAACCTCCTGCAGACACTGAAACTTTTGTTTGAGCAATGGCCAACAAAAGAGCATCCAAGCGGCTATGCATGGATGTAGCACACAAGAAGGTAAAGGTGAGCATAAGAATCCGCCCAGAAGCAAACGGATGCGGGGCATGGAAGTCGCTTGGAAACACCGTATGGCATGTCCGCAACGGTAGAAAAACACTGTATGGCGGATTCATGAAGGTCCTTGAAAACATGACAAACACAGACGTATATGAGCTGTGTGTCAAGGATGAAATCCGCAAGTTCCTCAACGATGAAAACTGCACTGTTTTTGCATATGGACAAACAGGCTCTGGAAAGACACACACAATGCTCGGTGACACGGAGCTCGGCATCATCAAGCTTGCAATCAAAGACGTGCTTGATGTTAGGCCGGTAGGCATTTCATATCTGCAGATATACAACGAAAAGCTCTTTGATCTTGCAAGCAATAATGAGGTTCATATGTTCAGTGTAGGCAACAAAAACGTCATGTCGAACCTGTGTGTGCAGAATGTGTGTGCATGGGGAGATGTGGTGCCTTTTATTGATAGGTGTGAAAGAAACAGGAGGCTTGGAGCAACAGAGTTCAACGAAAAAAGCAGTAGGTCGCACACAGTACTCCAAGTCACATACACTAGCAATGGAGAAACACGAACGCTCAACATGATTGATCTTGCTGGAAGTGAGCGTGCAAGCAAGTCCACAGACAGGAGGAGAGAGGGTGCGTTCATCAACAAAAGCTTGCTGGCACTGTGCACTGTTGTCAACAACATTGGCTGCGGTAGATACACAGGGTTCAGAGACTCAAAGCTTACCAGGATTCTTCAGTCGTCTTTAGATGGCCGGACAAATCTTGTTGCAATATGTGCACTGTCTCCAAGCCAAAGCTGTATAGATGAGTCTATAAGCACACTGAAGTTTGCAGCAAGGCTTTGCAACCTTGAGCTGAAGATCGAAGAAGTTGCTGCTCCTAATGAGCGGACTGCAGAGCCAATTACTCGTCCCACCAATTGTGCTTGTGCAGAGAAGAGCCGTGCAAGCAGTGATACGTGCCTGGAACAGTGTGTTTTGAATAGTGTGGCACCAATGTGTGTTGAGCTGCCAAGTACTGATGTGCTTGGCTATGATGCATTAGGTGCTTCTAAAGCTGGTGAGCATTGCGATAATGCAGGAATCGATGAGATGTTCAAAGCACTTGGATTTGCACTTGTTGAGGATCTCCGCCACAAAATACATGTATTGGAGGAGCTCAACAGAATGGCTGATGATAGAATATGCCTGCTTGAAAAGATGATTGCGGATCTACTGGGCAAAGCTCCCTCAAGGAGAATGAGCGAGATTTTCGTATTAGAGAAGCACAGATTTGATTTGCAGAAGAAAACACTCAGGAAGTGATGTGCTGGCAAAAATCAATACTTGTAAATAGCAGTGAGATTACAAATGCATTGCATCGATGCTTGCCCGCAAGATGGCATTCTGTAACCACCTGTATATATCGATAACACCATTAAACCCATAATCAATGAATGCGAATGCCAGAATGATTCTGTTTTTAAATACCTTGCTTCTGATTCTTCTCTATCATTTTCTTCCAATGATGGTATTGCACATGAGAAGGGAGCGTGAGAAGAGCATAATGAAAGCGAGGTTCAATGCGATGCTTTTGCAGGGAAATGAAAGTGTTGAGAAGCTCTGGATGCTGAAGGCCCTGATAAACAATATGAATTACTCCAAGCGTGTCTGTATTCCTATGGATGGAGATATTGAGGAGGTAAGAGATGCATATGAGAAGATAGAGAATGGAGGAGGCGAGGTCTTTCTGCGCCTGTGCCTGAAGTACAATCTTTCTATTTTCTTCCCTGTGTTTTTCCCAATGCTTGTGCATTTCATAGGGATGGTGAGACACAAGTGTTGATGGATTGCAGGAGGGATTGAGTGTGAGGCCGAGGTAGGACTATGCGATGGGCTTATTTTGCACGTATTGAAGAGAAAATTGCATTGCAAATGCCCAGATGGATGGGGAAGATGGCAAGAAGGAATGCTCTGTGCAACTGAAGAGATTTGCAGAAGCAATGAGGACGAGGCAGATGCTTGTAAACGATATAGGCAGGGCCAAGGAGTGTTTGAGTGTGCTGGAGGATCATAGGAATGCATTGGTGGATGTGCTGAGGATTTTGGATTGTAAGATGGATGTTGATGCCGATGCATGTGAGTTGAGAGCGAGGTCTGGAATGCAAAGCATGCTTGATTGGAAATTTGAGAATGTACCTGGCGAAAGATATGCTCTGGTGATATTCAGCCTTGGAAAGATGCCTACGCCAAGCATGAGATCTTTCTATAGCCAGAAGTGGGTGTATCCTGTTGATTATGTGTGCAAGAGGGTTTATTTGCGCCATGGCGGTGAGGAGACGGATGGAGGGCTGATGGTTTACAAGTGTGTGATTAGGAATGTTGGGAGCAAGCCTTTGTTTGAGGTGTCTGACGACGAAGGAATGTGCATTAGTGGGAAGTCTGGAGAGGTGTTTCTGGCACTCAAGAGGCTATTTCCTGGAGGAATTGAGTTTGAAAGCCTGAATGAGTTTTTTGGGCTTGGTAATGTGCATGTTCGCAAGATGCTGAGCATGCAGAAAGGGTTTGATGAGCTTGAGGCAGGAAGCAGATGGGCATTGGATGAGTAGCAGTCTGAGTGAGTGGCTAGATGCGGGAGAGCAAGCGCAGGGATTAAATCGTTGGATGTAATTTTGAAGAGTATTGTTTTTGGATGAAAGCCCCAAGGATGGGCTTAGGCGAGGTGATAAGAGAGGCAGGAGTGCTGCAGAATGGCAAGGAGGATGAGAATTCATGGTCTAGGATTGATGTGGTGCTTGGAAAGCTTGTTAGTGGAATTAAGGACATGAGCGATGCCAAGGAGGTGCTGAAAGTGGCCAATGAGCTTGTGATACGGTCTGTGCAAAGCGAAAGATCGAAGCTTGCAGGGACTGCGATGGCACTTGCAAAGAGGTGTGTGGGGTTGTGTGGAAGAGGATTTGAGTATTCAGGGGTGTACTTGATGTCGCTGATGAAAGTGTGTGGGAAGAGCAACAGGATATTTTATTCGCGAGCAGAGGAGGTAATAGTTGAGATATGTAGAAGTGCGGATGTGAGAGCACATTTGCGGATTCTAAGCGAGTACAGTGGATCGCAAAACAAGAATGTGAGGCTTGCGGTGTTTAAGGGGATTGAGGGGATGGTTGATAATATTGGGAAGGCTGATGGGATTGAAGGGATAGTTGAGAAGGGACGAGCAGATCCGTTCCAAGAGGTACGAGAGGTGTGCAGGAGGATTACTGATAAGTTATTGAGTGGCGAATGCAGGAATGGGGAGGTATTGGAGGAAGAGAATGCTAGTAATGGAATGCGACGGGAGCCTATCAGGATGGTAAGAAAGCCAGTAAGGATTGAGAGTGGAGGAGTTGAGAAGAAGGAGTTAGAAGTGGGGTTTTCGCCAGCAAGGAAGCAGAGCAAGGTGATTGGGGAGAGCTGCGAGATGGAGATTGAGGAAGCAACGATTAGCAAACAGAAAGTGAATGTGAAGTATGCAAGAGGATATGATAAGGAGATGAGTGGGCATTGTGCAGTTAAGAAGTCTGGAACAAGAAGGAGTGTGGTGCATCCTGAAGTTGTGAATGAGAGAAGAGGTGAAATGAGGCATGAAGACCTCACGCCTATTCGGCTTGATAGGTATTTGAGCAAGTATCGAGAGGAGCATGGGAATTTAAGGGATGTAAATGAAGCGAGTAAAGAGCAAGCAAGAGAGAATGATGATGAATGCAAGGAGGAAACAGGATGTATGATGGAAGAGTGCCTGATTAGGGATGCAGATGAAAGTGCCAAGGAGGAGAAGTGGACAGCAAGGGAGTTGATTGAATCGTATTCTAATGTAAATGAGTCTATGGATAAAGAGGAGGAGTCTGAGGGAATGGATGGAGATGATAAGGATGATGCTGAGATGGATTGGGGCATGGATGAAGGGGTGCCTGGGGGAATGGATAATGAGGATGTGGAAGAGCTATCAAGAAGTTTTGCGAATTTTTCGATTATTGATTCTGAGGTGAAGGAGGTAGGAAATGAGGTAGAAAGCAAATGCATTGGGCAAAGCAGCGATGTTTTGGAGGAGTCTGTGAATCCGTATGAGTTTATTGAAGGAGAAGAGGGGGATTCGCCTGGAGAGTATACGATAGTGGAGTCTGTTGGAGGGATGGAGTGCCTTGAAGTTTATGAGATGAGTAAAGGAGTGCTTGGAGAGGAGAAAGAGGTCGATTCCATCCATGAGTCTACGATACTGATGAGTATAAATGAAAAGCCGCATGAGAAGAAGAAGGAAGCAAGTAAGAGGCGATTGATGCTGAGTGGAAACAGATTTGCAGGGTTCCTTGAAATGGATGAAAACAGCGGGGAGGAGACGGTTTTTGGAAGGGAGGTCAATAAAGATGAGAATGGAAAGGAAGGGCTAGAAGAGTTTACGATGATTGATTCGTTTATTGAGGTGAAGAGGAGTGTTTTTAGAAAGAGATAGCTTATGGAGAAGATTGGTGGAATAAAACTAATTAATTGAGTTGAGCAAGATGTGTTTTGTAAGGTGGTACTTGGATGGAGTGTTTGAAGTGTTTTAATTAGCAAGGGCGTAGAAAAACATATCTATGATTATTAGCTGTAATATAATGCGTTGAGCGATGATGAGTGGCTGGATGAGAGTCAGCCGATTGATGGGCAGTAAGTGTGGATCTTGCCGATCGTCCTGTGGGTGCCTGGTGTGCCTGTAGGGGTGCGTCATGCGCCATTAAAGCGGAGGGGAATGCATGAGGGCGGAAACGCAGCAATGAGTACTTCCTGCAGGATGGAGTCGCTGGTTGCCACACCAGTCCTTTTTGTGCATGTATCTGTGCACACATCAATGCATAGTAAGACTGTACAGTGGTTGGAGTATTTACTCGATTGAGTATGTGCATGATTATGCAGCATCTTTCGGTCGCCTTCATTGTATTGGATTTCTTACAATTATTGATTGCAGTCGCACGATATATATGCTGATGTAATAAACATTTGCATGATGCATCTTGAGATGTGCAATATGTAGTACCTGCATCAATTATTTGGAAAACACAAATCCCTGATGTTTGGCAACATGAAGATAGAGCCAAGGATGAGCTACAGAAAGATTGTTGGAGTCAATGGCCCGCTTGTTATCCTGGATGACATAAAGTTCCTGAAGTATGCAGAGATTGTGAGCCTTACCCTTCCGGACGGCAGTGTGCGCCAAGGCCAGGTTCTTGAGGTGTGTGGGAAAAAGGCTGTTGTCCAGGTGTTTGAGGGGACTGCAGGAATCGATGTGAAGGAGACACAGGTCACATTTACCGGAGAAACACTTAAGATGGCGATTTCTGAGGACGTCCTGGGACGAGTGTTTAATGGCAGCGGAAAGGTAATTGACGGAGGGCCTAGTATTATAGCGGAAGATTACCTTGACATCCAAGGACAGCCTTTGAATCCGCATGCAAGGACATATCCTGAGGAGATGATTGAGACTGGGATTTCGTCGATTGATGTGATGAACTCGATTGCAAGAGGACAAAAGATCCCGATATTCAGTGCCTCTGGGCTTCCGCACAACGAAATAGCAGCGCAGATATGCAGGCAGGCAGGGCTTGTGAAGAAGAAGGATGCGCTTGATGGAAGCAACGAGAACTTTGCGATTGTGTTTGCAGCAATGGGAGCAAACGTGGAGACAGCAAACTTTTTCAAAAACAGCTTTGAGGCATCTGGATCGATTGGAAGAACAGCATTGTTCCTGAACCTTGCGAATGATCCGACAATAGAGAGGATAATAACTCCCAGGCTTGCACTGACTGCAGCAGAGTATCTTGCATATGAGACAGAAAGGCATGTGCTTGTGATTATGACGGACATGAGCTCGTATGCAGATGCATTGAGGGAGGTAAGTGCAGCAAGGGAGGAGGTTCCGGGAAGAAGAGGATATCCGGGATACATGTATACTGATCTGAGCACGATATATGAGCGAGCAGGAAGGCTGGAAGGGAGGAACGGATCCATAACACAGATCCCAATACTAACGATGCCGAACGATGACATTACTCACCCGATTCCCGATCTTACGGGATATATAACGGAGGGGCAGATCTATGTTGATAGGCAGATGTATAACAGACAGATATATCCGCCGATCAATGTGCTTCCGTCGCTTTCGAGGCTTATGAAAAGTGCGATTGGAGAGGGGATGACACGAAAGGATCATGGAGATGTGTCGAACCAGCTTTATGCAAAGTATGCGATTGGAAGGGATGCACAGGCAATGAAGGCGGTGGTTGGTGAGGAGTCGCTTTCGACTGAGGACAAGGTCTCGATTGAGTTTCTTGAGCGGTTTGAGAAGGAGTTTATCAGCCAAGGGCATAACGAGAGCAGAACGATAGGAGAGTCGCTTGACATTGCATGGAGCTTGTTGAAGGCGTTTCCAAGGGAGATGCTTAATAGGATTCCTGGGGAGATACTGGATGAGTACCATTCTAATATGTCCCGGGAGATTGATTGAGCTGTTATTGGAGATAAAATGGAAAGTAGCGAATGCCCTGATGAATCAAGAGCAGAAGGCGTTTGTGTATGTGTGCATCCAATGCACGTCACTGAGGGAGATAAAGCTTAAGGACCCCATAAGGTGTACAGATTGTGGGAACCGAGTTCTTAGGAAGAAAAGAACGGATGAGGTGGTTCAGATGGATGCGGTCTGAGTGTTGAGACGAATAAAATGCTAGCTGATATGTTTCTGTGGATTGATTGAGGAGATGCGCGTTCTGCAATGGTTGGCTTGGCTGAAATGCCTAGTGATGTGATATGGCGGGCGTTAAAGCGCCGCCATGAGTAGTAGGATAGGAGAGGATATATTTAGTATGTAGAGATAACCCCAATGGAGGATAGGAAGAAAAGAAAGGCAAGGGATCAGCTATCGCCATATTCTGCACCGGTTGATGCGAGCGAGGACGAAGTGCCGATGATGGAAGCGGCGGATGCTTTGAACAGGAAGCGTGCAAAGGCAAGAATGGGAGGAGGAATGGAGATAGGAGATGCAGAGCCACTGAAGGGTGTTCTGAGCTCGTTGAGTATTTTCAAGCCAGTGGTTGTGAATGACAAGATAAGTGGGCTGAACAGATGCTTTGTAAGGGCGATACAGACAGTAGTGGAGACTGAGTCGAACAAAGACTTGTCTTATCTGTTCAGGCAGTATGAAAGGTATTATGAGGAGCTGAGCAAGGCGAATGGATAATGAGTGAGTGAAGTAAATAGCAATAAATGAATTATTTTTATTAGGTGTTTGCAATGGGGTTGCATAGTGGAATGCGGAAGGTGTGCTTGGTGGTGATTGATGGATGGGGGCATGATGAGAAGAATATGGAAGGGAATGCGGTAGATGGCTCTGGATGCTATTCGATGAGGAGATTGAGTGTGATGTATGACAGCTTTTTGCTGTATGCACACGGATGCCATGTAGGATTGCCTGATGGGCAGATGGGAAATTCTGAAGTTGGGCATCTGACGATAGGAAGTGGCAGGGTGATTGAGCAGGATATAGTGAGAATAGACAATGCGATTGTGAACGGAGAGATGCGTAGTGTTTTGGAAGAAGCAATTGAGGGGGCAGGAGAACGGATACATGTGGTTGGGTTGGTGAGCGAAGGAGGAGTCCATTCCCATGTTCGTCATCTCAAGGCGATTCTGAATGTTTTGAGGGGAAGTGGCAAGGAAGTGTTTGTGCATTGTATAAGCGATGGGAGAGACACGGCGCCTCGAGTATTTCTAGATGATTTGAACGATCTTGAATCGTGGTGTAAGGATGCAGGATTTGGAAGGATTGTGTCAGTGGCAGGACGATTCTATGGAATGGACAGGGCGGGCAACGAAGATAGAACAGATCTTAGTTTCAAGATGATGACTGAAGGAGAGGATATTGGCGAAAGCATGTGTGAGTATGTGCATAAGATGTATGAAAAGGGAGTGTATGATGAGATGGTTAGGCCGGCACTAGTCAATGCATGTGGAAGAGTATGCAAAGAAGACAGTGTGTGCATGTTTAACTTCCGGGCGGATAGAATGCGGCAGCTTACTCGAAGGTTTATTGAGAATGGAAACAATGTGATTACCATGACGGAATATGACGAAGGATTTACGGCAAAGGTTCTTTTCCGTAGGGCTGATGTGGCCAAAACATTAGCTGAGGTGCTGTCTGCAAATGGAGTTGAGCATGTGCATGTGTCGGAGAAAGAGAAGGAGGCACACGTGACTTACTTTTTCAATGGAGGCAGGGAGCAGCCGTTTAAGAAGCAGAGGACTGTGGTTGTGCCAAGCCCAGATGCTGAATCGTTTGATACAGTTCCTGAGATGTCATCTGCAGAGGTTACCGAAGTGGCAATTGACGAGATGTGCAAAGGAACGCCGTTTATTGTGCTTAACCTGGCGCCACCTGATATGGTTGGACACACGGGAAACTTTGATGCAGCAAAGGAAGCTGTTGAGGCAGTTGATGCATGCATTGGGAGATTGTACAATGCATGTGCTGCGAATGGATGTGTTCTTGTGGTCACTGCAGATCATGGAAATGCAGAGAAAATGAAAGACGATCGAGGGATGTGTTGCAAAACACACACTACAAATAAGGTGCCGTTGATTGTGTGCGATAAGAAGAAAAAATGCGAAAGCAAGCCATGGGGATATGTGGATACTGAATGCTCGATCAGAGATGTTGCACCCACTGTTCTGAAGATAATGGGCATTGAAAAGCCTGCATGCATGACAGGACACTCGATGGTTTGACCGTATTGTTGATTGCTGAGCTCTTTGGCTTGGTTAGTCGTATGAAGTAATGCGGAGAATGATTCCTCCAGAATGCATTGCGATCTACATATGGAATGAGTATCTACAAGGCTATTATGGCATCCGATGATGCTTTCATTGATTGAGATCCGATCCATATCCATGTGTTAATTTACATACGCAGGCACACTCAATATATCAATCCTTGTGTAATCCACACACAAAATTTGCGCTTAGCAATAAAAACATTCAAAGAAACGTCTTTTTAATCAGAAAAAGCTGAAATCGATCTCAGCATCCTCCTCTGGCGCTTCTTCCTTCTTTGCAGCCTCTGCTGCGCCAGCCGTGCTTCCAGCTGTCTGTCCTCCTGCCACATTCATCGACGCAGCGCCTGACCCTCCGCCCATCAATAGCTCCTTGATCTTCAACGCATCCATCTCAAAATATTCACATATCTTCGGATTGCTCTCGACTCCAAGCGCTTTCATAACACTTGCAATTCTTTCCTTCGTCACTTCCTGGTTTGTTGCATGCACAAAAAGCGCTGCCAACGGGTACAACTCACTTATCATATTCTCCTTACACATTTCTACTTCAAGCAATTTAACGATATCCGGGCCCGAAAGTTTGGTACCCCTGCCGTGCTGCTTGCTTTTATACTTTTCAGGTGAAAATTTTGCAATATTGCTCCCTTTGCAGCACATCCAGCTTGCTTTACACCACTTGCCATCCTATATCCACAATGCATCCATGCCACACAGTGCATCCATAGTTTGCTATTTGCAACAGAATCCCCAGAAATGGATTTTGATCAGCAGGTTCTGCGGGCACTGTGTGCAAGACCTGTTCCAAAAACAGATATACAGATTTTCCGCGAGGCAAAGGTCTCCAACTTCTACATAAAGAGAAACGAAAAGTACGACTATGTCAAGCATAGGCTGGAGTGCATGCGCCCGTATTTCTTAGAGTTGCTGCAGATCAAACAGTTTGAGTCGGTCAATCACATATCTGCATCGTCATTCTGCACGTACGGGATGATAGTCAACCCCACGGGAATAAAGCTGGATGCATCAAACATATGTGTTGCATCAAATATTGATGGAAGCAACGATGTGGTCGTTAGGCTCAACCTGGAGCATCTGTGTAGATACTCGGTGTTTCCTGGCCAGATTATTGCAGTAAAAGGAAAGAATATTGGCGGAGACGAGATAATTGTTGAGCGTCTTGACTGTGTTCCAGTTGTGGATGTTAACACAGCAGATGCAGGCAGTCTTGGCAATGCATCTAACAATCCAAGGATAATTGCATTTCAAGGGCCTTATTACTCCGAGCTTAGCGAATGTGGAGTTGATGTGTTTGAGAGGGTTCTTGCAATGGAAGCAGACATTTTGATTTTGATAGGCCCGTTTGTAAAGCCACTGCAGGAGCTTGGCGGAGAGTCTCCGTTTGGTGTGCTGAGCGATGTTTTTATGCCAAAGGTGCGGAGGTGGTTAAGACAGCACTTATGGCGGAAAGTGGTTCTGGTGCCATCGATAGGAGATCCCACATGCCTGAATGTGTATCCGCAGGAGGCAATTGATACCGAAGAGGAGCGGATGTACTGTGTTAGCAATCCCTGCGAGATTTTTGTGAATAGGTGCCTGGTTGCAATCTCTTCGTTGGACATGCCTCTTGAAATATGCTCTGAGGAGTGCTTTTACAACTCTGGAGATGCAGATGCGACGGATGTGTGCGGAGAGCTTCTTTTCAAGGGCGACCGGATGGATAGGCTGGCACATCATCTGGTGTTTCAGAGGAGTTTTGTGCCTGTGTTTCCATCGAGAAGCGCAATATCGTATTCTTCTCCAGAAGGATTGATGATGGGGATGGCGCCGGACGTGTACCTTGTTGTGTCGAGACTGAAGGGGTTTTGCAGACGAGCAGGGCCAAGCTTGGTGGTTAACCTTGGGTTTGTGGCTAGAGGCGGGAAGGCATGTGTAATAAAGCCTGGCACTGGTGGAGAAGCAAATGCGGAGTTTGTTGATCTGTGTGCTGAGGAGGCAAGCGGAGTGTCTGATAAATAGATTGTGGAAGCCCATTGTGGATGGCGAAGTCACATTTTGAGGTGTTTGACACGATGCTGGAAGAGATACAGCAGCTGCGCCTGGATGCAATATATTTTTCAAGGTCGACACAGAGAGCAGAGCAGAGGATTGAGAGGCTGAAGAAAAAAAGAAAGGAGTATGAGGAGCAGTTTGTGCACACACCAACTGAAAAGTACATCAAAAGGATCGGAAAGTGTTGTAGAATGATAAAACGACTGCTGGATGAGAACTGTGAAAGCTCGAGGATGCTGGAGAGCGCGGTAAGTGAGCTGAAATGCAAATGCGAAGCACTATGTGTGGATATGGAAGAACCATTTGACTTGCATGATCCGTCGATCACAAGCACAAGTTGCATAGTAAATGCCGGAGAGATGAGCATGGACGGGAGGTTGTATTGCAAGTGCAATCGGCCTGCATTCAAGAACATGATAATGTGTGGAAAGCATGGATGTAGCACAAAATGGTTTCACTACGAATGTGTAGGGATATCCAGCATGCCCAAGACGGAGTGGATATGCTCTGAGTGCAAGAAGGCATTATGCAAGTTGTAGTATACATGTTGATGAGCAGCATCCCAGTGGCTGATATAAACATTGGATTACGAATGTGAAGAAATCTTTTAATAAAAGTAAATACACAGCAATGCATTGCATGTAGAATATTTTTGTGTGAAAAATGCATGACGAAAGCCGTTTGGTTCATTGTAAGATGATGAAGAGTAGGATGATAAGCACAATTGCTACGATTACTCTTGGATCTGTGGGCTCCTGTGGTTGCATCCTGGGCGCTCTGTATGTTCTGGTGTGTCTTCTATTCATATTGGAATACAGGTGCTGATAGAGATCCTGTGTGGAGTAAAATACAGAACTTCTTTGAGCATGGGCACTGAATGTTGTGAAAAATATGTTTGACATGATATCTTCAGGATGGCTATGCCTAAAGGTTGTATGTGAAAACGCAGAGCCGCTGGCAAGTCTGCGGTCATATGCTTTTCTCTTTTCTGGATTGCCAAGTGTTGTATAAGCGTTTTGAATGATTGCAGAGACATCGCTCGACTCGCTCATCTTTGTTCTGTCTGGATGGAACTTCATTAAGAGAGCATTGAATGCACGCCGTATGTCATCCTGAGAGGCTGATTTCTGAACGCCAAGGATTGCATAGTAGTCTGAGTTTTTTTTCTTTATGAACTCCTGTATTTCCTTGTGGAGAGCGAGTGTTCGCTGCGCCTTGTCCATTTCGCGCTTGTCTTCTGCAGAATGTGTTTTTTCGTATTGTTTCTTTGTGTTTTCGAAGTATCCTTGGTAGTCTTTGCTATGCAAGCACGACCTGGCTGCATCAGAATATGGCATTTGGGGGTTGCAATGTGTGTGCTTGTATGGCGAGCGGAGTGGCGGCAAGGTGCTACTTCGATGAGCCAGCATGCAGGATATGCGATGTAGAAGGATTGCCGAGCTCAAGAGCAATTGAGTGGAAGGCAAAGGATGCAGAGAAGGCATGTATAGAAAAATGGCAAAAAATTACCCTTCGAGAAGCATTCCATGGAGATGAACAATGGAAAGAAGGCAAGTGGCGATGCATTGACAATATATGTGGGCGAGCTGTCGACCCAAACACTTGAGTCTGATTTGTACAGGATTTTTTCGACGGTTGGAAAGGTGCTTAATATCAAGCTGACGAAGAAGCTTGAGTCGTCTTTTGCATTTGTTACGCTTGGGTGTGAGGAGGAAGTGGAAAGGGCCATCAGGGAGTACAAGCACTACGAGCTGCATAATCGGCAGATAAGGCTGCTGAGGGTGATGAGTAAGGAGGAGATGCCACCCGAGGCAGGGAATGTGGTAGTGAAGAATCTTCCGGAGGAGTTCACGGGGAAAGATCTTGAGGATGCGTTTTCAATGTTTGGGGAGATAACGAGCTGCAAGGTTGCGCTTACTGCGAATGGAAAGTCGAAGGGATATGGGTTTGTGCAATTTAAAGAGAAGAAGGCGGCCAAGAAGGTGATTAAGAACTTCAGCAATCTTGATGGGCTGATGCTGAAGGGCAAGATGATTAGTGTTGAGCTGTACAACTCTGAGATGAGGACGAAGGAGATTCAGAATGCATCTGCAGTGTTTACGAATTGCTTTATTAAGAGCTTTCCGGCAGATGCAAGTGAGGGGGATCTGGTTGAGGTGCTTGAGAGGCACGGAAGGGTGACCTCGTTTTTTTTTCCATTGAAGGAGGATGGGAAGCCGAAGGGGTTTGCATTTGCGAACTTTGAATCGCATGATGCAGCGCTGAATGCAATAAACAATCTGCATGGGAAGGCGGTGTTTGAGGAGATGAGCGAGCCGTTCTATATCCAGAAGGCGCAGAAGAAGGAAGATCGTGTTGAGGAGCTGAGGAAGACGTTTGAGCAGCTGAGTATGCAGGGGCAGAACTATAAGAAGAATCTGTATGTGACGAACATACCTGAGGGGTTTGGAGTTGAGGAGCTGCAAAGCATATTCAAGGAGTTTGGAGCGATTACATCGATTTTTGTTGGAGCAGATGGGGTGAATGCACAGAAGAAGTATGCGTATGTCTGCTACCTGACGCCTGAGGAAGCAAGCATTGCGGTGGAGCGTGGAAACGAGATATACATTGATGGGGAGCGACTGCAGGTTACGTACTTTAAGAACAAGGCGGAGAGGGCAAAGGATAAGGAGTTTTCTGATATAGGATACAAGCCGATGATGCCGTATATGTACCAAGGGGTTGGGTTTCCATCTGGAGGGTTCAAGCGTGAGCGAGCACAGGTAATGTCGTCGAAGCTGTATGGAAATGAGTCTGAAAAGCTGTATGGGCTTGTGCTTGCAGCAGCGCCTGCATTCAAGAACGACTGGAAGACGCTTCGGGTGAGCAATGAGGCTGAGTTTGCAAGCAAGGTGTCTGAAGTTCTACTGAGCAGGCCTGATGAGGAGATAAGAAGCATGATTGGACTGAATTTTACGCTATCGAGCAGTATAGCATCAGTGATCGAGAGTATTGATGGAGAGAATGACCGTGTGGGAGAGATTATTATTAAGGATTAAAGTTTTTAGTTATTATGGATAAAGCAGTGGGAGATTGATGTGCTATAGAAGTGGCGATGGACAGTGAGTAGAGTAGATATGGATTGAGCGCCTTTGACGTTGATATGTGAATGCAAGCAACGGAGGGTGCTGTGTGAGAGAAGGCGTTTTTGGTGTGAGGGGGATTGTCTCAGTGGTAGAGGGTTCGCTTCGCATGTGAAAGGCCCGGGTTCGATTCCCGGATCCTCCATTTTGGAGTGTTTGCAGGGCTAATGAATAACGAATCTATGTGTTGCTGGCATTCTGCATTTGCATTCTGTGTTGTGTGTCTTTGTGTGGATATGTGATGGGTGCTAGGCGTGTGGCTTGGTGCCTTCTCCTTGGAAAAATTTGGGCTTGCATTGCATAAATTTTGGACAGATGCACTGGGCATGCTGTTTTCAAAGGACACACTCAAGTCGTTTGCACAGTCGAAAGGAATAGCAAACATCGACGATGATGCATTGAGAGTGCTATCCCAGGACCTAGAGTATCGTATTAAGGAGGTGTGCCAAGAGGGAGGGAAGTTCATGCTTGCGTCTAAAAGGTCGAAGCTATCGATCGACGATATCAACTATGCGCTGATCAGCAGGAATGTTGATCCGCTGTTTGGATACGATCCGCAGGAGAGCCTTGTGTTCAGAGGGCTGCCATCAAATGCATACTATGTTCCTGATGAGGAGATTGATCTTGAGGAGTACCTTGACCGTCCACTACCAAAGATTCCCTTGAGGCCTTCAATCCAATCTCACTGGCTAGCAATCGAGGGTGTACAGCCACAGACTCCGCACAACCCAATACTGCTTGAAAAGCCTACTGTGAAGAAGGATACGCTTGGGATGTACCAAGAAGAGCTCGAGCTGAAGTCACAAAACAAGCACATGCTTACAAAAGAGCTGAGCATGTACTTTGACAAGATCATCCAGGCAATGGAGACGGATGAGGAGACGGCCATTAACTGCCTGCATAACGAAAGCGGCATCCAACAGCTTGTTCCGTACTTTGTGCATCACTTTAACGAGCAGATAGTGAAGAACATAAAAAGCAAGGACCGGCTAAGAACAATCACAATGATGTACTATTCGTTGCTAAGGAACAAGTACATATTTATTGATCCATATCTACACCAGATCTTGCCATCGCTTATCACATGCGTGATTGGGAAGAGCGTGGATGATGAAGTCAGAAAGGTAGCTTCCGAAGTAGTCAAGCATGTGTTCAGCAGCTTTTCATGCTCATACAAGACACTTGCGCCACGTATCATCAACACATTGAGCAAAGCATGGCTTGACAAGCAAAAGACAGAATCGACGCAATGGGGCGCACTGTTTTGTTTGAGCATACTCTCCGAGCATGTTGTAGAGACAGTCATAAAGCCAAAAGCAGATTACTATCGAGAGGAAATCAGCAACCCACGAGTATCTGATCTTCTAAGCAAGATTTTGCATAAATAATGAATTTTAATGTTCGTTTTCTTTATCATATGCCTGACCCAATTATATCATGCATAGGCCAGACTCGATATAGCATAATATATAATATACGGCAAAATCCATTCAAGCATGCAATCACTTTGCCAATTGAATGACTAGCCATGAGATTGCCAATAATGCAGTCAATAGTGTTACTCCAGTGTATTACTCAGCAACTCTACAATTTCCTTCCTTTCCACAGGTGGAATGCTTATGACTATCTCTGAGTTGTTTTTAATTCTCAGCATTCCGTGATCAATGAATTCAGCAATCATCGGAACTATCGAGCACCTAGCTGTCAAAAAAAGCCTTTTCTTTATTCTTTCAAACAGCTCGTTCATATCAACCTTTTCGCCTCCAATTGCTAAGATTTCGCGCAGGACTATCATAGAGTTCCTGGGTACATTCTTCACAACATTCATTGACCGCCCTGTGCGTAACACTTGTATCTCAATATCAGCAGCTTCCTCGTATGGCTCAAATGTTGTGAGGTCTCTGAAAACAAAATTGAACCTCTCTATGTCATCCATTCCAAACCTCACATTCACATTCTCCATAGTTGCGAGCACGGCAAAGTGTTTGAGTTCCAGAAACTCAGCAAAGCTGAAGTCAAAGTTCACCATCACCAGCTTATACTTTTCTCTTCTACCGAATATTGCGTCGTCTATCTCCTTGATCGATGCAGGAGCCTGTCTGCAGTTTGGAAGCAGATTGTGCCAGATCTTCTTTGAGATTTGCTTCATCAGCTCGTTCTTTTTAGTTGACCTGCAGTCAACATGGATTGCAGACGGAAACATCTTGTGAAGCAATGCCTTCTTCGATCCATAGCCATAGAACATGATGTTAAACGACCTTGAAATCACATTGAGCTCTTTTCTGCAGCTCAGATGAAAGTCTAAAAGCTTTGTGTTCATTCAGTTGATGGGTGGCCCAAGATCCCACATGCATTTCGCATCGCGATTTGTGCAATCCGCTGCATGTATGGATCGCTGCATATGTGCACTTTGATTTACCGACGCACCAGATACATGCACGGTATAATTCGCATACCACGTGCATTAGTTCAAGTAATCATAATGCACATGCATAAACCCATGCAATCAGATAAACAAAAGCTTCGAGAAATCCAAGTTCTTCTTCACAGGCACTCCGGATCGTCTAACAAGGATATAAGGCGCATTCTGGCCGAGATGAATGCATGTCCAACGCCACAGTCGGTATTAGGCATATTTGACCGTTTGTTTGGTCTGGCAAAGTATAGCAACAAAGAGATGTTGTGGTTTCTGGATGTGTTTCTACGATTCACCACAATAAATGGTGCAGACCTGAAAGTCCTTGGAAGTAGGATAGTCGACCTCAAGTTTGCACCATCGGAAAAGGACACCGATTCAGTGATTCTGAAGTACTTTGAGGTTGCAAATGCAATAAGGAACTTTCTTTCGTTTGAAGAGTCAAAATGCATACTTAGCAGGTACATGTTTATTCTTGGGGATGATGTTGTTAGCAGAGGCGCAATACTGTGCATTCTGCAGATGCTAAGAGTGTTTCTTGGGGCTGGGCAGATGCACACATTGTTTGTGAATAGGAAGATGTACAAGAACATTGACTGGATGAAGGGAGGAACGGGCGATTTCTGCAAAGTTCTTGGGGACGAGGAGGTTGTTGACATTGCACTGGAGCATGAATCCTTCAGAACGATTGGAATCGATGTTACAAGAAGCAGATATCTATTTCAAGTGTTTTATGCATTGATGCCTAAGTGGTACCTGGTGGGAATGCATCGATCATTGATTCCGTATCTCTATTATGCATTTGACAGGGTGGGCATATACAAGAATGTTTGTGAAGAGATTTGCAGCAGGCTGCCGATTGATGAGATGGTCCAAATGATCGATGCAGACATAGAAACAGGTGACGAAGAAAACGAGTGTGAGGTGTTATGGCATGACGAGCATGAACGATTGGAAGCATATGCGGAGCAGAAAGTAATAAGCATGGAAGAGGACATAAAAAGGTTCAATGACAGTGGAGACATGCAGCACATGTTTGAGAAGTATGGAAAGGCAGTGAGCTTTGAGATGCTGAGGTACTTTGCAGAAACGGATTTGAAGAAGCTGGGCCACTATGTGTGCAAGCTGAAGAACCAGGCGGATCTGAAGATATTTACAGACACGTTTGATTTCCATGACATGGAGGTTCTTGAAGGTCTGAGGATGTACTTGCTTTCGTTTTATTTGTTGGGAGAAGGACAGATAATACACAGGGTTGTAGAGGCATATGCAGAAAGGTATTATGCAGACAATGCAGGGAGATGCACATTTATGAGGATGGATGCAGACGAGAAAACAAAGGAGTTTGTGTTTAACCTGTCATTTTCATTTCTTGCATTGAACACGAAGTTCCACAATCCGAATGTGAAGCTAAAGCCAACATTCAAGAATTATATAAGCGACTTCAGTGCTGAAGAGATTCCTGAAGGGTTTAGCGAGGAGTATCTTGAGACAATGTATGGATCCATCAAGAGGCGCCCTCTTGAGTTTGCAGTGAAGAACCAGATGAGCAAGGAGCACTACAAGATGTACAAGAGAATGTGTGGAAAGCTGGTGGAGGAGAACGCAGCAGAACGGAAACTAGCACTTGATGTATATTTGCCTGATGGAATGAAGATTTGTGCAAGATGTAAGAGAGAAGCACATAGAAGAATGCTTTCTAAGAGTTTTAAGCGGTTTTTTTCCATGGAAGCAAAGCAGTTTTGCCTGATATGCAGCAAGCTAGGGATGATTTGCGTGTTTGAAGAGTACATGATGCATTTAGTGAGGAGCAAAGAAGACCTACAGTCCTTTGCAGATTCATTTGTATGCTACCTGGATATGAGGGGATCGAGTGTCGATATGTATGTGCTAGTGCTTGAAGTTTTTGCAAGGATTGAGAGACAGAAGGGACACAATGTGTTTTCGGACCTTGGGATTTCGTTTCTGAAGGGAAATGCAGGAAAGGAGCGAGGAGTAAGTGGAAGTGGAAGTAATGAGATGTGGAAGCAGATGGTGGAAGCAGAGGAGTGGGACTTGAATGTGCTGTGTGATGCACTGAAGGTGTTTGCGGACAGTGGAGAGCGAGGGATGCATGGGGAAGATAAACAAGGGATTGGCAGTAGAAAGCAGAGTGAAATGAGGCTTGCAAGGGAGTTTGTAGTTGAGGTGCTGGGAAGAAGCAGTAAAGAAGGAGGGGACTTATCAATGCTAGATGAGGAGAATGTGGTTTGCTTGATGAAGAAGTGTGTGGAAGGGAATGAGAAGGAGAAGTTTTGTAGGATTGCGAGGTATGTGTGCCATGAAAGTCTTTTGAGGTTGTACAAGGATATTCTGGAGAAGGAGCCTGGTTTTGTAAGTGAAAGGGTTTTTGAGATGTTCAAAGAGATTCCTGTGTATAACGAGGACGGATTCTGTTGTACAGTGCTTTTACAGAGCAACGGAGTGGATATGTTTGATTTTGCTGTTGAGGTGAGATGCGAGAGTGTAGTGTGCAGGGCAATCAATGCAGGGAGTGAGAATAAGGAAGGGGGATTGGGAATGAATGAGCAATCATGTGAAGATATGCTGATTTGTTACAATGTTGAAGAGAGATATGTAAAGAGCCTGAGCAGTGCATCGAACTTATTTAGTTTTTATGGGACGTCGAATTCTGTGATGAATCAGTCGAAGGCTCGGATGATACACAAGTCAGGATGTCCTCTTGAGGAAAGAATGTTTGATGCGGAGGAGATGGATAAGAGGTTGATATACATGATAAAGAAAGCGGACATGATGGGAAACAGGGACGTGACGAATTACACGCTTTGGATAGTGAATTTGCTGTCGTCGAGTCTTCCACTGTTTGCAAGATTTTTTGTGCGAAGCTTTGGGATTCTTCTTACGCTTCGGGATCAGACGATGACGAATGGGTTTATCAAGATATTCTGCTCGAGGGTGAGTAAAGCACTGGGTGGGTCTGGGATGTGCTGTGATTGCGGATATGCATCGTTTGAAGAGGTGGAGCAGCTTATAGAGATGCTTGTGAAGTACGACTTTGCAAGCAACGACGACTTTTTGTTCTACTTCAACAAGAAGAATGCAAATGGGACGGACTGCTTGATTGTAGCAGGTAGCGAAAGTGGAAGTAAGGAAGGAAAGAATGGAAGCACTGTGATGGATGGAAATGGGCCGGAAAGCAATCTGAGTGTTGAGAGCGTGAAAGCAGCAGATGAAAGGGCTCAGATAGATGCGGATGATAGGTCTGGAGTTGAGCTGTAAGAGAGATGAATAAATTGAATTTATATACGATGTGGATTGAAGTAATTGATGATTGCGAGGATATCAACAAATGGCATGATTTTGCCAGCCCTGAGGGATGGAGAAGGCTGTGGATAATTTTGTCCACAAGGAGGATGATATGGCAATGAATGCAATGGCAGGGATGTTTGGCAGGCACTACAGGGGATCAAGAAGCTTCATAGCGGATGCTGTGCATGTTGGGCCGATTATTGTATCGGTACAGGCTGAGAAGAGAGTTACGAAGGTGCTAGTCAGGTCAGCAATAGGGTTTAGGGAGTATATGTATTACAACAGCCATATTTCTGGATGTAGGTATTTCTATGGAGTGCGGATGAGTCTTTGCAGGTATTTTAATGATTGTATTGATGGATGGGGGAATGCGGAGGCTGTATTTGCAAAGAAAGAAGGCGTGACGATGGCAGGGATGCTTAAGTCGTTGTTTTTGTTTGGAGGATGGTCATTGAAGAATGATCATGGAAGGCCGAGTGAAAGGATGTATGATGTGATAAAAACAGGCATGATGAGCGAGTGTAAGGAGTTTTGTGCACACAAGATAATGGAGAGGATGGCGGAGATAGCGTATGATGATGTGGAGAGCATTGACAACGAGTTCATGGGTACGAGAGTGTATGTGGATGTAGTATTGAAGTATGGGCAAGCAGTGCCTGGCAAGGTGTTTGGCAAGAGACTTGATGAGTATGGAGCGAGTGTGTGCAAGCAGTTTAGGATTGGATGCATGGGTGAGGATAGAAAAGGGCTTCGGCTGGCATTGCTTGGGTTTATTTTGAATGAGATTGAGTATTTTAGCCAACTGAATGAGTTTTACAGAAGCAACGATTTAAGGATGGGAGGAAGGTTTGCACATGTTTTCAAGGTGCTTGCAAAAGTGTATTTGTTTGAAGCAGGGCTTGTGAGATCGTTGGGCGAGGTTCTTGGAATGATAGGCGCCGATGTAGAGATGGTTATTGCGGATAACGGCTATTTTGAAACTGTAATAAGAGAGATGTGTGTTGATGAGCTTGAGTTTGATGAATATATGGTGCTTGAGAGTGTTTTAAATGTGTTTGACACGAACTTTGAGGGATTTGAGTGCTACATGGATCTGATGCTATCGCAAGAGGATGAGATTGAATGGTTACATGCGTGCAAAGGCAAGATGTGGGTGCCTGAGGATAGAAGTGTCAGGGATTGTATATGCAACTGTCTGCAGAGGATAGTGAGATATCCGATATTGCTTGAGGACATTCTGAAGAAGGTTGGAGAAGAAAAGCATGTAGCAGCAGGACAGGAGATTTATGCTCGAATTGTGGAGTTTATTGGGAGGATTGATAAGAAGAAGGAAGAGCATGATAGCATGAAGCATGCGCTGATTGTGAGCAAGAATGTTGAAGGGCTCGAAGGGAAGCTTATTGACAAGGGGTTTTTGTATGAGTTGAGATGCATGGATGTGGATGGCAAGGCTGTGGCACTGTTTCTGTTTAGCGATGCTGTTGTTATATCTGATAGAAGTGGATCGTCTGTGTCGATATCTGATGTAAGTGATGGAAGATATGTGCTGCGATGCCTACTGAAGCGAGAGGAAGTGGAGGTTTTTGCGATTGGGAAGTGTGGCCTTAAGGTAGTTGCAGGAGCTGGTGATGGAGAGTTTTGGCAGATAAAAGAGAGCTATGAGGATGTTGTTGTTGGAGCGATGTATTTCAGTGGATGCTCTGAGTATTCTCTGAAGTGCTTTATGGATGAATATGTCAGGTCTGAGATTGGGGGGATGAAGGAAGTGTATTCGGCAGAAGGGGAGGTTTTTTTTAGAATGAAGAGGAGTGTCGATGAAATTGGAGAGCAGCGAGATATGTTGGTGTGCATGGATGCAAATGATTTCAGCAATGTTGATGGGCCGGCCATTTATCTTGATGCTGATGAAGGAGTTGTTAAGATGAAAGATACCGAGGAAGTGGAGATGTGCCAGGGTAAGGAAGAGGCATTGAGTGGATTTGCGATGCTTGTGAAGGAAATGGCTGTTTGTGTAAAGGCACGAGCTGTTTGCAGGGGAGGAGCTAGACAGTATCCAGGCGTGTTTGCAAGGTACAGGATGAAGCTTCGGGAGGTTGTTGAGAAGTACAGTGATAGTAGAATTGTTGAGTTTGTAGGGGATCAATGCACCGACGAAGTGCCTGAAAGTCTCAAGGCAAGAATGGCAAAGGCAATGATGGGATATTTGAGCAGGCAGATGACATACTTTGTAGGAGCGTTGAAGCATAAGAGCCGATGTGAGTGGAAAGAGGATTACGAGGTGTGCAGTGTGATGAATGAAGTGGTAAAAGTGGTTATGAAGAGATGGGAAGTTGACGACATGGTGTTTAGCAAGTATGATGCAGAAGAGGTTCTTTGCCTGCTGATGTACTTTATCAAGACCAATGTGTATTCGTTTGTAAGCTTGAGGGATATACAACACCTGTACAGAATGCTATTTGTTGAGAATGTATATTTACTGACGGCAGTGGTGCATGGGATTGGATCGAAGCAATTTATTTCGTCGTTGTTTGATGTTATACTGTATGCAAGAGGCAAGATACCGATGAAGCATGTATTGAAGGCACTTCGAGTGATTTTCTATGAGTTTGAGGTCCCTGAAGGCAAGCTTGCGGAGATGCTTGGCAAGATACACTGGGATGTTTGATGAAGATATGCTGATGCACACTCATGATGTAATTGAAACATTGCAATGAGAGCAAAGCGGCTGTTCTTGTTTCATGTTGCAATGAATAACAGCACTGTGTTTAGAATCGAATGAGCAATGAGGAGGAGATGATGCTTAGCGAGACATCAAGAAACATGAAAGCAACAGTGCAGATCATACAGGAAAAAATCAGCCAGCAAGACTTGCTCTACGAGTCAATAGAGGCAGAAACAGAAAAGGCAGACAGAGCTCTTATGGCCAACATCGATAGATTTGGAGAAGCAATCAAAAGGATGAACAACGACCCAAGAAACAAAATAATCTTTATTCTGGCATTGATCCTCATTATGTGTATCTCATATCTGATAATTTAGTCATTTCGAGCAATATCCAACAATACTACAACCTAAACAGGCTACATATACAATCTATCTGTAGTCAAAAATAAACATTATTACAGCACAATATCTGAATGTAGCATCTAATGAAGCATACCAAACCATTAATGCTCTCAGGACATCCTGCATGCCATATTCTTTAGCATTTCCACGGACAGCAGTCTACCGTCCGCGCCGTGCACCTCGTAGAAGTCAGTCAGCACATCAATTATAAACTTTTTGTCCGCATCTGATGCCTCTGCATACTGTTTAGCAAACATCCCGTTGATTGTTGACATGTCAGCCATCTCCCTGTTTTTGCCACTCTTGCTGCACAGCTTCGCATATCTCGTTGTGTATTTGAATCCACATAGGTTTTCTTTCATCGATAGCAGCAGGAAATACCTTACCATCCAGAAATACTCCTGATCAGCTGTTGCTATTGGAAAGTTAATGAAAAATGTCGAAACGGCATCAAGCACAGCATGGGATGTGCCACATATCTTGTAAGACCCCAGCCCACAGGTAACTATTCCCAGGCACAGCTTGTACAGTTCTACATCGCCATACCTGATCGAAAACTGTTTCTCTTGCTTCCACCCGCTCGAGCTGAAGAAAAAGTCGCTTCTCTCACACATCCCTTCCTCCTTCTCCATCATCTTGATCCGCCTGCGGAGAATCCTGACCATCTCAAGATTGCACGATGAGTTCGCCATCAAGGACAGCGACACAACACAGAAGTCAAACACCACCTTTAGCTCCATATTCCTTTTCATCTCCTCTTCGGTTCTTAAGCACACCGCCTTCAATCTCTCAAACACTTTTCCATTGCATTCGCATTCATTTCTATACAGCATGTACACAGCCACATAGAACACCCTTCCTGCTATCCTGTACAGCTGATGAACATTATGAACACACTTCTTGTCTGCAAGGCGTTTCTCAACATCCTCAACAACATTGCCTATCTCATCCTCCATCATCAGCCCAAGCGAAAACACCTCGGAATAAAACACCTCTTCAGGCCTGCACATATCCGATCGCTCTAGTCTCTTTGCGAATCGCCGCTGCCTGCTTCCAAATAGAACTATTCCATTTGCAAGCAGCTCGCATAGCTTATCTTCAAGCTTTACAAACCTAAATGCCTCCATCCCTGCATTTAGACTCACCATTGCAATACTCAATGATGCCAATACTCGGTATCCATAATCATACCAAACCTTGTTGCCCTTGTTGTACTGCTCATGGTCAAAAACTCCATACCTATTTGCCTCAGCTACCAGTGTGTCTCTGACAAGCACATTTCCACTCGCTGCATACATCATCCCAAGGCCTACAACACATCCTGCGTGTATGCACAGCGGCTGTGGTGCTCTTAGATAATGCAAGTACATCCTTCCATATGCATCATCTCTTTTACCCATGTTGCTGACTCCAACACCTGCAAGAATCGCCATCGATAGAATGGCATATCTAGACATAACAAACTCTACAACTTTTTGCACAGGCATTCCCTTCAATCTTCCACACACACCATATCCAAAAACCTCCCCTGCAAACAAAAACTCGCTTGCTGCACATGCAGATTCTTCCCCTACTGAATTCACAAATCGGTTCATTCTTGACTCAAAAAAATCGCCGGTCTCTGCTTCAAGCATGGCATACCCACAAACTCTATACACCGAATAACTAAATTGCGGCCAGTCCATCCATCCTGCATCCTTGATGTCAATCGTTCCCAGCTCTTCGTTTCTATATATTGGGAAACACAGCTGCTTGCTTGCATTTCTACGATCTGTCATCCCACTTCCATAGAACATATACGCCCTTCCAGCACTTGATGCCATCCTAATCGCATATCCCCTCTCTCCACATCCATCAATCCCATCGTTGCCAATCTCAAAAACCTTTGGCTCTTCATTAAACAGCAGAAACACCTCGTCCATCCTTGGATCCCCAAAGAATTTACGCATCCCACTCATCAGTCTCTTTGCATTCTTCATGCACATGCTTCTTCGCCTTTCCTCATTCTTCTTCTCCAGAAATACAATCTTATATGCAAGATTCATCACCTTTGAGTAGCTCACAGACTCAACTAGGCTAGTGTCGCATCTTATTATCCTCCTGTATGATATCTCCATCACATCCTTTTTGGCTATCCCCAGGCATCCTTGAGAATACTCAATCAGTTCCTTGCACTTCTGCAGAGCCAAAGACTTTTCAAAGCATGGCACTCCTGCATTCATAAACTCCCACACACTCTTGCATCTAATCATCCATCTCCACAGCACCTTGTCTACTCGATCCAATACCTCTTCACTCGGCACAAGCTGCTCAAACACTTTTTTGCCACTCGCAAAGAATACCCCAAAGAACTCTCGCTGCACATGCGGTGGAAAACACATCACAGTGCACATTTCCAAATCACTTATTCCGCTCCAGAACGGGGCATGGTATTCTTGATTCCATTCCGCATCCTCCTTCGGTATCGGCCACATCTCATCGTCAATTGCTCGGCAAACTACCTCATTCCCAAGAAACAGCATCTCATTGATTCTAAGAAACACAATCTCGCCAAAGCCATGCACATGCTTCCTATACTTCACCACACAGCTCACATCTCTGTCAAACCTGATGCTTGCCTCACTCTTCTGCTTGCTTCTCTTAACTCCTCCGCAATACCTTCCTAGCTTTATAAACACTGCATAGTTCATGCATATCCCAACCAAAAGTCCAGTGTACTCAACAATGCGGACCAGGAGCCCTTTGCGATTTGAATGCTCTTCGTAGCGATCAATGCTACTATTCATCGCATCTTCACAAATGCCTATCACCATCATATCCATGCTTTGATCATCATCGAATTCATCACATACTGCACTTTGATCATCTTCGCATGCTTCTACATCGCCTTTATCTGCACAATCGCCATTTAAAACAGTATTCCGAGTGTATTTCAATAGGTATCTTCCATCACCCTCAAGAACTAGCACTCCAGAAACAACCTCCTTCAAAGCATATCCATGCTGGAAAAATACATGCTTTTCCGGTTCTAAAGGATGCATGAGCAACATTATTCGCCCACTTCCATGCTCCTGGTAGTAAACACCCTCAGGCTTCACCACTGCTTTCCTTACACTCCTCGATAGAGCCATGTCCTCGTCACCATAAAAGCATATTCTGCTTGGCGTGCACACAACAACCCACTTCTTCACTTTCCCCACTGCAATAATTGTACCATTGAACCTCATCTGCCTTCCCTTCCAAGCCAACACCCTGTCGTTCCATTTGAATGCCATGAAAGGGCTTTTGCACTTGCGATTTATCGCTATGCAGCACCTATCTCAAATACTCCTGACTCATTTCTTGATTTTCATATACTGATGATTTGCTAGAATGTGTTTAATGTATTTCCAGACCATCTGATACAGGCTACACTTTCTCAGCATCAGATTTCTTCCTGCTCAACAGTCAGTCCACACGAACACTTAGAAGCTGTTCCATCACTAGAAAACACATGTACATGTTTTTCCTTGTCTGCCGCCGGCATTCTGGTCATCCTCCTCAAGTTGCCTATTCTTGCCTTCAATCTTTTTGCCTTTCTTTCTTCAGCCATCCTGCCTCTACTTATCTTTTCCATTTCTATCTTGTCGAGAGATCCCCACTTTGATATTGCTGCCTGCTCTATCTGCTCCTGCAGATACAGATGCATTTTTGACCAGGTGCCCTTACGAGGATTAGGCTTCTCAAGATGCTTGAGCATCTTTATGTCCTCCTCGGCAAGAAGATAGTCGTCCAGACATGCTGTTTTTGTAATAAGCTTGAGCATCTTGTGCTTGCATTGAGTACACACAGGTATCTCAAAGATCCTCCATATTTCAGTGTCAATAGGCACATAACTGCAATGCATGCACCTGTTGTTGAGAAAGAGCGGGAGCTGCAGCGGCTCGTCTTCAACCACGTGCCTAACAGTAGCACTGTTCTCTTGAGGTTCATCCGCAAAGAATCCGCCATCCTGCTGCTCGCTCAGGCCAGCTGGCGATTGCGGGCTTGTGCCATGCGGTGCATTACCCATCAGCAGATTCAATGGGCATAGAGATTGTTTGTGATACACTGGAATAAAGCACCACCACACATGATGATGCGTGCATAAAAAGCTTCATCACAAAGGCTTGCAGCACAAGCCCATGCTATTTGATTTGTTTAGTCTGTTTGGAGAAAGACCGTCGTGGGCGTTGCATCCAAGAAGGTTTGAGGAGTCAAGCGCAAACAACTTCGGGGGAAAGGTGATAGTACCCCAGTCAGTGCTTGTTGATCTAGTGTCGTTCCAGATCCAGCCGCCATTTACATTTGAGATTTCGCACTCGAACGGCATTTACAAGACGCACTGTGGGGTCATTGAGTTTACAGGCACTGAGGATGAGGTTGTTGTGCCTTCGTGGATGTATCAGCAGCTATACATGGAAGACTCTGGCAAGGTTGTCCTGAAGCACAAGGTGTTTCCTGTCGGAAGGTTTGCAAAGCTGCTTCCACATTCAACAGACTTTCTCGAGGTGGAGAATCCAAAGATCGAGCTAGAGTCATGCCTAAGGCATTACCAAGTGCTGTCTGAAGGAGATGAGATTCTTTGCCTGTTTGATGAGGTTGGGCCCATCAGATTCACTGTTGCATGCATAGAGCCAGCAAGCTGTGGAATATACATTGTTGATACAGACCTTGCTGTGGACTTCCTGGAGCCAATTGGGTTTAAAGACAAGATCGAGCGAGAAAAATCGGTCAGGAAATACATCGAGATTATACACACCGATCACAAGGTAAAGCCAATCAGAATGACAAGGCTTGGGCTGTATTTGCAGAAGCCGGTACAGGACGATCATTAGGACCACTGCTGTACAACATAAGAATCAATAGTGGCTAGCCGCTTGAGCTTATTGGCAAACAGTTTATGGAATCTTAGAAGTGCAAAGAAGCAATGCCTGGCGTTGAGGTGCCGGTATGCCTTTGATACGCAGCCCACAGATTTCCTTTTTTTTCCTTGCATTGCACACTGCTGATGATCTGCTCAAATGAAAAAATGTCTTCTGACATGAGCATGAAGTTGTTCACAAAGCAATCCTCATCATCATACGAGCAGAGGAAGATCTTCAAGTACTTTTCTAGGACATCCATCATTGGAATGACACTTACTTTTGGCTTGAGATGCTTTTTAACCTCAGCTACCTCGAGCAGAAGAGCTTCAGCGGCATCCGAGGTGATTCCGATTGAGTATATTCTTGAAAGCATTTGCGAAACCATCGACTCTAGCAACACCATTCTGGTTTCTTCTCCAATGCCCTTTGTGGCATCGCTTATGATTTCTGCATCTATGAACCTTATGATGTCTTTTGCCAAGTCATTGGGCGATTCGAAGCTGATTTTTTCAAAGCAGACCGAGAGTTGGCTGTCTATGACGCTGCCGTGGAATGCCTCCATCTTCCTTATTTGCTCAGATGCATTTGGAGTGTCTTCCAGGATTCCTGCTTGCCCAAGAACCCTGGCCATGAAGTCTGACATTGTTTCCCGTGCAAATAAAAGTGTGTTCAATACAACAATGGATTTGTATATAGTGTTTCCAAGGCGGATCTTGCTTATCAGGATTGCGATATATTTGTCGAAGTATCTAACCAAGCATTTGTATGCAGATACGTCATCAAGATATTCAATCTTTTTCAAAATCCTTTCTAGTCCATGAAAGAAGTCGAGCACAGCAGAAATAACACAAACCTTGGCATTGCCCTGCTCGAACTCGCCACCGACTAGCCGATCAAACGATACCTTTAGGTAAATTGCAATGTTTGGTATAAACTGCGACGATATCATTCTCATATGGCTGCATGAATGATTGATGGCCGAGGCAAGATCTTGTGTGCAGTTTTCGTCCGAGCTATCTTGATGCCGGCACATGCATAAGCTACACTTACTGTCATCAACCAGCTTTGCGAATCTTTTTTCGTACCTTAGCGCCATGTCAAATGCTTGCACAAAATCCTCCTCATCGACATCGTTGTAGAAGAAGTAGTCACATATTTTCTGCTTTGTCATGACATAGTATCTGAGCAGAACCTCCAATGCTAGGTTCCAATCGCTTATAAGAGCATATCTCAGCATTACCTTTGCCAAGTTCTCTTCAACCCACATCAAGCATGCACCAAGTGACGACAGCTTGCGGAAGCTGTGCTTCAGGACATCTTGATAATCTACCGAGCACAGAATGGTCATGTGAGAGGCCATGGATGATCTCGCCTTTTCTTCAAACTCATTGCCCAGCAGCAGTGTTATGCTGATAACAGGCCTGGGGATGCTTTTCTGGGCATACACACATTTCTTTATCTCATTCTCTATGCACAGCTTCAATCCGTCAAGATCATCGGTCGAAAGTTTCTGCCTGAAGTTGAGCTTTTGCATCTCCTGCCTGATCCTGCTGTATATTTCCTCATGATTCCTTGAGTTGTGCAGTTCTCTGAGCTCTGACACTTGCATGTGCATGTGCATGGTGCAAAGTGTACTTTTGATCAACTGTGGAACCATGTTTCACATGCCATGCATACAATCAAACACCGAATGTTTTTGTAACCTTGCAAAACCAAAGCCATTTAAATGAAGATTATATCTGATGGCTGCTCAAGCGACCTGGACCATATGGGTGCTGAGGAGTACTGGATAGGTGATTTCATGCACAGGAAGGAAAACTATGGCATTATCCGGGTTCCCGACGAGTTTTTGGAAGATAGGTTCAATCTTGTTGGGCTGGAAAGACGGATATTCAACCTTGAGGAGGCATACAATTCAATTCTGGACAGAGGGCCCAGGGGAGACTTTCTAGAGGAGTCCTGCCTGTATTACCTGATACACCAGAGGTACATATTTACTAAGCCTGGGCTGGAGGCGGTTCTCGACAAAGTCATGAATAAAGAGTATGGCGTGTGCCCAAGGGTGGGATGCAGGGCATCTGCAGTGATTCCTGTGGGGATGAGCGACTTTCCAGGAAGAAAGTCGACAAAGGTATATTGCCACTGCTGCACAGCAGTGTATGAATCCGGGAGTAAGCTCCGCATGCTTGATGGATGTGCCTGGGGACGCTCATTCCCACACTTCTTGATTCTGACATATCCATACCACTTTCCACTGTCAGCAAGCAAAGAGTATGTCCCTAGGATATATGGAATCAGGACATGCAGGCATGATGATAACGACTCCCACTCGGAGGATAACTAGAATAAATCCATATTTGGAAGTTGTGTACAGCAGCATATTTATGATGAGCGGTGGGCAGTGCGAATGATAAAGGACGATGCATTGGAAGAGCAGTATGGGTTTAAGCCGTACTACTGTGATGTGCGCAGGGAAGGGTGGCTGCTGAACTATGGTGTTGTTTGTGGGGATGACGGAAGGATGGGTGCAAGGCTGTATTTGATTGATGACCAAGGTGTTGAGTTTCTTGCAGAGATGCGATATTTTCCGTCGTTTCTGGTGAAGGCAGCAGACTATGAGGCAGTAGAGGAGTATCTGAGAAGAAGATATGGGGGAGAGGTACACATGGCTCGAGTAGTCTGCAGAGTAGACTTTAAGGAATATAACCACCTGAACAAGGCGCCTGCTGAGTACCTAGAAGTGCAGGCGCGAACTGAGACGGGGTTTAACACAATGGTGAAGGAACTGAAGAGGATTGCAGCCAGAAACAAGGTCAGGAGCAGTGGCAGCGAGGGATTTGATTTTGATGTAAGACGAGTGATGAGTGCTGAAGAGGCGATTGTGTCTGTGTGTGAATATGACATTCCAGCGGAGGTGCGGGTTGCAAATGAGCTTGGAATAAGATGTGGAAAGTGGTATGTGATCTGGTATGACGGAGAAAGGTATGTGATTGAGAAGAGCGAGAGGATTGTGTTTCCAGACCTACGGATTCTTGCATTTGATATTGAGACGTCTAAGAAGCCGCTGAAGTTTCCGAGCGCAGATTGTGATTCGGTGATGATGATATCAGTGAAGACCGAGTCGAATGGATATTTGATTGTCAACAGGCGGCTGGTTTCTAAGGATATCAAAAGGTTTGAGTACAGTCCGAAGGATGATATGCAGTGTGTGTTTGAAACAGCAAATGAGAAGGATGAGGAGGGTGTGCTGATAGCATTTGCTGAGATTGTGCAAAGGCACAGACCACACCTAATGACTACATTCAATGGATCAGGATTTGACTTTCCTTTTGTTGAGAAGCGAATGCAAAGGTATGGGATTTGCCTGAAGGAGACGATGGGATTTGTCTGCAGAGACGGATACTATACTTCGCCTTTTATTGTGCATCTTGACTGCTACAAGTGGGTTAAAAGAGATTCTTATCTACCAGCAGGAAGCCAAGGGCTTAAGGCGGTTACGAAGGCGAAACTGGGATACTTTCCTGAAGAGGTTGATCCTGAGGAGATGATGGATCTTGCGATTGCCGATCCTGATCGAATGGCATCTTACTCTGTTTCTGATGCGGTTGCCACATACTTTCTGTATGTGAAGTATGTGCAGCCACATGTTTTTTCGCTGTGCTCGCTTATTCCCCTTAGCCCGATGTCTGCTATATGCCAAGGATCAGGGACTTTGTGTGAAGCATTGCTTATTTCCGAGGCGGTTGAGTATGGCGTGATTATTCCTGACAAGCGGATGGAAAGCAGATACCAGGAGTATGAAGGATATATTGCGGAGAACGTGACGTATGTTGGAGGGCATGTTGAATGTGTAAGGGCAGGGCTGTTCAGGTCTGACTTTTCGTATGACTTTGAGGTGAGTGCAGAGTTTGTTGAAGATGCTGGAAGGAGTCTTGATGAGATGCTAGCTGAATACAAGGACGAGGAGGATTTTGAGGTGATGAGGATGAGTGTGATGAGGAATCTTGAGGAAAACAAGGGAAGGATACGACGAGAGGGAAGGATATACCATCTTGATGTTGGAGCAATGTATCCGAACATAATACTTACGAACAAGCTGCAGCCGGTGTCGATTGTGAATGATGATGTGTGCATAAGGTGCGACTTCTCTGACGAGGCGAATGGCTGTAGGAAGAGGATGGAGTGGACGCTGAAGGCAGAGTACATTCCAGTGAAGAAGGACGAGGTGGAACGAATCAGGATGCAATGCATGAGGGAGGGCAAGAATGACGAGGAGGAGCTTGTGCGAAGGGTGAAGGAGTATAGCAAGAAAGCATACAAGAGATCTAAAGTTAAGGCGTTGGATACGAGAAGCTCTGTTGTGTGCCAGAGAGAGATACCGTTCTATGTGGAGACTGTTCGGAAGTTTAGGGACAGGAGATATACCTACAAGAAGCTGCATTCTGAAGCATTGAGGGATGCCGAGGGAGCAATGACTGAGGAGGAAAGAAAGCATGCATTGAAGTCAGCAGTTGTTTATTCATCGCTGCAGGTAGCACATAAGTGTGTGTTGAATTCGTTCTATGGATATGTGATGAGAAAGGGATCGAGGTGGTATAGCATGGAGATGGCAGCAATAGTGTGCAATGTTGGAGGAAGTGTGATAAGAAGAGCCAAGGAGGTGGTTGGGATGATCGGGATGTCTTTGGAGCTTGACACCGATGGAATATGGTGTGTGGTGCCCAGCACACTTATGTCGACATATGTATTCCGATCAGGAAGGAAGATGTCTTTTCTGTCGAGTGTGCTGAATTACTTTGTATGCAAGGGATTTACGAATGAGATGTATCAGGAGTTAAGAGACGGGGAGTATGTGAAAAGGAGCGAGAATTCGATTTTTTTTGAGATTGATGGGCCGTACAGGGCGATGCTGCTGCCTGCATCTACTGAGGAGAGCAAGGTGCTGAAGAAGCGATATGCAATAATCAATGACGACAACAGTGTGGCCGAGCTGAAGGGGTTCGAGGTGAAGCGGCGAGGAGAGCTTGAGATAGTGAAGAAGCTTCAAGAGGAGCTGTTTTTGCATTTTTTGGATGGAAGCACGCTTGCTGAGTGCTATGGATCGCTTGCTGATGTGTGTAGATACTGGCTTGATATTCTGAGGAGCAGAGGCGAGTATCTTGATGATGAGACCATTCTTGAGTTGCTGTCTGAAAGCAGGAGTATGTCCAAGGAGTATGAGGAATATGAAGGGAAGAAGTCGAATATTACCACGACTGCACTAAGGATGTCTGAGCTATTAGGCAAAAATGTTCTTGAGGAGAAGCTGAAATGTGAGTATGTGGTTGCATTATATCCAGAGGGGAAAAGTGTTGCGGAACGAGCGATTCCTGTGATTGTGTTCCGATCTTGTGAGAAGGAGAAGTTTCTAGGACGGTGGCTGGGAAGAAGATACGGAGGAGATATCAGGGCATTAATTGATTGGGGATATTATAGGCAGAGACTGGAGAGTGTGATTCTTAGGATGGTTATTCTTCCAGCAATATCCCAGGGAATCAAGAATCCGCTGGATGATGTGCATGTACCTGAATGGGCTGTGAAGAGGGGAATGCTACTTGATTTTGAGTTTGGGGTTGAACATGATGTAATGAAGAATGAAGAAGGAAGTGATGCCAAGATTGATGAGGAGCACGATGGATGGAAGGAGATTGGAGCAGTGAGCGATGCTGAATACGGGGGTGTTATGGAGTATGTTCAAAGTATGAAGGAAAGATGGATAGAAGGCGCACGGAGCTTTCTGCATAAGGGAGGTATTGTTAGGATTAATGCAACGAATGATGGATTTCTGGATGTTTTTTATGCAAATGCACAGGAAGCAGAAAGGACAGAGCTTGCGAGATGCATATACATAGAGATGAGCAGCAAACGGGTTTTTGAGGGATCTGAACGGGTTGAGATAGTAAAGCGGGTTTTGAGCGATGGGGAGGAGATTGAGGTGGGGATGCTAATGCTGAATGAGAGTGATTTTAGAGAGAACCGTGCCTTGTACAAGAGGTTTCTGAGTCATTTTTCGATTAGGAGGGTGTTTGAAGAGGACGTGCCTGTACTGTATGGAAATCTGAAGGAGTGTGATGGAGGAAAGACAAACTACACGGTATTGAGTGGGTTTGTGCATGAAGGACAAACGGTGTATGTTATTGGAAAGGACAAGAGTGATTTTGTGATTTGTAAGGGAGATGATGCGCTGAAGAAGTATTTGCTTGGATGTATTGGAAGATGGCAGGTGTTTGTTATTGGATCCGATGATGTGCATAAGGCCGAGTTGAGAAGGGTGCTTGCGAAGCGACATACTATGGAAAGAGTTTTTGGACTTGGCCTATGCATTGGGGGACATGAGAGGAAGTGTGAGGAGCGGATGAAGAGGCATGCGGAGATTGGAGTGGAGATGAGTACAGTATTTGCAGCAAGCAAATATGCAAAAGTGCCTGTTATGAATGTTGATGAAGAGCTTTTGGAGATACTTTTTTACAGGGAGTTGAAGAATGAAGAAGTGATATGCGATGGATATGGAAGTGAAGAGAATGGGATGGAGAGTGTTTTGAATGAAAAGTTCAAAGCTGGACTGTATAGTGAGTATGTGATTGAGATGGAATGTGTTGGGGCGATGGTTCTTGCAATACTTGAGCATAAGGAGTATCTTGGGGAGGAGGGCCTATACGATGGAGTGAAGAGGAAGGATTTTGTGGTGCTTCACAGGGTTTTGAAGAAGATTGTGCTAGACTGTGTGCGAGGAGAGGAAGGAGCGAAGGCAATTATGAAGGGGGTTGACTTTTGGATCAACAAGCGATCGAAGATGATAAGTGGAGAGCTTCGAGGGGTGTGTAAGCTGTTGAAGAGAAGGTACATGATGAACCTTGCGAAGAGATTGTACGACGATGAATATGGAGTGGTTTTGGTGGTAGGACAGATGATGTTTGTGAAGACGGAAAAGACGAACAGGAGATCTGCAATTGAGTTTTTTGAACACATGCGTAGGAAGGTGACTGCTATTGATGGATATGAAATGATGAATATTAGGATGTGCAGGATGTTTGAGAGGTTGATGCTTGTGAATCCAAACACGTATTTTTTTGTTGAGGAAGGGGAGTATGCTGGGTTCAGCGAGATCAATGTGCCTAAAAGCTTTTTGAAGATGGTTTTTGGAGATCAGGAGATTGATAGTGAGATGATGTACAGGCTTGTGACAAGGGTGCCTGCTGGGAGCAGCAGAATGATGATGGAGGTATTGAAGCATATGCAGGGGATGCAGGCGATGATGACGAACTGCTGTAAGCTGCTGCGAATAAGTGAATTTGAGGAGAAGATAGTAAGTCGGACAAGGATGATGGTAGTGTGCCCAGTGTGTGTATTTGAAAGCACACTGAAGCCTAGATGTGTTCGGTGTTATCGAGTGTATGCACCGGATGTTATTTTAGAGGAGTGCATGAGATATGCAAAGCACCTTTTAAGGCTAGAGCTGAGCAGCGATTCGTATTGCGAAAGGTGCGGAGGAGTGAATGAAAGGAGGCTGAGTGATGCATGCAAATGCGGAGGGAGTTTTAGAAAGGAAAAGAACATGGACATGCTTGATGAGGTGTGTAAGATAGCATGCAGCAAAGTATTTGATGAGATGTATGATGGAATAGTGAAGCATTTTGCAAAGTGAATATGAAGGATATTGCGATGGATTAATGGATAAGACACACCCCTGTGCAATCGAATGTGTGAGAAAGTGACTATTATTGAGAAAGGCGATGTGGGATGTGTGGATGCGGTTGTACACGGATGTAGTTGCATGCATGTTGTTTTTGAAAGGATATGCGAATCGAAGAGAATTGAGGAGATGCGATTTGAATGCCTGAGAGGAATGCATGAGAGGTCAGTCAAGATTTTTGAGGCAGGAAGGAGGATAGAGTTTGGATATGAGTTTTTGATTGAATATGTTTTGATGTGTGCAGGGATTATTGAGTATGAGTGTAAGGTTGATGTGCTTGAGGAAGTTGGTGGAGCATGCTTGCTGAAAGGAGTTTTGCATGCAATAGACGATGAGTACAGGCTAGGGCTAAGTGTGCAGCTGAATGGAAATGATGTAATGGTCGAGATGGGAGGGAAGGTTATATATGAGATGAGAGAGTGGCAATGAGCCAAGTAGTGCATGGCGTGAGTGGGAATTGATGGCGCATGAAGAATAGAGTCAATGAATTGGTTTGTGTTGTGGATTGTGTTATTTTGTTGTGCTGCATGATTATTGATTCATAGGGATTGGCATGGCTGACGGTGCCTGTGAAAGCAGTGGGAGTGAAGATGTATGGACAAAAAATATCACCCTCATAAGATGGATAGAAGGGAATTGGAGGCGTGCCTGTATGATGTGTTGAGGTCTGATGCGCATGCAGGAAAGCGGGCGGAGGCACGGATTATGGATGTGCAGGCAAACGACTTTAGCAGGTTTGTGCCTGTTCTTGCGGAGGTCTTCTGCGATGTGAATACAAACGATCAGGTGAAGATGGTTGCCGGGATTATTTTCAAGAACACAGTGCATGCGAATGATGCGGAGCTGCAAAGGATGTGCTTGAACCGATGGCTAGGGCTTGATGGAGGGGTACGTGAGTATATCAAGGGAATATTGAAGGGGGCGCTTGAAGGATATGTGCCGAGGTTCTGTGTGATGGCAGGGGGGATTCTTGGACACATTGCAAGGATAGAGGTAGTGAATGGGATTGATGTAAGGTTTTTTGAAGAGATGAGGATGAGGGCGAATGAGGAGGAGAAGATGGAAGGGGTGTGCGAGGCTGTTGGAGTGAGCACGAGCTATATTGCAAAGGAGGCCCCGGGTGTGCTTGAGGAGCAGGTGGTAAGGATGGTGTTTGAGACGTGTATATGTGCATTGGTTAATGGAACGACCAGTCGAAGGAAGCTGGCAGGGCTGAAGTGCTTAATGAACAGCATGGAGGCGTCAGGGATGTTCTGCAGGGCAGAGGACATGAGGGTGTTTCTTGATGCAACGATGGGGATATGGAATGGATCTGATGATGAGCTGATCCACAAGTCGATGATATGCTTCAACAGGATGGTGATGCTGTACTACAAGTATGTTGAGAAGGAGATGCTTGAGGATATGCTATCTCAGTATCTGGGGAGGTTTTTCAAGTCCACCTCTGACGACATTAAGGTACAGGCAATTGAGTACTGGTGTATTTTTGCAGAGATGAGGGATGGAGAGATGATTGATAAGTATCTGCCGGTGGTATTGCCGGAGATTCTTAGGCTTCTTTCGAAGGGGGAGGACTACAATGCCGATGGATGGACTTCGCACAAGGCAGCGTCTTCGTGTCTTGAGATGTATGCAGAGATAAAAGGCAGCAAGCTGATGAGGAGTGGAGTAGTATGGGGGTTTATTGAGTCGTCTCTAAGATCAAGCACAAGGCTTAATGTGGATATTGGGGCAATAGCGCTAGGGAGTGTCATGTGTGAGGAATGTGAAGACTACCTAGTGATGGTGATGCCTCAACTTGTGGAGGGAGTTGATTTTGAAGAGTCGAGGGAGTCGTGCCTGTGGGCGCTATCGAAAGCAGCAGAATGCAACTTTTATGCGCTGGTTGAGCATCTGCCTGTTATCATCAGCAAGTGCGGAGGGATTGTTCTTGAGGGCGCGAAGCCATCTGTAGGAGCAGCATGGGTGATGAATTGTGTGTTTGATTCGATTTGTGAGTCGAGGAAGAATGAGACGTATGCAAAGCACCTGCCAAGGGATATGAAGAAGAAGGCAGATGGATTTGTGGAGAATTTTCTTGTGAAGCAATATCTTGATGTATTGAATGTGTTGGTGAAGGGGACAGAGATGGTGAGTCTGAATGACTCTGGGCTGAGGATAGCGTTGTTTTCTGCACTAAACTCGCTGATTTATGTATGTCCACCGATGCTTTTGAGTATATTGAGCGGGTTTTATGAGTACGCGGCTAGAAAGATAGATGAGTGTGTTGGAGTGCTTGGCCATGCAACACAAGACCAGATACTAGTTGTTGAGGATGTGCTGTCGAACTATATAGGCCTTGTTGAGGCGATTGCGATGTCTAGGAAGATGGAGGGAGTTGAGGATGTGCTAGGAGTGTTTATAAAGGTTCTTGACTCCACGCCAACAATAGCGTTTGGAGAGGTTTATATCAGCTTGTCGAATCTATCGGCAAAGTTTGTACCGCATGTGCCGATTCTGCTGCCATACATCACGCGTGATATGAGATGCACGGACAAGTTTGTGCTGAACTCTGTGATAAACCTTGTTGGAAGACTTGCAAGCACCATGGGAACTGATTTTAGTGTGATAGCAAGTGTGGTTACCCCGCTACTGGGGCAATGCCTTGGATCTGAGTCTACGCCAAAAGAGCTGAAGCCTGTGATTCTTTCTGTGTTTGGAGACATAGCATTGGCATTGGAGAGGGGATTTGAACCGCATATTGAGATGGTGGTGATGCTATTCTTGCAGATATCTGAGCTTGACCTTCGTTGTGATGAGGAGTATGTTGAAGAGCTGCGCAAGAATGCGCTTCAGCTTGTGAATTGCTCGTTGGTCGCGGTTGGAGACTGTATGAAGGTGAGGAGTGTAATGCCGAGGATCCTGAGCATAGCACATGTAATTAGTGCGAGCGACGGTGATGGAAGGGTGCATGAAGAAACACTTGGACTGATTGATGATCTTGCTGTGATGTATGGAAAGAACTTTGGATTGGATGATCCATGGATCAAGGAGTTCTTGTACAGTGTGATGAAGCATGGCAATGATAAGAATAGAAACAGAGCCGGCCAAATTCTGGAGGTGCTTAGATAAGCTTTTTGCATGGATTAAATATATTTTATCTGAAGATTTATTGCAAGCTTATAAGTATGAAGTCTAGTTAAGTTTATTGGTGACATTGGCAAGCTGTTTAGCATCGATTTCTATTGTATGCTTGGAAATGCATCTTCATGTTGTGGAAAAAGTCAGATAGAGCAACTAGAATGGCACTTGTGCATTTACCGTCATCATAATCTCCAAATTTATGATCGATTATGCCTGATTTCAGGTTACATTCTTTGTATGCATCTGCTACATATTCCAATTTGTTGCATGCAAACAAGAAAAACCCGGAGTATGCTTTCTGGTGCTTGGCATCGAGAACATTCAGTGCAAAGAGATTATCTGTGTACATCCCAATAAACAAATTGATTCTCTCACGGATCCTCGACAGCTCTTCAGCTTTAAGCTCGTGGATGCTTGCAAACTCATCAAGCAGATCGCTAATAGCAATGCCGTTCGCCTCCATCACATGGAACAGAAATGGAAACAGCGACACGTTGTTTTTTCCTCTGTATCCACTGAACACACACAGACTAGAAATACGAAACCCAGGTATTTTCTTTCGGGCCATCGAGTATTTGAAGTTTACAGTATTGCATATCTCAAGGACAGCCTTCAGAAGAACCTTCAGTCCACGACTATCAATAACACGGTTATACAGCATCAGAAGCCCAATCAAGGTATCTTCGATCAGGAATATCTCACAGAAAAACTTTCTCTCAAAAATCAGGATCTCTGCAAGTCTGAGCGCATCTGCATGGCGTGAGTATCTCAGCATCGATTCTTCAACCTCATTAAGCATTTCTGGCTGTGCCAATGACAGAATCGATGCCTCATTGCTATCTGGATACATCTTTTCAATGTTCAACAGATCTTGAAGCTCTAGAGGACTATCTGGAGACTCTAAGAACGTATAAATGTTTTCAGGCGTGATTCCTTTTAATTCAAGATGCCTTAATGATAGAGAAGCCAAAAATAGCCTGTTGCTGTCTATGATTGCTGCTGTTCTTGCTTGATTGCTATTTGTATTCTCCACATCCACAAACGTTTCGCAAAGCATATCCTCAAACACATTGAGATCCATTCTGACATCGATGTCTGAACACTCACTGAATATTGTTCCATCTATTCTTGGCAATGGAGTCATGTGCAGTGATTTTTTAACAACCTTCTCGAGTATACTGCTGGCGCCATACTCGCAAGCAGGCCTCTTTCGAATGATTTGCTTCTTTGGTACAGCTTGTCTGCTATTTCTGATTGGCATTTCGCATTTGATCTGTTCTACTGAGCGTAGCTTGCTACATTCTACTTCTATCAAATACAGTGTTTTACGCACATCAATACCTGATCTGCTTTTAAGAAGAGCCGGATTGATGCTGTTGCCATCCGTGCAGCTGCTGCCTTCATTCTGGACTCCTTCTGTATCGTCTGTATCATGCCCAGCAATGGCACTCTGTCTGCAACGTAGCATCATACTCACATGGCCAGAGATGCACGGCTCGTTTCGATTGGTGCATACTCCCTTTGCTTCTAGATCTCGTGCAAATTCAGAGCATCTCTGTGTGTCATATCGCATGTATGCACAAATCTTTGATACAATTTCATTGATTCCCTGGGAAGCAAGCCGTTCATAGATCTCTCGGTCATAATCCCTCCAGAACCCGTCGTTCAGCATCTTGATGCCTTGGATGTGGTCGATCTTGTCGAAACACAAGTTCTTTTTCTCGGCCCTTCCTGCCTCGACCAGCACTAGATCAACAGAGAAGTCATCCTGGAACCTGTTTCTTGGCAGAACAAGCTCCATGTCATCAAGGGTGAATCTATATACTCCTTGTCTGTAGAAAAGAGGATTGACTCTAAGGCTCAGTACCTTCTCGTGCTTCTCATTCGAATAATACCACATTTCTATCCGGATATCTTCCGATACATTGCATCCAATCTCACTAAACACCACATAATCTTCATCTCTATAGACACCATGGCCACAGCCAACAGCATCTTCGTCACAAGTAGTTTCCTGGGCAGCATACAGCACTTTGCTTCTTCCATTGATTGAAATGCCAACCTGAAAGTCAACAGAATGTGCAATTGGAATCGTAGTGACTATCAATTGCTTCAAAACAATGCTGTGATTTCCTTCATATTTCATATTGCTTGCAGATTCAAAATACCTAATGTACCTTCTAACAGTATTCGCATTCATCAAAGAAGACAGAAACACATCAAAGCAGGCATCGTCCACACAGAATCCATCGCCAGTAACTCCACAATGTTTCATTACACACCCAATCACAAACTTCAGCCTGCCGTCATCTCCATGCCGAAGCTCAAATGCAACCACATTGTTGGAACTGAAATCCAGCCAGCATTTGACTGCACAGCACATTCTGTATGCAACCCCAAGGTCAAAATCAAGTGCTGGCATCCTCTGGACATTATACGAGTCCGGAAATATGTCTTCAAAACACCAAATCATGCATCTTCCTCCATAATTGGCATTCATAAACGCAATCAGTTCGTCCTTGTTGTTCCTCTTCGTCATGCTCTCTGTGCTGTTGTTCCAGCACTGCCCAAAAACAACTATCTGAGTGGAGATCCTCCACAGATTCAATCTACTGCCTCCTTTATCTATGGCAGCATCGTTACTGGGTATATCCGTGCATTGCTCAGCTACATCACTCTTTTTTGGAGCGCATGGCCCAACACATCTGAAGTCGCCATCCTCAGAACTCCTTACAAGTGCCTGGATCCTTTCAAAAATACCTGTCTCGACCAAGCCATCTGCATTTACTTCATCCATACCGGCTACAGCTCATATGTAATTATACACCATATGAAACAGAGCCTTACCATCCATGCCAATCCATTTCGCTACAATCATGTAAGAACTCTAGCCCTAGGCCAGCTGTCTATACAATACAACCTCATCTACGCCATGCATACAAAAATAAACTTTATTTCCAGATCCATCTAGCAAGCCACCCTGCTGCCACCATCCACACAAACACAAACATCGCATAGAACAAAGGTCCCCATCGAGATGATAAATCAATCTCAACATCTTTGTATTCCACTCGCACATCGCACAGCAAATCAGCAACCTTGCGGAACTCTTCCATGTCCTGTATCTTGTCACATCCCTGTATTTCCTTGTAGTGCCTAATCATCTTCTCTTTTCTTTCAAATCGTCTCAGTAGAAACTCCTTTGAATCCATACCGTCATTGCTTGGAATGTAGTCAAGGAAAAACATAAAATTCACCATGCACGACTTATTCACTAAAACCTCCCTGTACGAAAACACATCGTTTGGATACTTTACATATGGATTTCCAATAATTGTGATATCAAGAATCCCATCCATGTCGTCCTTCATGTTTGCCCTAAGAATATCAAATCCCGTCGTCCTTGGCAGTATCACCTCCTCAGGATCAAACACATGTCCATCAACCATAGTCTTGCCAGATCGTGCCCATTCATGCGATTTCTCATGCGAAACCTTGTCTATATATGTTCCTTCAGGAAACAGTAAAAGATCATATCTCGTCTTCTTCTTGAGATTCGATGCTCCAGACATAATTAGCTCCTTGTCCTTGCTCAGCCTTCTGTTTAAAAAAATAAACTCGAAAAATCTCATTCCATATCCTAGCAGCGGAATGTCCTTTAAAGACATCTTCAGTATGATGTACATGCAGCCGAACCTTCTGAAATGGTGCATGACACACGAAATAAACAGCCAATCATACTCAGTCAGGTGGTTTGAAATCACAATGTTCCTTCTGTTGTCAAGAATCGCAGGATCGTATCTTATAAACACCTTTCCTGGAAAGTATCCATGCAGAGCAGCTTTTGTAAGGCTTAGCCATGCAACCTTTGCTGCCTTTACAATAGCATCTCGGCTCAAGCATCTAGGCATCATCAGATCAACAACAAAAATCAATCCACAAGTTACAGTAATGTATGAAAAGTAAACAGTCACAATTGCCACAAGACTCAGAACACTCCAGGCTTTCCTTATCATCCCCTTATTCTCTAATGCATCTAAATATTTTTTCCAAAACTTGTTTCAATTTCAACAGGTTTCAATCTTAGCCAACTGCTTGCATTGTGAGTAAGCACTGCACATCATCAATACAGCACTGCATCGCACCCATCATCAATGCATTCAAAACATGAAAAGCCATGCTATTCAGAAATCCTCAAGTCCATCCAGAATTCCGTGTTGCCTACACGAGGCGAGGCTATAATGCTGATAAATGATGCAAAAGCAGCATTTGCTTCAGAGCCAAATGTTATTCACATACAAGCACAGGTCAATGTCGTTGGCGATGTCCATGGCCAGTTCTACGATCTGTTGAATATGCTAGACCTCATGGGCGATCCTTCAGCCCAACAGTATCTCTTTCTTGGAGACTATGTAGACCGAGGATACGACTCTGTGGATCTTATATTGCTGCTGTTTGCATACAAGATCCTCTATCCAAATAGCATCCACCTTCTTAGAGGAAACCACGAGACACGCATGCTTTCTGCTGTATACGGATTCAGAGACGAGTGTACAAGAAAGTACGACCTTGCAACATACTGGAGGTTCTGTGATGCATTCCAGCACCTTCCAATCGCTGCCGTTATCTCTGGAAAATACTTTTGTGTTCATGGAGGACTTGTGCCTGGAATAACATTGGACTTCATTATGAGCATTGACAGAGTTGGTGAAATCACGGAGCTAAGCGATCTGCTATGGAGCGATCCCGATGACGAGCCAGGATATAGAAAAAACCCAAGGGGCGCAGGATATCTGTTTGGAAAAGACACAGTCGACGAGTTTCTTGCATCAAACAGGTTTTCTCATGTTGTAAGATCACACCAGTTGGTGAACGACGGGTACAAGTCATTCTTTACAGACAAGCTGTTCACAATATGGGGTGCTCCAAATTATTGCTACTCCTCAGGGAACGTTGCATGTGTCATGGCAATCAGCCAAAGCGGCCATGAATTCAGGATATTTGATAGATGCAAGCAGCAGTTCAGAGACTCTCCCGTAGGGTGTGACTTCTTTGATGGCTAATGCAGTTGCATGCACCATTGGCCATTTCACTGATGCTTCACACTTGAGACATCTGGAAGGCACTCTTTCATCAAATCAATCAGAGTCTCGTTTTCTAATGCAGCCATGACTCTGTCCTTGTCATTGAGCTGCTTATTCAGTGCTTTGTAATTCACATGTGTGCCATCTGCAATCCTGACGCTTATTGCATGGCTTCGTATGAAACGATCAAGATGTGTTTTTATGCAAAGTCCTATGATTGCTGCCATCGAGCAGTGCGGAATGGTTGGCCTGAACACTACACAAACACGCAATATCGGCAGCCCAACATCTGGAGCGGCTCCATCGCACTCAACTGTCTCGATGTATATGTATTCTCTCGACACGACGCCTAATTGTTCCAGTGTGTATGGATGCTCAGGATCCTTTATGTCTCTGATGAGCTCAAACACACTATGCGGAGTAACATCCCTCAGCAATCCGCAGCAAATATCAACCGGATATCTCTCCTCAAGCATTGCAGAGACAGTTGGAGACATGTTCATTTTGCAAGGGAGGGGGGGTTGTGCATGTTGAATATCACACGGATTTGCCAAGCATATGCATTGCATAATGCCGTATTGATGCATTACGATACTGTATTCGCTTCAAAACATCGCAAAAGACAAAATTTCTGTTAAAAGCCAAAAGAAGTCGTCTTTAATAAATCAATGCCTCTCCTTTTGTTTTCTTTTCTCCTCCCAGTACCACATGCTTAGCCCTCTTGAGAGGCTTCTGGTGTGCAAACTTGCAGGTAGTGCATTCTAGCTTCAGTACAAACTTCTTTGTAACCTTGGCCTTTCTTCTCAGAACAGGTCTTGTCTGTCCTCCGTATCCTCGCTGCTTTATTGCATATCTCCTTTCTCCCTGTGCATTTGGATTACGCTTCGACGCTTTTGACTGCGAAACCTTGTGGTTGGAGTATCCATTGCACTTCTTACAGTATGTATTCCTTGTCTTTGGAATGTTCACCATCTCTCAGGGCCTCTGTCCAAAGCAATTTTTTCAAGCTTTGCCAGCTACTTAGCACTAGCACTACATCACAATCATCAGCATCAGCATCATAGACATTTGCAGTACAGCACCCCAAATGTCTACGCCTGCAAAAAGAAGACTCATGAAGGACCTAAGGACAGTCAGAACAAGCTTAGATAAGACAATATTTGCAGAGCCACTCGAGGATGACCTAATGACATGGGTAGCCGTGGTGCTTGGCCCTGAGGAAACCCCGTTTGAGTCAGGGACATTCAGCTTGGTACTCAAGTTTCCCGAGACGTATCCTCAAGACCCCCCAAATGTAAAGTTCATCTCGGAAATGTTCCATCCGAACATTTATCCAAGTGGCGATCTTTGCCTGGACATACTAAACAACCGCTGGAACCCAAGCTATGATGTCATGGGGGTTCTCATCTCGATCCAATCGCTACTCAACGACCCAAACACAAAGTCGCCTGCAAACCTGGACGCTGCTTCTCTTTTCGCGTCGGATCCTGATGCATATGCAAAAAGAGTCAGGCAGTTGGTTGTGAAAAGCTGGATCGACGTGGAATTGCAAGCACAGAAGGACGAACCTAAAAATAGCATATCAACTAGCACAGCAAACAGCGATCCATAATCGCTCAATGCATCCTCCTCTCAAAGCACAGTCAAATAAATAGATATTCACACTCCCGCTTTATTTAAGATTCATTCGTTCTCCACAATTCTCAGGCAAGGCCTTACCAATAGCAATCATGCTGCATTACTTTCACTAAACGACCTAATCAGTGCAGATATCAAGTGATTGACATGCTTAAAAACATCAGATGCCGTTCTAGATAGTACATAGTAGTCAAACTGGAATTCAGGTGCCTTCAGCACTTCCATGGCAATCCATTCCTGCCATTCCGGCTCATCAATATACTTCTTGTACAAATTCAGCAAGAGCTTATCGTACTCACTCATGCTGGGCCTCATCCGCATCTCAATCACATCCATGTCTTCTTCCAGAATTTGCCTGATCCTTGCTTGCTTCTTGATCCTACGAATCGATCTCTCAACCATCATCTTTATCTTCTCTGCATCATTCAACTCATCTATTCTCTCCCAAAATACTCTGTGATACTCCCTCACATCACTTCTGCTTCCCACCAATGCTGCAATCGCCTCGGCATCATCCTTGCCAACCGCTTCGATTGCCTTCAAATACGCCTGGAAATCCTTCTTTGTCCAGTCAAATCCCTGCTGCAAAAGCTGCTTCTTCAGGCTCTTCTCATCTTCACAGAGCTCCTTACCCTCCTTGTACAGCCAAAGCTCCTTCTCATTCAGCTCCCTAAGCTCCTTTGGATAGAACTGATAGTCTTGGTACTCAACAACCTTCGGCTTTGGTGCAAACAGCACTCCCACTCTCGACATCCTTCCATGGCTCTCAAGATTCTTTGAAACAAACTTGTCAATCTTCTTGACATTGTAATCCTCCCCTTCCCACTTGTAGCAGTCAAGCCCTGCCTCAGATGCATCTCCAATCTTAAACTCGCCAAGCTTCATGTTCATTTCCCTGGTCTTCTCCTCCCCTCTCTTTATCACCTCCTCAATCTCCTCGTCCTTCACAGACGAGTCTGTAATCTCCATCCCACTCGCAAGAATATCAATCAGCTCTGATTGGCTGGGCGCTCCTTTCTTGCTCCTCCCTTGCAGCAGAATATCATCCAGGCGTAGCTTCTGCAGCGACCTGTACACAATCTGCTCCTCAACCGTGCCTTCACATATCAACCTGAACACCGTCACCTGCTTCTTCTGCCCTATCCTATGCACCCTGTCCTGTGCCTGCAAGTCCATCTGTGGATTCCAATCAGAATCAAACAAAATCACAGTGTCTGCAGTGCATAGGTTTATCCCCAGCCCTCCTGCTCTCGTCGTCAACAGAAACACAAATTTCTTGCTTCCCTCCGCATTAAATGCATCTATATACTCAGCACGCTCCTCATACGGAGTAGACCCGTCAATCCGGCAATACTCATGCCCCCTCAGCACCAAATAATCCTCGAGAATGTCAAGCATCATCGACATCTGGCTAAATATAAGCACCCTAGACTCTTTGCTTGCCAGGCTTGACAGTAGCTTATCAAGAAGCTGCATCTTTCCAGAATTCTCAACAATATGCTCTCCATTCGTGTAAGGCTCAGGCTCTGCACCAGGAAACAGGTATGGATGGTTGCAGCACTTCCTTAGCTGCATCACAACATTCATAAGCATCCCCTTTGCATCCCTGCTCCCGCCAAGTGGCGAAAGATCCCTCTTCAGCAGCATCTTGTACCATTCATGTTGCATAGGAGACAGAGGAGAATACAGATTCACAACCTTCTTGGGAAGCAGCGTCCTTTCTACATCAATCTTTTCTCTTCGTAGAAAAAACAACTGCAGCACACTCCTGATCTTTGCAATTCCCTCGCTCTCTCCACAATCACTACGCATAACATATGCCTCAAACTTCTCCGAGTCATTGAAAATCTCGGGAGCAATGAAGTTCAGCAGTGCCCACAGCTCATGCACATTGTTCTGAAGAGGCGTTCCTGTAATCAGCAATCGGTGCCTGCAGGGAAAAACACGAACTATCTTGCTCAAAAGGCTGTGCTCATTCTTTATTCTATGTGCCTCATCAATCACTATATACGACCATTCTATCTTGCTCAGCATGCTCTTGGCCCCTATACACATTTCATAAGTTGTAAGGCACACGTCCCACTTAGACATTCTCAGCTCTTTCATCAATTGCCTTAGCTCCTTGCGTGACGAGTAGAACACCCGCACCTTGTACTTCGGCATGAACCGCTTAAACTCTCTTCTCCAGTTGTTCAGTGTCGACTTCGGCACCACTACCAAATGCCTGCTTTCCTCCTTCCTCACATACCTGATGTACCCAAGAAACGCAACCGTTTGCAACGTCTTTCCAAGGCCCATCTCGTCTGCAAGTATGCAATTGATCGAGTTTTCATGCATGCTAACAAGCCAGTTCAGTCCCTCGACCTGATAGTCCCTAAGCTCTGCCTGAACATATTTAGGGCTGCTTTCAAACACATAAGGCTCAGCAGGCTCTGCATCTGCCTTTTCTATCTCTTCATAGCCCGGTATGAACGTTCTGAAAAACTCGTTGTCTCCAATAAAACTCCTGTACTTCTTCAACACATCCAGGTTCATCCAAGGGCTGCATATGCTGCAATTTGTCATATATACGCAATAGAAGCTCAAATAATAGCAAGATTTACAGTATCAATGCCATTCGCTTGCTCATCAAATCATACAACAGCATTCTGCATCCGTGTGCATTCAATCATTCCATGCAGCATGCATATGTGCAAATACATGGCATCATAACAACATCAATATGTTTATTCAAACCTCATGTCCAAAAACCTGGATATCTCTTCAGCCTTCAGCTTTCCTATCCCTGCTATCTCCTCCATCTCTCCAGGCGTCTTCGAAATAAACCCCAGCAATGTCCCACACTTGCAAGCAATCTGCTGCGCATCAGTCTTGTTGATCTTTGGAATCCGCTGCAGAAAGCCCTCGGTGTCATTCTGCCCACGCCTTATTGCATCAACAGACCTCCCTCCTGCCATCTCAAACCCACGCACATATCTCGAGCACTCCTCAATGCTGAATCCCAGAACCATCGTCAGTGGAACACTGTCAAACAACTCTCTAATAATCGGCCCATAGTTGGGGATGTCCACATACACAAGAAGAGCCCTAACCTTGTACGGTCGCATCGCTCTGACCCTCTTCTGTATATACTCAGGCTTGCACACATGAAACCGAAGCGATAGAAACAGTATGCCAACACTACTGTTCACCTCATAGTCAGGCGTTATTGCATTGTCATAATGCCAAGACGCATTCGAAAGATACTCCAGCAGTGCATTTCCCTTCTGCACCGGCGAAACTTTGATCATCAATCCTGGGTCTGGCATCACAAATCAATTCACTGCCCACCAGTAATCATTCATGCACACATCTAAAATCTCAATCATTCGCTTTATTAACGTGTCTTGCACTAAATCTAAATCTCTTTGAATTTAACTTCACAGCCACCGCTGTTGCTCAACCACCGTTGCATAGCAACCTTTCAATATCGATCCTCATCCCAGACTCTACTGCACTTCTTACACTAGATGCAAAGCAGCTTACATCACGGTATGACTTGTGCTTGTCCTTTGCACCAATCCATACATAGCCATTGCATCCAACTATCACATCAATTCCGTTCTTACTCAAAAACCTTGTTCTTGGCTGATCAAGCAAGAAGCACGGCACTATAACAATCACCCCATCGCACAGCTTCCCATATCTTTCGTTCCTTGCATGCAATGCTACTATTCCTCCTTTACTAACTTTCTGGACCTCAGAAACAACCAGGTCCCCCACATCAAAAAAACTTCTCATCACAATCTCGTCAGACTCAAGCTTTCTTCTTTGCACTGCTCCAGGCAGATTGATTGCAGAAAGCCCAAGGCATACATCACAGGCACTGTTTACCTCTAGCTTCCACTTCTTGCTCTGGATTCCAGACACTCTCCCAATCACCACATCCCCAACCTGAGGCAAGTACTTCAGAGGCACAGCAGGATCCACCGTAACCAACTTGTTTGTAACCTTCATGCATCCAAAATACGTCGATGTGATTGTCTTGCCTCTTATATGCGTTCCATGTCCTCTTATGTATCCCTCTGCATCCATCAGCCCATCTCCAGGCAAAAACACATCATTTGCTCGTGCTCCAATGCCATCTCCAGGCAAACCATTGCTAAAAAGTCCGCCGTTGGCTATAGACTCGCCATCAACAGCCATGCCACACATCAGATCAGGGTACATCCTGCAATAACAAATGCACCCAGAGCACATAATGGCGTTGCACATACCCTTAGATGAACATTATTCCGCTCGGTGCCGGACAAGATGTCGGCAGGTCGTGCATCCTTGCCACCATTGGAGGAAGAACAATAATGTTTGACTGTGGAATGCACATGGGCTTTAATGACGAGAGACGGTTTCCAGACTTTTCGTATATCTCTAAGACACAAAGCTTCAACAAGGTCATTGACTGTGTGATCATTTCCCATTTCCATCTGGACCACTGCGGGGCACTTCCACACTTCACAGAGATCTGCGGATACGACGGGCCAATATACATGACGCAGCCCACAAAGGAAGTTTGCCCAATCCTGCTGGACGACTTCAGAAAGATTGTTGCAGTAAAAGGCAACGATAGCATATTCACATACCAGGATATCCTCAATTGCATGAAGAAGGTTGTCACGATCAGCATGAACGAGACATACGAGCACGGAAACGGGATATACATCACGCCTTACTATGCAGGCCATGTTCTTGGAGCAGCGATGTTCCATGTTGTTGTTGGAGACCAGTCTGTGGTGTATACCGGGGACTACAGCACCACGCCTGACAAGCATCTTGGGCCAGCATCTATTAAGTGTGTCAGGCCTGACATTCTGATCACCGAGTCTACATATGGATCTATTGTAAGGGATTGCAGGAAGGTCAAGGAACGGGAGTTTCTGAAGGCGGTGTCAGAGTGTGTACTAAGAGGAGGCCGTGTGCTGATTCCGATATTTGCACTTGGCAGGGCACAGGAGCTGTGCCTTCTTCTTGACGGGTACTGGGAGCGAAGCGGATTGAATGTTCCTGTGTATTTTTCCGGAGGATTGACAGAGAAGGCAAACGAAATATACAAAAGATACATCGGATACACAAACGAGACAATTAAGCAGAAGATTTTTGAAAGGAACCTGTTTGACTACAGACACATAAAGGCGTTCCAGAAGTACTACCTGGACATGCCTGGACCGATGGTTCTGTTTGCATCGCCAGGAATGCTGCATTCAGGGATGTCGCTGAAGATATTCAAGGAGTGGTGTGAGGATGACAAGAATCTTGTGATTATTCCTGGATATTGTGTACGAGGCACAGTTGGTGAGAAGGTTCTGAATGGAGCAAAGCGGCTCGACATTCTTGGCGAAAGCAAAGAAATTAGGATCCAGGTGCGGAACCTTGCATTCAGTGCGCATGCTGACTCCGAAGGCATACTGAAGCTGATTGAGCAATGCAAGCCCAGGAATGTGATGCTTGTGCATGGGGAAAAGAGCAGGATGAGGATGCTCAAGAAGAGCATTGAGGAGAGATATGCAATCCCGACGTTTTTTCCATCGAACGGTGTTCTGGTGAACATTCCAAGCAGAAACACGGTTGACCTAAGAATACCTAAGGAAAAGATGCATGCATGCTTTGAGCCGCATCTTTCTAAGAAGAAGGTATTTGTGAGGATGAAGCTGTCTAGTGAAAAAGACGAGGGCGTCTGTGAGGTTATTGAATGCGAAAACTATCTTGATGATTGTACAGAAAGAGATGCAGATGCAAATCGAAACGAATGATCAGAGACGAATTGATTGTGGAGGCGAGAGGCTGCCCAGCGATGGATGACACAAGTGTCAAACATCGTTTGAGATTGATTCTGAACACTATATAAGCAGAGCCTGAAGATGCAGCATGCCTGAGGATAGCTTTGATTGGCTTGGAGGAGATGTAGATGCAGATGCAGAGGAGTTTGTTCCTGCACCCAACCGGAGCCTGCATACAAATTACTTGATAGACATGCTTGGAGGGATGTTCTATTCAGTTTTGGGTGTTTCTCTAGGATTGAGGCTGATGCTGTATGCGTTCGGGGCAGATCCATATGTGCTTGGGGTCAGCTTGAATGTCATACTTATGAGCACCACTGTTGTGCCGCTTCTGTTTATAGTGCTTGCGATTCTGAGGGATGCAGTGACGCTTACGGTGATCAACATGCGTCTTATTGAGAACTCTGAATCAAACACAAAGCTGCAAAAGCTCGCCATGCTTTCTGTGTGGATCCTGTGCTGCATGTATTGGCTGAGATACGTGAAGGTTGTGTACGGATACCAGTTTGATATTGTCAGGAGAGTTTTTGTAGCAGCGCTGATAACATCGATTGCATACTCGGTGACCACGCTGGCAATAGCGTACTTTGAGACGTTCTTCATGAAGCGAACACTGCGCAGCAAGCTTGACGATGTCAAGAAGAGCGAGAGGATTCTGTGCGCAATGAAGAACTACAGATACGACATTTCTGAGTCTGTGAGCACGGCAACGCCCGAGTGTTCATGCAAGGACATGTTCTGTTTTAGAATGGCGTCGGCCGAAAATGCACCAAGGAGTGGGAGTGGAGAGTGTGAGGAGGGATTCCATAAGTTTGCAGGAGGCCTGAGGATCAACCCGCCAGAGCTGCACAGGGTGATGGATGCAAAAACGCTTGCAAGAGATGTGTTTGTGAGGGCAAGCAAAGGAAAGGACGAGCTTTCGTTCGACGACTTCAGCGTGATCTTCCCAAGTGTGCAGGATGCATTGAATGCATTTGCATTTTTTGACTCAAACAACGACAGGATGGTTTCGAAGAAGGAGTTCCAGAGCACAATAGTGTATTTCTACATGGAGCGAGTGAACCTGGAAAGGAATGTCAAAAGGGCAGAGGACTTCATCCGTGTTATTGCAAACACACTGATTTCTGCGGTGTTTGCATGCTTGTGCTTCACGTACATGATTGTGTTTGGGATTCCGCTGAAGGAGCTGTTGGCGCTGGCGCTGAGCGGGGCGCTTGCATTCAATCTGGTTGCAAGCGGGATAGTTTGCGATGTTTATTACAACTTTATGATGCTGATAAGCCACCAGTTTGATGTTGGGGATGATGTAATAGTGGACGGAATTGATTACAAGGTTCATGAGTTTGGCCTATCGAACACATCACTGATTAGCGAGAACGGAGGAAAGATAAAGCTTCTGAACAGTGATCTGTGGAAGAAGAATCTGATCAATATGACTCGTGCGCCAGAGAAGATCATTGTGTTTAACTTTGACCTAGATCCGAGCATAGACGTTGATGTGTTTATGCGATTCAAGGCAAGGATACATGAGTTTGTGAAGTCAAGGCCGTTTGACTATGATGACTCGTTTTCTCTGCAGGCAAAGACAGAAGGATTCACTAGCATTGATGTGCTTAGTTGCCTGATGATTCTCAAGTGCAAGGGATACAAAAACAAGTCAAAGAAGTTTCTGCTCAGGGTGGAGATGACCACTTTTTTGAGATCACTGATAACGGAAATGGGCATTGCTTTGCCGAAGTAGAGTGCTTTCTGGCTTCTGTGCCAAGCTGTGCATGTTTGTGGTATTTATTTTTATTAAATCCAAGGATTATTTGATTTGTGGAAATAAAATACACGCTGTGTTTTTTATGAGCAGTGGGATGGAAGTTGCAGTTCTTTCATGGAACATGAATGGTAGAGATGGATTGGAGATTGTGCCTTCGATTGCGGATTGTCAGCAGGCAGACATTGTGCTGATTTCGCTGCAGGAATGCTTCAGCCCTTCGCAAAGCAAGGTAAAGAAGACCATGGCAAAGGCATTTCCACATCACAATGTGGTAAATGTCGGCAGGGTATATGGGCTATGGTCTGTTGTTCTGTGTAGGAACTCAGGACGTACACGTGATGTTGATGCAAATACAACCAGGATTGGCCTTGGAGCATTCGGCATGATCAACAAAGGCGCGTGCATTTCGAAGTTGTCGAATGGAGTAGTGTTTGTAAGCTGCCACTTGTCTGCACACTTAGAAAACAATGCGAGGAGAATGCAGCAGATTAAAAGTGTATTTGAATGCATTAACGACAGAGACACAGTATCGAGCACACGCTTGGTTGTTGTTGCTGGAGATATGAACTTCCGAATGACTCAGCGAATGTCTTTTGATGCACAGGAGATGCATGGCACAAATGAAGCGCCAGCCAGATCGTCAATCAACAGAGCATTGCATGAGCATCCAGAAAGCATGTATGCAGTGGAGCATGATCAGTGCAATGAATTCAATAAGCAGTATCCGATGTTCCAGGAAGACGCGATAACATTTCTGCCAACATACAAGTACGAAGTGGGATCGAGCTGTTTTAGTGATAAGCAGCATCCGTCTTGGTGTGATCGTGTGTTTGTATCATCATGCAGCGATGTCCAGTTTATCAAGTACATCTCAGATCCGAGTATTATGCTGAGCGATCACAAGCCGATTGTATGCAAATTCAATGCTGCCGAAAGCACGCCTGATGATTGCGGGAATCAAGTGATTCCGGGCGTTGGCTACGACAGCCATGTGTTTACACGCATTGCAACATGGATATATTGCTTCATGCACGAGTACTACGATGTTATGGTGGTTGCAGCAGTTCCTATTTTTGTGGTTGTGCTTATCAAGACCAAGGCAATGAATACAAGGCTAAAAGATACAGAACAGATGCAAGGGCATAGATAAAGACAAAGACAAAGATCGATGACCAGCAAGAGACTATTAATAAACTAATTGTGTATTTTTGGATCACTAAACAAACCCCGGATGTATGAAGAGGCCAGCAATTGGAAGTATGCAAACACACCTGTGGAGGAGGAGTTAGAAGAGCTTGCATGGCAGATTGCAAATGAGAAAGATGCATCTCGTATCTTGACGAGGATATGCCAGTGCCTGGACACCAGTGGATGGGTTTTTAAGGATAGCTCATTGAAATGCTGGAAGAATGCAAGCGATAGGCTACTTCTTATTGTTCATGAGATAGGAGAGAAGTATTTTTGCGAAGGAGTGCAGGTAAGCAAGATATGCGATGCAGACAAGGCGATGGTTGTTGCAATATTCAGGTTTTACCAGAGGATGTATGCGTATTCGAAGCATAAGTATCCACTGGATGTATCAGACCATGTGATGAGGTATGTATATGCAATTGATGTCGATGTGGTGATTGAGGCATACAAGGTGCTTAGCTTTAGCTTGCAGTTTTGCATTGGGCTGGAGGAGTATGCTCAGGATCATGAGATGCTTCTGAAATGCATTGAGATTGGATTGGATGAGGATGAAATGAGCGAGTTGAGTGTATCTGAAGGGTTTTTTGAAAGCATACCTGATGAAATGCTTGATGCCAGTGTGTTTACAGATAAGGGGTGTGGCTGTGCAGAATTGAATAATGTAGCGGAGAATGCAAGATGCAGTGGATGTAGTAGAAGTACACAGCAAATAAAGGAAGCATTGATAGCAGGGGCAGCAAAGTACGGCAGGGGAAAGTACGTGTTTGAGCTGCGAAAGAAGGTATGCAGTGACAGAGCAGAGAGGCTGGATGTTATACGAATTCTTGCAAGGTGTGTGTTCCTTGTACTTGCAAAAGGAGGAGAGGTGTTTGATTGTGCAGCAGGAAGGATGGATGCGCTTGAGATGAACGGAATAATGAATCGGGAGATGTCTGATGATATGGAGTTTGCAGTGATGAGCCTGGTGGATGTGCTGATTTACTATGGAGTTGATTTTTCGAAGGTTTCTGTGACGCTTGGGCTAGATGATGCGAATGGCCCGTTTTATTGTAGGTTTGCAGCGGGCTTGAATGAGAAGGTGTTTGAAAGACATATGATTTTTTTTGTGAACAATGCGCTTGTCCTGAACCAGAAGGCGCGGTATCTGAAGATGGATGTGCTGATGGGATGTGTTGAAGCCTTCAGGCAGTGTGGAGCAGATGCTAGGTATCACATCCTACGATCATTAAAGATGTACTGTAAGGAGTCTAGATCCAGAGGGCTTTCTGAGTTTGTTTTACGAGGAGGGATTGCGATGCTTGAAGGATACTTGAAAGACAGCTGGCAATATGGAATAAGCGAGAATGTGAATGTGAGGTATGCAGTGAAGGTGGTGGGCGAGATATACATGCATGATTGGAGAGGTGAGATGGGTGTTGGTGGGTTTGAGGACAGTGTGTTTCTTGGCATAGTGATTGATATGATACTAAGGTTGTATTCTGTGGATATTCGAACTGTGTGTGTCTGCATGAGGGTTTTATCATGCTTTGCATTTGGAAATCCTTTGAGTATAGCAAGGCTGGTTGAGAGAGAAGCAATGGCTGTGTTTGAAAGGATGCTGATGGCCGAGATAACGATGGAGTGTTTTTCCGAGATAGTGTCGTGCATGGATGCCTTTTCTCTGAACCTTGGTGCACAAAGGATGATTTGTGATGCAGAGTATCTGCTTAAGATGTTGTTTATGCTGAGAGAGGATGAGTTTCTGAAGACAGCAGGCGGAAGCAGCAAGGTGGCATCGCTTCTGAATGTGCTTATCATGCATCATCCGGTTTTCAGAGAGGATGTGGTGAAGTTTTGCATGGCATATATGCGATGCCTAATGAGTGTGTTTGAGATGCAAGCAAAGAATGTGTTTGTGGTGGATGAGTGGAAGATGAGTGTAATGAATAATTTTTTTGGGTTTGCTGTGAAGATGCAGGCGTATCCGGATGGAGATGGTGCATGTACTCTTTTCAGTGAGATCAGTGAATTTTTTGTAGACGCAAGATATGCATGTAGAATGCACAGCCCGATGAAAGGGGCTTTTGTCGAGATGCTTCGAGGTATTTATAGCAGGATTGATGGAGATGGAGGAATGATACAAATGTTCATAAGAGACAGCAAGGTGATGGCTGATTTCTGTGGCAATCGAATACATAGTGGGGTAATTGATGGATATTCATGGACGGTTGATGATGAGGGAGACGATGTGGTGGATAGGCTAATGTTTTCGTATAGTAATCATCTTGCATTGATGTGCATACTGATTGATGATGTTGTACAGAATAAGGATTATGTTTTAGCAGCTGATCTTGAGATGGTGCTGGAGAGTGTTGGTGTGAAAATGCTTTTGGAGATGTTTGATACAGTTGGGGAAGTGTATATGGGATTGTCAGGGCTTTCTGATGTGTTTTTGGATGCGCCTGATGCAGATATGTTTCTTTTGCTCTGTAAGGTTGTAAGTGTTGATCTTGATGAGGATGCTTCGAAGTGCAGTGTACGTTTGTGTGTGATAAGGTCGATTTATTCATGCGTGGTGTATCTTGTGCGGACTCTCTGGAAGGTTTTAGTGGAAGCTGCGCCTGTGCATGGAGTTAAGTTTCTGCAGAAAGCAGCAGGTGTCTGCTTGCAGGATGAAGGAAGGTCTGTAGTGCTGATGACACGGCTGTTCAAGAAGCTATGTCCATATTTCAGATCTGAGCATTGTGATGTGGTGTGTGGGGATGAGTTTGGGAAGCAGCTGCTTGGCATTTCCACAGGGCACATGAAGGTCATTGCAGTTGTGAATTTCATTATGAGTGAGCTTCTGTATACGGTGAGAGAGGATGAAGTGTTTAGGCGAAATTTTCTGCAGTATCTGCTTGATATTGGCATGAAGGATTGCAGTAATAGTGGTGCTGGGGATAAGCAGCAGAGCTTTACATTGAACAATGTTGTTATTGATGCTGTCCAGAGCATATTTGATGAAGAAGATGGCAGCCAGGTCAAAATGTTAGGGCATGACATGCAGATGGTTATGCGCATATATGAGAAGTTTTATGTGTCGCCAGCATGCAAAGAGATTAGCATTCGAAGGCTTGTGCAATCACGAATGTATTTACAGAGACTGTTGAGGATCGGGGCATATTCGTCTATTCGGCGGTTCTTGATGAGGGACAGGAAGGTTTACGAGTATGCTTGTGCATCTATTGCTGATTTTGAATATTCTAATGAGTTTGTTGAGATGGCGAGTGATGTTTTTCTGTCTGCAAGCGTTGGGATGTGTCCGCATGTGATTGATGTGCGGCAAGTTGAAGAGAAGATTCCGATGCTGATTGACTCTGATGTATCGGTGTGTAAGGTGCTGTATTTTCTCAGGATGTATTTCCGGCTGCTGAATGCTTTGAAGATGCCGTTGCCTTACAGCTTTGATCTTGAGAAGTTGATGCTGCGGGTCAGAACATGCAACGAGATGATAGAGATGCGGATGTTTTTGGGATATGCTATCCGGCCTGGGATTCAGGATGCACTGATCAAAGTAGAGTTTCCGAAGCATACGACAGAAGTGATGGATGCAGATGAGTTTTTGAGGCCTCTGTGCTTTTTGATGTACAGAGACTATGGGATGTTTGCGAGAAGGTATGTGGAAGCTGTTGCAAAGCAGAACAAGATGTATTGTACAGAGGATGAGCCATGCAGAGTGGACTGTGCTTGTAGTGATGCAAATGAATTAGAGTATGATAGCGAAGAGGTGTATGTCAGGAAGCTTATTATACTGCTTGATTCGCAAAAGTGTTTGAACAAAGCAGTGCAGTTTCTTTCTGAAATAGTGATGAATAATCCATCGCTTGCTGGAAAGATATGTACGCCTTCTGTGCTGAACAAAGTTTATGAAAAGTGTATTGGAGAGGTGGATTTTTCGTTGAGGCATGGGCATGATCAAGAGATACATCGTGGGATTTGCTTGTTTGCAGTTGGATTGATTGCTGAATCGCGAGTTGTGGATGATGCTTGCAGTGTGGGAAGTGATGGAGTGGCGATTGAAGTGGATGCAGACAGGATGCCTGTGTGTGCGTTTTTGGCCTCGAAGGTCAGGGGCGGGGATGAAGAGGCGTTTATGCGTGCGGTGTATATAATTGGAAGGTGCTTGGTTCCACAAGTTGTTTTGAGGCACGAGCGTGAGGATGATGGAACAAAAGAGGATCTCCGAAGATGCTCGTTATTTTTGAGTACATCTGGGATGTTCTGTGAAATTGTTAGGAGGCTAGGGTGTGTAGAAGAAAGCAGCAGCATCTATGAGCTATGCATGCACTATGGACTAGATTGCTTGAATAAGATACACTCTCATTGCTATGGAAATGCCTTGAATGCAATTGAGGACTATGAAAATGAATCGCATGATGACTATTTCAGTGTTGTATCTGATGAGCAAGAGCTCAGCGACAGTGGAGTGTCTGAAGCGGGTCATTTTGAGGGCACGCCGTTTGATGGAATAGAGATAGAGATAGAGGAAGAAGGCGTGGATGGCAGCATGAGTAGCGAGGAAACGAGATCCGAGGATGTTGCGGTTATAAAGAGCATTGAGACTGAGTATGAAATGCCAACTGCAATGTACATGATGTGTATGGAATACAACGGACTATGTTCTGAAGTCAGAGAAGATGTTGAAGGAATCTTATGTAGGAAGCTGTATGAAGACGTAGTGGTGAAAGAAATGAAATGTTGTCAGAGTATGGTGGTTGATACATTGCGTGGTTCTGAATGTGCATATATGTGTATGAAGAATGGCGATTGCATTCAGCATGGCTCTGAAGCCAGAGATGATGATGAAAGAATGAGTGGAGAAGGAGACGGGGAATTTGTTGAGAGTGGGAATGATGAGGTTGAAGTGATGAGATGGGATGCATGGGCCAATGAATTGCCTGTACGTAACATTGCGGCTGAGAAGCAAGAGGAAAGTGAGGTGGATGATTTTGAATGCACTTCTACACAGTATGAATATGACGAAGGATCGTCTGAGTCTGATATGGGTGTTGATGGTGGAGAAATGCCTATGCTTGAGGCATCAGCACTCAATGCGATGGAGACAAGTGAGCTGATAGAGTGTTTGGATAATTATTTTATTGATAGACGTGCAAAGTCGATGGATTATACAGGGCTGGCTGTTGAGTTCTATAGCCAGCTCTCGAGTGAGGTTAGGGCTGTTTTTGAGGAGAAAGAAAGGGTTTACAGAGAGAGTTTTTTCAGGTATGGAGCGGAGAACGAGAGCAGTAAAGATGCGAATGAGTCTATAATGAGTGTGCGAGAAAGTGTTGAAGTGGATGAGGCTGTGCTTTCTGTATTTGTAGGCAAAATGATTGCTGAGAAGGAGATTGTTTTTTTGAAGGGCAGGAAATTGATTGAAGGGATGTGCATGAGCGCCAGGATGAGAAATGTTGTATTTGAAGCCGTAAGGGATGCAGTTTTGTCGATATGTGTGGATAAGATGGACGAGGCCACAGGATGTAGATTTAGAAGATGTCTTTTGCTGTTAGTGAGTATGACTAAAAAAAGGCTATGGAGTGATGGAAGTATTTTGAAGAAGAATACAGAGTTGGTATGCAAGATATTTGAAGTGATGAGCAAGATCAAGATGAATGAGGAGATATTGAAGCTTGTAGCCGAATTCGGTGGTATTTTTAAAGAGGACAAGGATGCGATGCTTGGCTTTGATGTGAATCTTGATGGGGTGATAGGCATGTTTGCGAAGGAGATTGACTCTGAATGGTTTGGGCATGTTGAGGAGTTTGTAGAAAACACGTCTAGGCATTTTGGATCAAGATATATGGATGCAATGCTTGAAGAGATAAGGAAGAAAATGGATGAGTTTAAGAAGATTATTGAAGATGGAGTTTGGATTGGAAGGTATACGAATGCACAAAGAGTGTTTTTGCGGCTTTGGAAGCTATTAGCGAACGTGCTTGCAAAGGCTGATGAAATTGAAAGTGAGCAAGACGAAGTTCTTATTGGGCTGGCGACTGATCTGTTTTGGACGATGTTTTTCAAATGTCAGGAAGGAAGGACGTGTGTCGAGGACCTGATAAATGTGTCGGATATTTTTGAGTCTTTTTTTGCAGCTGGAAAGGCAGTTGAATTAAGAAGAGGCAGGGACGGAAGCGTGGCGTTTAAAGACTTTTATACGGACGTGCTTTTCAAGCAATCGAAGCAAATCAATTTGCTTGTTGAGGAGAAACCTGAAAGGTTTTTTAAGAGCTTCAGCGGATTTATAAATCGATCGATATTGACGTTCAGCAACAAAAAGAGATATTTGTGTAGGAAGTTGCGTGTAGAAGGAGCAGACAAATTGTCTGTGTTCTATAAGGTGTATGTTGACAGGGACGATGTTCTTCGCAGTTCGTACTTCCAGGTGATGGCAAAGAGTCCTGAGGATTTTCGGACAAAGCGGTTTGAAATCAAGCTTGCAGGAGAAGAGGGGCTGGACTACGGAGGAATAACAAGGGAATGGCTTTTGCTGCTTTCAAAGGATCTACTTGATCCAAACTTTGCACTGTTTGAGTTTTCGACCGAAGACAAGACGGTGGCTGTTCCATGTAAGAACAGCCATGTGAATCCGGAGCATCTTTCATATTTCAAGTTTGTTGGGAGAATAATGGCAAAGGCTGTCATGGAGGGCTCTTTCTTGAATCTTCAGCTGCCGAAGTTTATATACAAGCACATTCTTGGCAGAGCATGTGGTTTAGAAGATCTGGAGGCTGTTGACAATGAGTTCTACAAATCGCTTATATGGATAAGAGATCACATTGTTGATGAATCACTGGGATTGACGTTTTCATTCACTGAGGCAAGCTTTGGAGTGCACATAACGACGGATCTGATTGATAATGGACGAGATGTGCTTGTTTTGGAGGAAAACAAGAAAGAATATGTGCGAGCAGCTGCACGGCACAGGCTTTTCAACGGAATAGAGGCGCAACTCTCAGCATTCAAAGCAGGGCTGTTTGAGATTCTTGGAGATGATGCATTAGATATGTTTGATGAAGATGAGCTTGAGCTGCTTGTTTGTGGCGTTCCTGAGATAAATGTTGATGATTGGAAAAGTAACACTCTTTATTACGGATACACAGAAAACTCAAAGACAGTCATTTGGTTCTGGAAGGCTGTTAAATGCTTCAGCTCGGTTCAGAAAGCGAAGCTATTGCAGTTTGCCACCGGAACATCAACGCTACCGTTCGAAGGATTTTCCAATCTACAGGGAAACAATGCGATACAGAAATTCTCAATCCACAAGATGTCTGATAGAATAGACTGTCTGCCTACTGCACACACGTGTTTCAACCAGCTTGTGCTACCTTCGTACTCTTCGTATGAAACAATGCTGAAGTGCCTTACAATAGCAATTGATGAGTGCTCTACAGGATTTGGGTTTATATAAAAATAAACGACTTATGTATGAGATTGTGAATACAGCTTCTTGATTTGATGATATAGCTTTGTGGTGCTTCCTATGTATTTCTTTGTGCTCAGTGCCTCTTTGACTGCCATATCGATTTGTTCCACAATCTTTGTCCGGTATATTTCAGGTAAGAAGTGCCTGTTTTGGCTCTCGATGTTTTTATCAAGAAACACCGTTATATCTTCCTCGCTTCTTTTTTCAATTTCATGCCTCCACACATTCACAATGTCGTCAATGTTGATGCTGACTATCTTTTCGATTGAAATGCCGTCAACATGCTTCAGGTACCCATCAAACACATGTGCATTGTTCAGCACATACACACTCTTTGATATTCCTTTCAGTGTCTCTGCAAGACGTAGCACTTTCTCGATCGATCTTCCGCTGAATACCTGGAACATGTCTTGTGGCTCTTTGAGCCCGAAACTCAATCCATATGTTTTCACAAACACATCCAATATGTCCTTGCGGTCATAGAATGAATCCAAGATGCTTCTCATATCCACACACAGGCTTTCTACATCGCATTTGCTGTTTGCATTCATTAGCATATCCAAGTCTTCAAAGTATCTGGACATGCAATTGCAGATAACTTGGTTTATCCTGTCCTTGAACACAAAAAGCTCCTCCATCGCTCGAGTCCTTCTGTTTCCAGAATGCCTGAGCTTAGAATTCAGCTCCACAAGAAACGGAATGCTGCCTATCCCCTCTTCCTTCTCCATCCTCATCAGGTTGTCCGTGATTTCTCTTCTCAGCCCAATCACAAGCATCTTTTGCAATCCAATTGTTACCTCCGGATACTCCTTGCCAATCACACTGTCGTTGATGTCTGCAATCTCTAGTAATGTATGGCTCAACTTGCTTGTTCGTTCCAACAGCATATTGTTGTCCGATCCAACGCCATCAAAGCCAAACTTCGAATACATCATGTCCGTATACCTGCTCACAATCCGCTTTCTATCGACATTTGCAAGAAGGAACACCGCAAACTCTTGTGTATCAGGCTCCAGCTTCGGAATATTTGCAAGAGAAACAAAAAAAGACTCCTCAACTATGCCGATTGCCTTCTTGATCAACTCATCCAAACCCACCACTTCCGTGTCCACCACCCTTATCCCATTATACTCCACCAGGCTTTGGCGCACATCCATCAGCCTTTGTATTGATCCTATCACATCATTTTCTCTGAGCGCCTCAAGTTTGCATGTAAATGAGGCATTGCTCATTCCCCCAAACTGCTCCTCAAGGCTGCTTTTCTCTCGATTGATTATGGTCTTCGACCCCATGAACATTTTGTAGAACATCAACAGTCTGTCAATGCCTTTCTTTGGCTCAATATACGGCTTGAACTCATCAATCACATCTAAATTCAGTTTATTCATCAAGGAACCCAGTGTTTTTGCATGGATGTCTATTTCTGTGCATACATCATTATACCTTTTGAGCTTTGCTAGGATGTTTGGATCTTTCAACATCCGTAGGGCTGCGTGATGGCTCAAATGCATTCAATTTGTAGTAAACATAAATATCATTGGAGTGCTTATGCGCATCAATGCCAATCATCCAAATACTGGCAATTCATTCGACTGCACTATTTAGATGCCATCCGTGCAAGAATTCATCCCCCACGACACATGCTTGATATGAACAACCTAAAGAAAACATTACTGGGAGGATTTATACTGCTTGCATACACAGATATCCTCAACAACAGATCATACGACCTTGTTGGAGTGGACCAAGGATACACAAATCTCAAGGGGTACCACTACCATGCTGACAAAGACATGTATGACGAGGTGTTCAGCTACAAGCATGGACAGAAAATCCATCTTGTCATTCCTGCAGATTTTAGTGGGAGTGGAACAGTGAGTTATGTGCTTGTGACAAGGAAGATCGATGGAACATTTGACAACCACATATACTTCCGTGACAGAGATGAGACAAAGCACATTGGGGAGTCTCTAGCTACTCCATTGCTATTTACATGCCCAGATGACCTTAGGCCTCAGCTGCTTATCCAATACAGTGATGGCCTGAAAAAGGTTCGAATTAGTGAAGACGGAGAGTTGAACACAGAGAATGCTGATGGCTATGGAAAGCTGCACTGTGAGCACACCTCTGCATTTGTTGAGCTTGACGGGAGCATGAAGGCATGCTTGTGCCTAGTTATTGACAAAGGGAATGGAAGAAAAGCACTGAGGGTGTTCAACAACAAAGATGGAGAGTATGTGAAGTACTTCGAGATGGATCTTCCAGATGATATAGGGCCGATTGTGTTTGGAGACTTCAACGGAAACGGCATGAATGACATGGCGTTTATACAACGAAGCGGAGCAAAGCATGTTCTGAAGATATATTTCAACTCGACATCAAGAGTCGGAAATGCCAATAAGCTTCTTGGCGGATTTCTTCCCACACAGATTAATTCAACCGTGTTTTCTGAAGGAGACATGGAGATAGTGGACCTGAGCGTGATGTTTCCGAATTGCACGCCGATCCTTAGGTCTGAGGAGCACTTTGGCGGTATGCCGTATGGAATATTCCCTGCTGACCTGAGAGCAAAGGGCAAACTGGACTTCTTTATGGTGATGAAGGACATTGACGGCAGCACAAGGACTGGGGTCCTTGAAAACAACTCCGAGCCAGGCAATTCATGCTTTGAAAAGGCCGAGTATCACGATGATATTCATAAGCTCAAGAATGTGATATCTATAAGCTGCTGCGACTACAACAGCCGAGGGCGAGAAGCCGTGTTTGTGAACCGTGTTGTTGACAACGATGCAGTTCTTGAGGTGTATGAAAACAATCTTTCGAAGGAGAATCTCAAGCTGAGCCTCTCGGCGATCTATCCAAGACATGAAGCATATGGATGCGCCATTCCTGGTGTTTCGTATCTGATATCGTATTGCGACGGGGAGAAGGTGCTTATTTCGAGCCAGATGGCTTGCAGCACGTATGTGCATCTAAAGCATCATGTGGCATACATTGGGCTTGGCACAATGAATCTGATTATTGATGTCCTGATGATAGGGACGCCTGGAAGCAACACTAGCTCATATGCAGGGCCGTATGCCATCAACTCAATTGCGATCCCAAACACCGACTTGGTTGTGTATCTTGAACAAAACGGCAACTACACGGTGGAGGCGCATTTCATTGTTGGAGAGCACTTTAAAACAATAATAATCGCTCTGCTTGGTGTTGCATTTGTCAATCTGATATTCATAGTTCTACTGCGGCTCAAGGATATAAGAAGAATGAAAATGGCAAATAACAAAGACGCTCTGCGCCCGCTGTTTTCCACACTGAAATAAATTGTTTACTTGCAAGCTCATATTTGATGCATTTTATTGAGAACAACACGCATGGAGATGCAGTGTAAACTAATGAAGAGTGTTGCGAAACGACTTGCCATTGTGATGTGCTCTACTTTTAGCACACATACACATCTTCTACATGTCATCGTCGGCTCTACTGACTGGCTTAGCATTCAATCCAAGAGATTGCTTTAGATTCAGGTATGAAAGAATCCCTGTCAGGACGAGTGAGCATGCTCCGATTGCAAGGATATACGCCTCCACACTGTCGTATGAGCTGTCTCCTGTTGCAAGAAACGCCACGGCTATTGGAGAAAACGTAAATGCAAGATTGAGGATACAATAAATGGTGGCAAATCCAGTTCCAAGAGATTCTTCAGATACAAGAGACGGGATGCATGGCCAGTAGCACGCTATAAGAGGGCTTGAAAGCCCCAGCATCACTGCAGATAAGTGCGGAGACATCACTGCAAAGTATATTCCAGAATGCCCCATAATAAAAAGTATGCAGCCTGCTGCAATAAGCCATAGCTTCATTCCATAGATGTCTGTTATTGTGCTTGTAAAAGTGATCAGTACAAGCGAAATTCCTTCGATTATTGCAAGGATGTTGCCCGATGAGATTGTAGATAGCCCATATCTCTTCTGGAATAGCATCGGCGCAACAGAGTAGAAGGGCGCCCACACTAGGGCAAACATAAACGATATTGCAACAAGAACATAGAATGCAGAATGGCAAGTGTTCTTTCCCTCAACTTTTGGCTCATAGAAAAGAGTGCCTGACTCCTCAAACAATATTTTTGGATTTGATTTCTCGATCCTGCTCTTGATTGTTGTTTCTTCACTTGTGTTTTTTGCCCACGGCAGGAATGGGTTTTCGGACAGAATCGGATTAGACGTGGAGTTGATTATTGAAGAGCTGTTGTAGTTGGCATCGCCGTAGTCATGGAAGAACGGGGTTGCGTATGCTCCATCAACACCTTGGATGCTTCCATGGGGTGCATACTCGTAGTATCTTGGCGAAGAAAGTATGCTGCCAGCAGCATCATCAAACATAGGCTTAATGCATTCTTCTTGCTCCTTGGATGCATTATTGCCCGCCTTTTGTATTTCCAGCAGCCTTTGCTTCAGTATCTTATGGGATCTTCCAGAATGATTGATCTTGAAGCATATCCACAGACCAAGGAATGTCAATCCAACACCCATGATGCATGGAAACATTCTACCAAGAGTGTCTGCAAGCAGTGGGGTGAGAAGGAAGTTTGCAACAGTTCCAAGCCTTGCAATGCTGGAAAACAGCCCCATTGCAAAGCCAAGCTCTTTGCCCTTGAATTCATACGATATCAGCTTGTTCTGAATAACAGCAAAGCTCTCGCCTCCAATTCCAAATAGAAATCTGCCTGCGAGCATGGTTCGGAAGCTGTGATACCAAACACCAGCAGTAAACACCAGATGCCCTATAAACACAAACGCACACAGCAGCTTTGCCAATGTGGACTTATTGATGTGTGTTATCCATCCAAAGAACAGCGGCACAGCTATGTTCGGCAACGAATACACCGAGTAAAGCAAGGTTATTTTATACTCAACCTCATCCTCCGGCTCAAATCCCACATGATGGCTCAGTGCAGACGGAATGTCATATGCAAAGTAAAATGAAAAGAGAACCGCACTTGACAGCAGCAATATCTTGTGTCGTTCCTTCATTATACTAGCCATCAGCATTTGTTTTATCTCTTCTGTTTCAAACAGAAGTCTACTGAAACATCCCCAAACATCCAATCGACAACAGATCTCTTTATTCATCACGTGAAGTATAGCAGCTTCGATTTCTTCCTGCAAAGAACCTCCTGAATCCCATCCATAAAATCATTCTGCGAAATACTTGCTTTGTTTTTCCTCAGTGCAGACATTCCTGCCTCCACACACACAGCCTTGCACTGTGCACCATTGAATCCCTCCGTGCTTCTTGCCAGCTCATCAAAGTTCACATCTTCTCTGGTACTCATCTTCCTTGCATGGATCTGCAGGATCCTCTTTCTTCCTGCTGTGTTTGGCAATGGAAACTCTATCTTTCTGTCCAGTCTTCCGCTCCGCAGCAATGCCGGATCAAGAATATCAACTCTGTTCGTCGCTGCAATTATCTTCACCTCATCAACAGATGAAAACCCGTCCAGCTGATTAAGAAGCTCCAGCATCGTCCTCTGCACCTCCCTATCTCCCGTGTGGTCAGAGTCGGATCTCTTTGCTCCTATTGCATCAATCTCATCGATAAAAATAATCGTGGGCTTCTTCTCCTTCGCAAGCGCAAACGCATCCCTCACAAGCCTAGCACCGTCCCCAATGTACATCTGCACCAGCTGCGGCCCTGCCAGCTTAAGAAACGTCGCATTCGTCTTGCTTGCACACGCACGCGCCATAAGGGTCTTTCCTGTCCCGGGCGGCCCATACATCAAAACACCCTTCGGCGGCCGGATGTTCAGCTTCTCAAACCTTTCTGGATGCGTAAGCGGAAGCACAATCGCCTCATTCAGCTCCTCTATCTGCTTCTCAAGCCCTCCAATATCCTCATATGTCTCATCAGGCTTGCCATCAAGCTCCATCGCCTTCACCTTCACGTCATAATCCGCTGGAAGCTTCTCAAACACTATATTCGTGTCTTTGTGTAGCGATACAAGATCCCCTGGATGAAGCTCCTCGTTCGCAACAAGCCCCATCAGCGGCAGGTATGATGACATCCTAGTAGATGCATTCACAACCCCGCTCTGCTCGTCAAACACCTCAACAACATTCCCAACAAGATACGGCAGCTGCTTATTCAGCCGAATCCTCTCCATATTCTCTGCAATCGCCGCATTCTTCGTCGATATGTCGTGCTTAATCGTACTTATCCTACTCTGCAGAATCCTTGTCTCAGAATCAAGCATCCTTATCCTCTCCCTCACCATCCCTAAAAACTCCTCGGGATTGCTTTGGTCCATCGTCTCAAGCTCCTCAAGGCTCATCCAGGGGTCCTCTCGATTTTTTATTTGCCTATCTCCGTCACAACAAACCATCTCGTGAATCCACAAATCATATCCTCATGGTACATCTTTATTCAGGTTCCATGAACATATTAGGCACCCATCTATCTCTACATATCATCTGCTTTGTCATCTATTTATGCATCCATGATTACACTCATCCAATCCTGTCAATCACATGCTTGTACGTTTTTATCCTCTCTTCAAAGTGCTTGAGAAGCATCTTCCCACACTTGTAATACTGCGTGTCCTTTCCATTGTAGCTCAGGCAGTTCGCTATCATCTGCCGAACATCCTCTTCAAACTCCCTCACACTCTTGTACACTCCCTTATCAACCTTTTCAGTCATCTTAGATATGTCCATCGGCTTCTTCACATGCTTATAATAATTAGGCACCTCCTTCGCACACACAGGCTTAGCAAACGGCCATGCACATGTGTTCCTCTTCAAGTCGCATATCATGTACATAATAAACATCTTGGTCGTTGTTTTTGCTTCTGCCTCTTCACCTCTTCCCTCACTTGCTCTTTCATCTTCTACACTCATCCCCGGTATGTCTCTCACCCCCTTCACTGTAGAATAGTCCTCAATCTTATGCATCTCAGAATATCCATCGGCATTCACCATCTCCTCATCAAATCTTCTTCTCATTCCATCAATCACCTCATCTTTCCTCAGATAGTTCACTTCCCAAAACACTCTGCACTCAACAATCGTTCCCCCATCATAGTCCTTGATACATCCAATCCATCCATCAAACACTCCCTCCTCACAAAACCCCTGCTTCTTGAAATATCCTACTGCAAAAACATCTGCATATGCAATCAAATAAAAGCATTCCCTCCCACTGCAATCAGGCCCACTGCCAAACATATCAAGGTAGCTCACCTCCTTCCTACAAATCCTGCACATCCCCATCACCTCATCAGTATAATCACCCACATGGCTCTTCATGTCCATCTTGATCATCTCCTTGAATACATCCATCATAAACCCTCCAACTCCTTTAACCTGGAATTCATAATCAACAGCAAGAAACACTATCTCTGCAAATCTCCTCTCAAAAAACGGCCTGTAGCATATCCCTGCAACCACTTCATTCTTCTCATCAATAAATACCATGCATGCATGCTTTGGATCAAAGACTTGCCTCAGTATATACTCGCCCGGCATCTTAGACAGCTGCTTTCCAAAAAGATTTTTGGCTTTAAGAAGAGTCATGCGATTCACACATCTATCCTGTGTTGTTTCAACAACTGCTTTCAATCGTCCCTCAGCAAATGCCCTGTGCAGAGCACTCTCAGATATACTGCAGATCTTGCTTCCAGCCCCAAAAGCACATGTCCTTCGCTCTCTCATCATCCGGGGCTCTGTAATCGGTGCCACTTGCCCTAAACATCCACTGCCTGCGCTCTTCTGCCCGTATTCTTGCTCTTTTGCAACTCAACAATCCTGTCAAGATACCTGAACCCAACTGCTGCAGACAGTCCTCCAACTATTGCTCCTCCAACTACATCAGAAACAAAGTGCCTGTTGTCTGCAACACGACTCATCCCAATAATCATAGATCCAATAAATAGCAGCAGCCAGACAACCGCAAAAACAATAAATCTCCAAATCTTGCTATGCAGGTGCAGCTTAAACTCTCTCCATGCAAAAAACATAAAAAAACTCGCTCCACACACCACCATCGACATATGTCCTGACGGAAAGCTTCGCCTTCCTTCCGTGACAATCGGTTGCTGCCCTGTACATATTCCATTCACAGGTATGCATCTACTCAGAAAGTCAGGCCTAAGCCTTCCAAACACATTCTTCATTGCTTCTGTTGCTGCAAACGTTGTGAAGCACGACAGCATAAATACCACATAGAAATACACCTCGCTGCCTCTGGAAGAACTGATATGTAATGCCACATACAAACAAATCAGTGGAACAACAATAGCCAACCCTATCACCTCAACATACGAAATGGTCTCCTGCGTCGCATGCGGTTTTGATATAGATACATCATACTCATCAAATGCCCGTTCATATGGCCCCACAGCATACGAAAGTATCGCCTGCACCACATCGACAATAAACACAGCAACCAACTCACTCACAACACTCTTGAAAATCACGCCTCCCATGTTGTTTGTAATCCTTGCATTTAATAAATACAGAATAAGACCCACTTCACAAACTACTTTATTGCAGCACATTGTTTCCATTATAGACATACTTCTGCACTCCCATCTGAGTAATCGACGAGATCCTTATGCATCCTCCAGACGCATTGTCTCTATTTATTGCACACAAAACAGCCTTCTTTATAAATGTTATTCCCTCCCAAAGACTCATTCCGGCCCTCCAGTTCATGTCACAGTATCCATATATGTAGGCAGATCCAGATCCTGAAATCGCCCATTCTTGCTCAACCACCGTGCCTCCGAGCGAAATGCTGAAGATCCTTGCGCGCTCATCATACCCTGCTACAATAAGTCCTGCTACAAGATCAGGATTCTCGTAAATTATCTTGCTGGCAAGCGTTGCCGCCTTCCTCACCATCGGAACACCGCCTTCAAGCCGTGTGTACATGTCCAGCGACGTCTTCACATAGTCCCTCACTATCCCTGCATCTGCTGCACTTCCAGACATACACACAATGATATTGTCTGAAAGCGGCGCAAGCTTGCTAATCACTCTATTTACAATGTAGTTGCCCGCAGATACTCTACAGTCCGCACCAACAAGTATCCCATCTGCATACTTGATTGCAATAATGGTTGTGCCCGTCATCACCTCGCTCATTGCCATCGAAGGGCTCTTCCTTCTCTTTCTTAAACACATCAAGAAACAAATTCAGCACCAAGGGCCTATGTTTAATCAGGCTCCTTCATAGCAATAAGTATTCCCACTATCAGCCAGCATCATCCTTCATGCCAATTAGCAGCAAACGCAAGCATCGCTCCATCAAACAGTGTTTCTCAAAGGAATCGTAAGATTCACCACCACCTTCTCCTGGCTTGTATCACGATCAACACAGAAATACCCTATCCTTTGGAACTGCAGCTTGTCCTCAATCCTTGCATCAAGAATCCGCTTATCACACTTTCCCTTGTATATCTTCAAGCTCTCCTTGTTCACCTCGTTGATGTAGTCTCCCTCATCAGGATTGAATGACGCCCACAGCGCCGAATACATTCGCATCTCCACATCAACACAGTCCTCAGACACCCAGTGTATAAACTTCTTCGGCATCGCATCGCTCATCTCCGCAATCAGTCCGTCGTCCGTAACTTTCACAACCTTGATTGAATACAGCATGTAAAGCCCGACAGGTTGATCAAGTGTGAGCCTTTCAAACCCCTCCTCCCCAACCGCTTGAAAGTCAGACCTTTCAATATACACCACCGGCGTAAAACGCACATCCCTATACTCTGAGCATCCAGGAATGTCTGGAATCCTCACCACACACTCAGGCACTCCAACAATAGTCACCTTCAGCGGATCCTTCACACACATTAATCTTCGTGCAGTCTTGTTCAGCTCGGCCCTGACAAAATTCTCCAGAATCCTCACATCAACAGTCGTCTCTGCATACGTATATCCAACACTCCTGCAAAACTCATTGATCGCACTCGCCGGAAACCCTCTTCGTCTCATCCCCTTAATCGTAAACAGCCGGGGATCGTCAAGAGAAATGCCATACTTCTGCAACGGAACAAGCTTCCTTTTGCTCAGTACAGTATTGCTTATATTCAATCTGCTAAACTCCCACTGCACAGGCTTGTATATCTCAAGCTGGTCAAGCAGCCAGTTGTAGCTTTCTTGCCGTGTGTAAAACTCCCTTGTACAGAACGAATGCGTCACATCCTCTAGGCTATCAGACACACAAAGCGCAAACTCATATGTCGGATACACATGGAAGTTCACCTTCTTCACCGGATGCTCCACATCAACTATTCGCATCCCAACAAGATCAAACATCAATGGATTCTTGCTGTCAACATCCATCTTGAAGCGCAGGCATGCCTCTCCCTCCTTCCACTTTCCATCAATCATCTCACCAAAAATTCGCATATTCTCCTCAGTGCATCTGTCCCGGTACTTGCTTAAATACTTCCTGTCTCCATTTCCCTCGGAAAAATACATTCTCCTTCTCTCACACATCTCCTCTTGGCTCAAGTGACACACATACGCCTTTCCCTTCCTTATCAGCTCAAATCCAAATTCTATCATTCTTCCAAAATAATCGCTGGATGCAGTCACTTTGTACGGCTCAAACCCAAGCCACTTCACATCCTCGTAAATCGATTCAAAATATCCCTCCTCTTCCTTCCGAGGATTCGTGTCATCATACCTCAGATACGTATATCCTCCATTCCTTCTTGCATACTCAAAGCTCAGGTTCATGGCCTTTGCATGTCCAATGTGCAATATACCATTAGGTTCAGGCGGAAATCTTGTCACAACCCTCCCCCCAGTTCTCTTCAAGTGCTCCTCCATAATCTTCTCATTCAATTGCGGATTCTCCCCAGGCTTAAACAGCTTCTTCAACTCTCCCTCCTCAAGCCAATCCACACTCGGCCCTCTGCACTTATGCTCATGATCTGCCTCCACACTGCCATCCTCAACTCTGCCAACCTCCTCAGAAACCACCTTGAAATTCGCACACGGCATTCTTCTTCTCATCTCCATCATCATCTCCTTCTTCTTCACGCCTTCATTCATCATCCTCTCTATCTCTTCACATATCCTGTCCCTTCCCACATCATTCTCTTCAGCAAACCTCCGAAGCTCCGCTTCGCTAACATCGCTCCGCTCTGCATACTTCATACACTCCTTCAGCATGCTTTCGTGCTTAATTACTCCCGCTTCAACTAAATCTGCAATCATCCCAAGATCAATCTTCCGAGATGCAGTGCATGCAAGTGTATACAACAGCTTGTTCGACATGTCTCTTCCAGAATACACCTCCTCCAGATTGTGCATTATCTGCGTCTTCCTCCTTAGCTGCGCTTGCTTCTCAGCAGATATCTCCAGCCTTCTGAAAACCTCCTCAAGGTCAAACATCAAGGGTTCAGCAAAATTCATCAAATCATTCATGCGCATGGCGCGTAGTCGTTCTCTTCTTCATAATCAATTCTTGCAAATATTCATTTGTTGCTCGGATCTCCTCAACAATCGCTTTCTTTCTCTTCTCTGCTCGTTTCAGCAAAACATTCACCGTCTCAGTTATCTTCTTGACTCTCCTACAATCACCATACATCAGGGATGTGTTATTCCCCACTTAACTCACGGCACACAACACATCGTGTGTCCTATTCAAAAATCTTAAAAGCCACACATATCATGCAGAACCATTTTAATGCAAAACAAAAATGTACCAGCTTTAATCAGTGTGCAAACACTCGTACCACATAACAGTGATCCAGCCAGTCAATATTGCTCAGATCATGCTTCGTAACACCCATCACTGCCTCGCAAACCCTCTTCTCATACGCAAGATCACTTACTCCTCGTCCATAATTCGTCCATATTCCGTCTCCATACAGCCCAAAGTTCTTCTTCTTCTCCTCAAAGTGCATCACAACGGCACTCCTAAACTTATCAAACTCTTCGTCTCCCATCTCTGCAAAATACTCATTTAAGCCCCCAATAAACTTCTTGATCCTGCCCTCCAAGTACTCCACATCCCTCTCACTCTGCACTACAAACGATATATACTGCTCGTATTCAACATACGCCATCCTACAGCACACAATATATCCAAGCTCCTCTTTGGTCCGCAACTGATCAAAAAACATCCCCTTGCATGCATGCTGCACAAAGTTGGCAACCGCAGTTTCATTACTGTTTGCATACTTGCCTCCATACAAATATACCGCACATGCATTGTTCCTACAATCATTCGTATTCATGCTGCATACCCTGCTCAAATCGACTAATCTAATATCGCCATTTGCACATTCTCCTTGCTGCCTCAAGCAAACTCTTTCAAACACATCAACAGCCCATTCATGCCCTGCATTCCCAATCACAACAATATCTGCAAAAAATCTTCTTGGCATTACTGTCTTCACATCAATCTCCTTCACCATCCTCATCTTCTCCTCAGGAAGCATGTATCCATCAACCTTCATCGTCATCAGGCCATGCATACACAATGCATACGGACTCTTGGTTCTTTCATTCTCCAGCATATTCATCATGTCCTCCGTTATCATCCCGCTTCTGCATTCACTCTCCTCCTCAAATAAAACATCAAAAAATACCTCCAGCACACTCTTCACTACATCAGTAAATCCCTCCACCACCACTTCTATTCCCTCCAGGCACACGTGCGCATCAATGCTGGCATCCGTCGCATATACCAGCTTCCCATACTTCTTGAAAAACACATCCTGTGCCTTATTAACTAAAAACATAAGATTCACCACATCCTTCCTTTCATATCCAAACTTCAGCATACATCCAACGAACACCTTTGGAACCCTGTATGACTCATCAAACAAGTACACAAGCTTTCCGTTGTCTCTTTCAACCTGCTTCATCTCCTTATATCCATCTCCATCCATGCCCATCACTCTGACATCATCCAACCTAACAACACATTCATCTGCATCAGCCTGCACCGTGTTTATCACATACGCCAATTCTGCAAATACCTGCTCTCCCACATCGTATTTTATTCCATATATTTCTTCAGTCTCCCTATACTTCTCTTCTTCATCCTTCTGCACATCAAACACTAGCCACTGAGAAACATCACACATCCTCAAAACCACTCCTCGTATCTCTTCTTCGTCAAACCCTTCAAAGCAGTATCCATTGTTCAAAGCATTCTCAACCGGATAAAATTGCATGCTCCTCACAAGATTGCTTACCTGATCAGTCATTTCCTGCCTTTCGCTGTACCTAAACACCCTCTCGTTCCTCCTCCTCAGCTCCTCGTACTCTTCTTCGCTCACTTTCATCCCCTTCAGATACTGCACAAAACCCTCCAGCACTTCCTTCATTCTCCTTCCGCCCTCCTCAGACACAAACATACTAACCACAAACAGAGAATAATCACTATAGTCCTGCACCTCCACATCTACAGACAGCACAAGCCCCCGGTCCTTCACTCCGCAAACAAATCCTCTCTCATCGCTCCTCTCAAGCATCCCTAGCACATATCCATACGGATTCTTCCTAAACATCTTGTATCCAGACGGAACCGTAATTGTCACCATGACCTTCTTCACATCTGCCACCGGCTGTATCTTGATCCATCTGTTCAAATACTCGTCCTTAAACACACTCCTCTTCTCTTCCTGCTTAATGCTCGGTTCTTTCGTGCTACCAGATGCCTCAGATATTGTTCTTCTTTGCACTCCCTCAAACCTGCTCAGATACCTCGTCATCTCGCCAATGCTCTGGTTTCCATACATCACCACACATATCTTCTCACTGCTATAATGCTTTGCCCAGAACGCCCTTGCCTCCTCCCATATCCCTTCATGTCTCAGTGTGTCATAGTTTCCAACACTGAAGTTCTTCAATGGCTCTTCATCATTGCTGAGCCTTTCAATCATCCTCTGTATCCTCCATACATCTCTATTCAGCCCATTCATAAACTCCGCATTCACTGCAGATACCTCCCTTTCTACTGCATCTTGGCGCAGCAGAGGCGCTTTGAAAAAGTCCGCAAGCCTGTATACTCCCTCCTCAAACGCATTTGGCGATATGTCAAAAAAATACTCAGTCACCTCTCCCCACGTAATCGCATTGAATGATCCATTGTTCTGGTTCAGAAAACAATCAAACTCGTCTTCCCCAGGATATTCCTCAGTCCCCATAAACAGCATGTGCTCCAGGAAGTGTGCAAGCCCTTGAGCATACTCAGGATCGCTAAACGACCCAACCTTAACAGACACTGCACAGCTGCACTTGTCAAGAGCAGGATCCGATGCAACAATCGCCCTTATGCCGTTGGACAGCTCCATGTATTCGTATTCCGCTGTATCCACCAAACTTTTCAAAATCTCTTTCTTCATTATCTTTTTCATCCGCTTGCATACGGAACAAAAAAATGTTTTTATGCATTCATTACTCAAACATCAAATTAATTACTAATTGCAAGCAGGCATGTGCATCACATCCTCATAAGCCGTACAAATAAGACATATATCATGCGAAAGCAAGGAATAGCAGGCATCGCCGCATATAGAGCAGCAAATGCTTGGCAAATCTCCTAGACCTATATTTTACATCTGGTTTGGCTGCCTTGGCATAAAGCATGCATGCGATGGCTTGCATGTGATTTGCATGAGAGCTTGGCTTGCCCATGCAAAACCTACCATACTTTGCTTCATTTCAGATGAACGAGATGAGGAACAGCTATGTCGATGCAAACAATAGGATAATCGAGAAAATGGACTCAATGGTCGAGGAATTTGTGGATGCGGTGGGCATGCTGCCTGATATATCCGAAGGAGTAAAAATGTATATTGAGGATTGCATAAGGCACATGCGAGAGATTGTTGTCGACCACGTGGGAATGGCAATATGTGAGTTCAAGGCAGCATACAATCCGTGCGAAGAAGGTACAAAGTCAAGAAGGTTTCCAAAGTTCATTACCGACGAGCTCGAGAGAAGCTTTGAGGCTGACCAATATCCATCTGATCACGAGAAAGCCAAGCTCTCAAAGATTTGCAAGCTGTCGATCAAACAAATAAACAACTGGTTCACAAACAAGCGAAATAGAAACAAGGGGCACGAAGACTACCGAGAATATTGAGAGCTGTTCACAGTGCCCATGTGGCATAGGCAATCATAAATCGGACAAGTAGGTACTTATTTCGTTTTGAACTTCATATTTCAATTCGACTGAAGTAGTAGAATCAGATTCTGTAATAAGCATGTAGGGAGTGTGCAAGATATTAAATTACCTCACCAAATACGATTAATTAGTATGCTCAGTGCTAGATAAACATTGATAGGGAGGGGAGCAATGGATGTTCTCAATCAAGTAGTAGCAGCAGAAGAAACGTATTTTCTGAATGGAGGGAATAGAGAATGTCTGTTGGACCTAGTAAGGCAGTTGAGAAGCAAATACCAATCTGTAAGAATGTCTGGATGTGATAAAAGGCATATAATGGCAATGCTACTTGTTCTGAGAAGAATCAAGCAGACGATTATTCTTGAGGACAGGCTTGTTGAGATGGTTGACTCCGAGGCTTCATGCATCAAGAGTACAGTGAAGAGGCTGCTGTCTGAGACAATCAGTGCTGGTTGCAAGTACAATGATGATGGAAAGACAACTAACCACGAGAATGAGCAGAAGTACACAGTTCCAAAAACAAGGATCAATTTCCCCATGGACATCTCTCAGTTCCTGAGGGCCTGGCTTAGAGACAACATGGACAATCCGTATCCTTCGGATGCAGAAAAGATGTATTTCTGCCAGAACACAGGCCTTGGGCTTGCACAGATTAACAATTGGTTCATCAATGCCAGAAGAAGGATCCTGCCATTCATGAAAGGCGAGTGCATTAACTTTAAGTAGCGATGCGGCATAATAGATGCCATGGCAGAGATGTAGTAGTCTAATGCAAGGCTATGAACGAATGGTGCAGAGCAATGACTTGCTAAGCTTCATATATTTTTACTCGAGCACCTGGCAATTCATCTTTCTGTTCGCTTGTGCATCCGGCAGGCTACCGTAGACACATTGCATGTAATCAAATCCGTTGAATAATTGTGTTTGTAATTATTCTGTTCGATGGCAGAAACCTTTTAGAATGCAAGACAGTACAATTAAAGCCATTGGTTTGATCTGCGATGGAGTCCATTTATTTAATCAATCTCAAAGCGTATTCCTCTTGATACCAGTCTCTTGACGATGTCGGTGTTGAATAAAGCGCATCCCGGTGTTATGACACCGCCTTTGAAATACGTCACGCCTGTGCCTTCAGCCTGCAAGTCCAATGCATTCAAGAACGCAATCGCCACCTGTGTCAAGCATATGGATGTTGTTAGGTATGATGGATCGGGCCCAGATATCACAAGTCTTTTGGTGCATGCCAGCCCGTTTATTTCTCCTGTGCCGTTCATCTCGATTGTGAACTTTGCCCTGTGCACCTCCTCAATGTCTGGATTCTTCTTTACAACCCCAAATGTAAGAACTCTGTATCCATGCATCAGCAGCCATCTTCCAGCCCTAGATCCTGATAGAATCCATATTATCCCCACCAGCATCCAGTAGCCAATGACGCCAAGCATGCCTTGCAGCTGTAGGTATGCAGAAAATCTTGCTTTGTGCAGCCCGACTTGGCCCAGCAGTTCCTGACTTCTCCTAACCACAAAGTAGTCCGAGCCTCTGAAAATCACTCTGTATGGTGCACTGGGCTTTCTCTGAGGCTTCTTTTGCGTTTGCTCGTCTGTGCATCTGTCTTTCTTGCGCTGCATCTTGGCATTTCTGAGGATTGACACAGAAACAATAAGCGACTCCCATGTAGTTTTGTTCAAAACCAGGTTGCTAATGCTCAGCGTACTTTCGATCTCTGCCTTTCTAAGCATGCTGCACAGATACATCACGCCAATGTCCGTGGGAACAGAATCAAATCCACAGCAGTTGATGATGTACACACCGTTTCTGATTGCTTCGTCGTGATATTTCCTAATCAACAATTCAACAAAACACGTTTCTCCAGTAATGTCCATGTAGTGTGTTTTATTTCTTATGCACGACTTGACCACATCCTCTCCATGGTAGTAATAAGGCCCAGCACAGTTGATCAGCACCCTTGCCTTTGCAGCAATTGCATCAATGCAATCCGCCTGGCATTCATATCTTGGGAGATCCGTGTCTGCGATTCTACTGATGTCTCTTGCCGCCAATGCAAGGCTTAAGCCTTCCTTCTTGAAGAGATCGATCACATACGCTGCTGTGTATCCAGATGCACCGTATATGATGAAGTCGTATTCTCTTTGCATTCAGGGCATCACAAAACAGCATGCTAACTATTTGGGCTCTAGCACTCAGGTATGCTGATACTGATGCCTTGCGGTGCCAACAAATGATGCATACACAGCGAATAGTGTGGCAGGAATGCCAACCAGTGGAGATCAGGATACTAAATGTGCAACTGAACCAATAATAATGTGTGCGATGCTACATTCTGCAGCAATGCCGTGATTGGGTGTTTATATGTGTGATCTGCACAGGGACCAATCAGAGCAATGGCCAAGAATACGATTGGTTTTCATCCACAGATTATTTGGATATGTATGTGGCGAGCATGTCTTTACAAGATGGATGGAAGGTCTGATAAAGAAACCATCGAAAACCATGAGGCAACAGACAGCGACTGGAGCAATGCCATGCATACGGCAAGAGAGGAGTTTGAATCGAGTGCCGAGTCTCAATCGGAGTCGAGCATCATGAAGCATGTACTTGGCGCTGCATGCATGCTGAGCCATGAAAACAGCAACGAAGAGCAGGAGAATGTCTCGAAGTTTGATGTGTACATTGTCAACGGCAGTGGAAAAATCAATGGATACGAGCTGAAGCACATCAGCCCTATTGATGATCTCGAGTCGGAAAGTCTACAGGGAGACTCGCTTGTGGAAGGCATAAGATCGTTCCACCTTGATAGAAAGGACAGGAGTGTGCCACCCAAGGAGTTCTATGGAAAAAGGAAGTCGTGTGGCTCAGCTGTAAAGAGTGATAGCAGGAGTACTCTTGCATCGAAGGGTAGTCACGACCCCATCATCCTTGAGATTTCTGACATATCGAGTGCATATAATGCTGACGAGTCGGAAGAAGAGCAAGTGCAGCATCAATCGCACACACAAGAGCAGAGGAGCCCAAAACAAGAGTTTAACGGTGTGTATAATGCATTATGCGTAAGCTACGGTGGTAGAGGCATGCTACTGCAAAAAGCCAGCATGGAAGTGTGCAATTCATCAGGTGCCAATACTAGTTGTAGTTGCTGCTCATTTAATGCAAATATATGCAGTGTGTGCAGTGCAAGCACATCTGGTTTAAGCAGCAGTTCGCTGAATACAAGCAGTTGTTCGGGCACAATTCTGATGGAAGGATGTGCTGCCAGAGATGGTAGAGATGTGCATGAGTGCAAAGGGCGTACAGATGCAAATCTTCCACCTGAAGGATTGAAAATGCCGGTGGAGGGAGAGGTTGTTATTATCAATCAGGGTGCAGATAAAGATGTACTGCGGGAGCTTGGGATTTCATCTACATGCAAACTGATGCAGGGCTCGTATGATATAATGACCGAGTCAAGCAAGCCTGTGAATGAATTCAATACAGCGTCTAGCGATACAAATTGCGATGATAACAACCCGAATGCCATCAAGGATGCAATTAGTGAGATACAGGCACAAGTGTTTGGAGGCAGTTCTGTAATCAAGAAAATCGGATTGAACAATCCTAGCCAATCGATATTGAGTGGAGGAAAGGCCACGCCTGACTTTGGAGGTGTAGATATGGAGCTGAAGACTGCTCTGCTTGCTGCATTTATTCCCTCGATTGATGCACCAAGTGAAACGTCGTCCAGCAGAGCATCCTTTGTTGAGACAAGCTTTACAAGAAGAGTTAATGACGAGCTGAACGAGGTGCGAGCACAAATCGAAAGCGAAAAGCAGAAGGCTGATAAAAGCAAGGCAAGTGCAGATGTAAACGAAAACATGATTCTTTTTATTGAAGTAAAGGATTCAGCAGACAAAAAGCCGAATGCGTCATTCACAAGGAATAACCGTGTTGGAAAGCTAGTCAAATTCTTTGAAGAATTAGGAGAGGATAACGAAGAAAATAAACTTGGTTAAATTATCACTATGGCTCAATGTGTTTACGAATGTACTGCTATTCTAGGGTTGACTTGAACTGTACTTGCTCATGCTTGTCTTTGATGAGATCGCATATCACATCATCTGAAAATGGGCCATGCGAGAACGGGCAGTCTTTCTTGATGCAGTTGTTCTTTAGATAATATGCTCTACATGGAAACTTACTTGTTTCATGAGAGTAAGTACAGTTTTCGCCATGCCTGCAAGAGTTCATCAAAAAGAATTTACAAAGAACCGTACGATGGTTGATTGAAGACCTGGTATCTTCCTGATGGGGTTGCTGGGCAGGCCTGGCGATGGTTTTATGTGTTCTGTGTTCAAGCAGATACTCTTTTCCAAGACGGGTGGGAACATTCATCTTTGGAAGCATTTAGTTGATGGGCTTGAACGATGTGGTTTTATGCATTGTTGTGTGCCATTGCTGTGCTGTGCATCAACTGTTGTGCACTGCATCCGGTGCATCTGCATACAAAAAGCGGTGCTGCGCAGGGGCCCAATGAGAATCGAGAAGTGCTGGTTCTGCTCGTCAAGCATATACCAGGGGCATGG